CAAATAGTAATATTGAAACTTCATCTATTGATAAAATTAGTGATATTGATGTAGAACAATTAGATTTAAGTAATATTGATAAATTACAGTTGAAAGCAATTAAGCAAATGTATGAAAGAATATGTAAAATTGAAAAGGAAAAATCAAATAAAATGATATATGCTATACCTAAGGTAGACCTCTGTAATTGGAGTTTGTTTTAAATTAATAATATTAACATTTATTTAATATTATTGATTAGTTATTTTCAAATAATGCGAAAAGTTTTTCATAAAGATACGGTTAGGGTCTTTTTGGAGAAGGTTAATATATAAAAAGCTATGCGGTTCATCAGTTGCAGTATCATATATTTTATAAATTAGTTTCTTGCTTTCTAGTAAATTATCACTTCTAACAATTGCTGATAATTCATCTTGTAATATTTCTATCTCTTTGAAGTTTCTAACTTTATAATAAAACAAATGACTTATATTTACTCTAATAATTGGCGGCACTGTTGATGATTTCTGAAGACTGACAAGCGTTGATATTCCACTATGACGTCCCCTACAGAATACAGAATTTAACAATTTGTTATTTCTTGTTATTGCTGGATTATCAGATACATCATCTAAAGTTATCAAAATATTAAATAACTTCTTCATTCCTTGTTTTTTCTGGTATTCAATTATTTTATTTTGAGTTTCTATAACTCTTTCTAAATCTTCAACATTGAACTCATCCCACCAACACGGTTCTTTATCATTATCTACTTTCAAACCTTCCTTAATGTATTTTTTAACAGGCAACCAAATGCTATCCAAATTTACTGATGGGGACCAGATAAAAATTCTTTCATATGCTCCTCTATAAATATCAAGTATCATTGATACAAGTAGCGTGCTCTTTCCAGAGCCTGACGGCCCTACAATCATTGCTCTCATCGGTAATTTAGGGACGACCTCGTGCTTGCTTTGCTTATAGTCATATTTGATTTCGTCAATTGGTTTTACATCAGGCATAATAAAAATAATATTAAAGATATTTAGAAAATAAATTATATTTATTATTGAATGGAACATCTTTTTTATGATATGCTGGTAGTGAATATCATAAAAACGGAACAGGTTCCCATTGCTTCAATCAGTAAGCATTGAAGCTAATTAGTTTGAATTAGTTTGAACCTCGCTTGCGTTGTCCCGTGCAATGAAAACTCCAAGTGCTGTGCCCCCATCAGTATTCTATTATGCATGAAATAATAAGATTAAATAATTATTTCATCTTATTATTTATATGAATAGGAGTTATTCAGATTATATTGATATAATACATGAAGTACAACATATAGAAGATGTTGTTATAACAGATAATAGATTTAAAAGAGTATGCTATTTTGTTTTAGAATTAATTAAGTTTGTGATACAATATATTAAAAATATAAATATTAATATAGATGGGAAGGAAAAAAATCAAAAAGAATAAGACAGAACCAGCTGTATCTTCAACAGATGAAGATAAAGAAGAAATTGTTAAAGAAACATCAGTTATTGAGTTCGCTTGCCCGATGTGTAAAAAAATATTACAGACGAAGAATGAATTATCAATAGAAAAGAAAGGAAACTGCAAATGCAGTTGTATACCAGTTGGTTTTAAAATAAGTAAAACAGATAAAAAAATGAACATTGATAAAACTAAAGACGGCATCAACTTAGAAACAGATGCACATAATATTTCTATCAAATTTGGAAATGAAGCTACACACTCGGAAAATGGCGATAACGAAACACAAGAAACTATTAAACAAATGATGAAAAATTAGCATTTAAGGAGTAGATTTAACACCACTTCAAACGCATAAATAAATAAATAAATAAATAAATAAATATAAATATTTATATAATCATAATGCCAACTATGAATGGAGAAGACCGTAGAATTATAACTTTCGACAATGAAGAAATTAACGACATATTCAATGGTGATGTAAACTTTGCTAAACAATTGAGCGAAGAATACTTTTATTGGTTAGATGCTAAATTCAATGATAAATATTTTATGAAAGGTATAACTAAACCGGAAAAAATTGATAAAATGTTGAAGTTTTTTGAAATTACAGGTAGTGATGAAGGTTTAATAAAATTGAAAAATAAAATTGATGAAAGACTGTTAGAATATAATTTATTTACATACATAAAATTATATTATTCAGGTAAATTGTATAATAAAACGCATAAATAAATAAATAAATAATTATATAAATATTTATATATAGAAATGTCAGAAAATGATGATTCTACAATTAATGATTTAATGAAAAATATTATAATTATTAGTAAGAATATTAAAACATTAACTGAACTTATTAAGAATATTGATGAAAAAATAAACCAACCTAAAAGCAATAACGAAGACGATAATGAGAAGATGGATAAAATCTTTCAAAAGAAAGGATTAGGGCGTCCCTCAGGCGACCATGAAACTAAAAGACAATCTTATTTTGAGATGGTGTCCAACGGGCGCATTAAGAACCCAAAAGAACAAACTTTAGAATACTATAAAATCGCGAAAGATGGTGATGAATATAAACTTATGGATTAATACAAAAATATCTAAATCATTCTAATAAATGAATTTATTAGAGATGTTTTCAGGCAGTTTTTACCAAACATATTTAAGAATATAACACTTTAAGATAAATAAGGATATGAATAGATATGAGAATGGGAAGATTTATAAAATAACTGACAATGCTTATACTAAATGCTATATAGGAAGCACCTGTGAAAGTCTCAGTCAGAGAATGGCAAGGCATCGCAAAGAATACAGGAATTATTTGAAAGGTGGCAAGTATTTTATCACATCCTTTAACATATTTAATGAATTTGGTATTGATAACTGTTTCATTGAACTTCTTGAAAACTGCCCGTGTGATACAGTGGAAGAACTAAGGAAAAGAGAAGGTCATTACAAACAATCATTGGATTGTGTCAATAAACAGACTCCCGGAAGAACTCAAGCTGAGTATAGAGAGCAAAACCGAGAACGAATTAATCAACAAAAACGAGACCACTATTGGAAAAACAAAGATGCCATCAATGAAAGACAGAAACAAAAATACACCTGTGCCTGTAGGTCTGTTGTTGCTATTGGTGGAAAAGCAGAGCACGAACGAAGCAAGAAGCATCAGCGTTTTTTAGGGAACTTTTGCGAAGACGAAGAAAAAGAAGAAAAACAAAAGCGAGAAAGGAAGAAACAACAAACATACCAAGAAAAGTTAGAAAGAAACAAAATAAAATACACCTGTTGCTGTGGTTCAATTTTAAGAAGGGCAGACAAATCAGCTCACGAGAAAACCATAAAACATAAGCAATATCTACAAAGCAATCAATAGAGGATGCCATCCGGTCGTAAGGAAAATTGGGGCGAGAATTATGTAAAGCATAAGCAAGACGATTTATACAAAATACCTGCTGATTTGATTTGTGAAATCTTGGTGAGTTTGACGGATTAGGTGCTCCAGTTGGACTGAATTGACGCCGCAAATGGGTCGCACTGACCCCGCAAATGGGTCAGGTTGCCCCAAATTATGGGTCAGGTTGTCCCCTAATCATGGGTCAGGTTGTCCCCAAATTATGGGTCAGGTTGTCCCCTAATCATGGGTCAGGTTGTCCCCTAATCATGGGTCAGGTTGTCCCCTAATCATGGGTCAGGTTGTCCCGTGTTCAGGGGTCAGGGGTCAGGTCTGTCAAGCAAAACATGTAAAAATCTATTGTATGGTTGGTTGTTTGGTTTTTTGTGTGGTTTGTTGTTTGGTGGTTTTTTTCGGGACAGGGGGCTTACCCAGACCTCGTTATGGTTTTTGTCTAAAACTGTTTAAAGGAATGACGCCTTACTATGGTAGAGGATGAGTGAAGAAATGAAAACTTGTAAGCAATGTGATAATACTTATTCATCCGATTTGTTTAAGAATAGGATGAAACTTTGTAATTACTGCCGAGAACAAAATAAGATTAAGAATGATGAAACCAAAAGACAATGGAGAATTAACAATCCTGAAAGGGTAAAAGAATACAGACAAAAATATGAAGAAGAGAATATTGATGAAATTAAGGAAAGAAAAAAGAAATGGAGAGAAAGCGAGAAAGGAAAGGCAAAAATACAAGACTACCGGCAAAAAGTTCATTATTGCGAATTGTGTGATTATGAAGTTAAAAAGAAAAGAAGTCTCAACACGAGAAATCTGGAAACCATCAATATTTTTTACAGAAAAGTTTGAATTGTGAAAAATTGGAACGACCGGATAGTAAAGAAATTGTAAATGGTGTGTTGTGGTTTAAATGTTTGAAATGTAAGAAGAAAGAAATTTATTATGCTTGGTGCGACCATGTATCAAGTGAAGGACATATCAATAAATGTTGCGATGTTGATTGAAATGGTTTAAGTTATTCTTTAAAATGAATAACTTGAAGCATTTTATATAGATTTTGGCGAGTGGTTTGATTATATGCTGGTGTGGCGCGGGAGGGTAGCAAATGATGAGATTGCGGTATGCTATCTCTTGCTCTTTTTGGATCACATCCCCACAAAGCGAGCACTTTTTTGGGACATAACAGTCACCCCCTTTTTCGAAATTATCATTTGCGCGTCTTTGTCATTTGGTCAGGGTACCGTGTCTAAGGCTGGTTCAATGACCAAGCACAGGTCATATGGCCCCTGTTTGAGACGGGTGGGCTGCGGAAGTTTGTGAGTCGAGCGCTGCGCCCTGAGTTTTAGACATCAAGGCTCATGAGACATCATGCAATATGTTTAGAACAAACAAATACATACCAATATGACGATTGTTATATATATATATATATGCACGTATGTGTGCATGCGTACATGCACAACTTGTACGTATGCACAAACAACACAGGCACCAATTTGTTTGCTCCAGGCACTAATTTGTTTGCTCCAGGCAAATGCTTCTGCCCATTGCCCATCCTTTAGGCCGAGCGCCTGGTTCATGTAGCCTTTGGCCCATGGAGTGCGGTATTTGCTGGGATGAGATCGAGTCGAAGGCCAGGGTTGCCTTTGGTCATAGGGAAGCCACAAGGAGGTTCAGTAACCAATAGTTCCAGGGGTAGTTCCATGGTGAGCCAGGCTATAGACCCCTTCAAGGGAAGCCAAGCGAACATGATTGAAAAACAGGGATTTGGGTGCGAATGTCACTGGGGACCCTTTGGTGGCGGACATCATGGTGAAGATTCATATCCACATATCCACCAACCACTTCTGAGGTGGGTCAGTACGCATCGCGTCCATTTACACGTCTTTGAGGCGTCGGAAAATCCCCTGGAGGATGCAGCCGCCTTGACGTGTTGCCTGGAGGATGACTCGTGGTGGTGGTGGCCGGCAGAGGGCTGTCCTCAGCTTCACAAGTCCTGCTTATCCAGGCGAGGGCCTCTGACAAACTGGTATATGATTTTCTCGTCATTTTTGGGGGATGCCCGTTTTACCCTCTCTTTTTTTTAGGGGGGGACCTATTTTGAGACAGAAGGTAGCCAGGATACAAGTGACATCTAGAGGTACTGCCATGGATCCTTTAGCATTCCGCACCCTCTGGTTTGTCAAAGAAAGCAGCTTGGGAGACTAGACCGAGTCAGGAAACAAATGACCCTCAGGAGTCAGGAAACAGGAAACGGGTGAGTCAAGAAACGACTAGAGGCATTCGGTTGGACCCTTACCTTGCTGAATTCAACGATGTAGGAATTTGGCCTTTTTGTGTAGATTTTTAGACGGCAATTTTTGGCAACAGTCAAATTGCATCCTTTTGGCTGGATTGACAGGAACAGTCGCCTATCCCGCTTGGGACGCTTCGCGTGGGAACCATGACGTGGCCCACACACTTGCGCTGCAAACCAACATGGCGCCCAGTCCAATCCCAACATGCAATTCCTCCAAACATGGATCGGCCTTGGGGTTTCTTAAGTGGCCCCCTAATTTTGCCAAAGTCGCCAACTGAGTTTAAGGAAACTGACCCTGACTTTGATCACTAGTCACACTCATCCAGAACCCAGAACTGCAGAGTATATTGATTTCGAAGTATCCAACAGTATCCAAAAGTACTTCGATGTCCCAAATGTAGAATTCGAAGGACTCATTTCTGCGGTTGTTTTCCAGGTTTTCTGTTTTCTTTGTTCTTTTCATTTCTTTTTTTTGGGGGGGTTGGCTTTTGTCATGCTGCAGATTTTGAGAGGTACCTCCTGATCCAAGCAGAGTCTGGCTACTTCCCGGCCACCTGCCCCTTCTGCTTGCGGAAGCTCTCCGTGCTCGAGGCGACTTGGCGTCAGCTCCCGTTCCAACGAGTTTTTGTTTGGCTTCGCGAAGTCCGGAAAAAGGGGAGGCAGAGGACAAAATGGTAAAGGTCGACTTGTGGTTTTGCTTTAGCTTCCCTATGATTGATTTCCCCTTCTTTGTTCCCTAAGGTTCTTGCTGCTCCTTTGGTTTTCCAGGGCTCCTTAAAAGATACATTTTGCCCATTTAAACCATGGGGTTTGGTTCAACAACCTGCAGCAATTTGTCCAGCTTTGTTTTCCCGCATTTTCCTTTGTGCCCTATTTTGCCCGTTCCTACCGCAACTGTTTCCAGGCCTTTTTCCCAGTCAAAACCCACCCTGCAGGTCTTCAACCACTTTCCCTGGATGTCCCATTTTTTTTTGTTTCTTTTTAGCCGTTGGAACCCCTGGCAGGTCTTCAACAACCTCCAGGTGTCGGACGCCTTGCTGTGGACCCGTCTCCAGGACCGCTGGCTGGAGCTCCGCGAGGGCCGCGAAAACCGCTCCCCGCGCGAGCGCGACCTCGCGGAGGCGGCGGCGATGGCGGGGCTGGGCTGCCGGAGGTGCCCCAGCTGCGGCGCGTGGATCGAGAAGCAGGCGCTGAGGGCTTGGGCTTCGGGGGTGGTGCAACGGGAGCTGTTCAAAGGCGTCACCCCGAAAAAAACAAAACGGTTGAAGGAAGGTCGGAGGTGAACCCCCTTTCCATGAGGCCAGAAAGTTGAGTCAGAGATTGCGAAGTCGTTTTGGAAGGCATTGGTGATGTTGGATGAATCTAGGGTTGGGGGCTTGGTTAGGACCGGGTGAGCCACTATCAAAGGTGGATTAAAACGCAAAAGCGTTTGCTTCCCCTTTTGGGGAAGGGGGAGATTGGGTTGGGGTGAGTAATTTGGGTAGGACCGAAATGGGTCTAGCCTAAGCAAGATCTAAATCTGCATCCTTGTTTCCCAAAATAGGAATCGGTCCGCTAACTGGTTGGTTCCTTCTGGTTTCCCTTTAAACAGAGGGCAAACCCGTTTTCTTTCATGAACCACCCCTTTGGTGGTGAAGAAAAACAGGAACCAACCCCCCCATCCCGTTCCGAAAATCGTGCGGGAAGCATCCGCAGGAGGCGGGCTGGGTGACGGGCTGCGACAAGATGACCTGCCGCTGCGGCGCCCAGTTCTGCTTCGCCTGCGGCTCTGTGAACGCCATGTGCTCCTGCTCCCTGGGGCACGGGTTCTTGGACCGGGAGATGGTGTTGGCCAACTACGAGGCCAGCTGGGCAGGCGTGTTTTGTTTCTCCTCTTTTTTGCACTTTTAGAAGGGGGAAGGCCCCTTTTGGTGGTGTTTTGGTAGGTTCGCTTTTCGGGTATACGCCTGTAAACCACCTTTCTGTGTTCTTGTTCACGAGTAAGATGGTAGTTTGATTTTTCGACCTCTTTGGAAGGCCATGCAGCTCCAAAACACAGTCAGTCTCACACGCCAGATCGGTCAGATACGTGCTGGTCTGGATCGGAGTGTTTGTGTGGGGCCAGGTAAGGTCCGCATGCTCCCTATCTTTTAAGGGGAAGATCCCGTTGTGTTTTTGTTTCCGTGGGAAAACCACCCTTTTTGCTTGTCTTTTGGCTACTTGTTTTTTGGTTCTCGTTTTCTGATGTTTGTCTTTGTCTTCTTTGTGCTTGATTTTTGGGTATGTTATGTTTGTTTTGATAGGCAAACCCCAGATATGTTCTCGGCTTTTGAGGGGAGGTCCCCCTGTGTTTGCTTTTTCAATGTTTCTTTTTTGGGGGGGGATCACCCTTGTTGTTGCCCTTGTGTTATTGCCTTGGGTTTGTTTTTTTTGACTGGAGGGGACCCAAGAAGCACACAACTGCTTTTGTTTTGCTGGCGGTATGCTTGGTTTGACGGGAAACCCTCCTTTTCATTACTTTTGGATTCGTTGTTTGGGTATGTTTGTTCGGAAGAAGCTCCCCTCTTTGTTTGGAAAGCCCCCCCCCCCCCACCCCCCCTTGTTTATGTTGGTACGTTGTTTGGGTATGTGTTTATTGCGCGCAAGGCCTTTTGCTTGTTTTCTCTGCTATTTTCTTTTTGGGCGGGGGGTGCAGATATGGTTGTTTTGGCGGCCATCCCTTCTTGCTGCTGGCTTTTGGTTTGATTTTGTTCGACACTTTTGTTTCAATCATTGGCACATTTCCTCTCAACTTCCCAAAGTGGATTTTAGGTTTCCCGTTCGTCCCTGAGCTAAATACCCCTCCGCCCAGCCGGGCGAAAAGACACCGGTTCCCCCAGTTTGAGACAAACACAAGACCGGGATGGGGACCCCGTGCATTTTGAGGGCGCCATGTTTTGTTTGTTGGTTCAAAGGGAAACCAGGAACACCACAATTTTTGGTGTCCAATCCCATTTTGAGATCGCTGTTTTCCCAAGGAGCTCGACCTCTTCGAGTTTTGGCCCTTCCATGCAACTTCCACGGAGGAGGGCAAAGTTGATGTGGAATCAGCGAGGTGTGCTTCCCTTCTTGCGCAGCGAATACCGATTTTGCAATTTTAGAAAGCGGTTCGGTTGTTACCTGGTTTTAGGATGGTTGCAAGGCCTTTGTACTTATGGGGCTGTCAAAAGCCGAAATCATGGCGCAATCCCAGGATTTGCTCGGCGGTTCCCAGTCATACCCTTCGACTTCGCACGCTTTTCGAGTTCACAGTTGGATTGCGACATCTGCTCAAAGTTGTTTCCCTTTCCCCAGCTGCTTTTTTCGGCATCCAGCCATCCTTTCAGCTTTCAAGGCATAGGTACATGGAACCACTGGGTTCGGCCGCGAGGAGCCGGGTGACGTCCACGCGGAGCCGGGCGACGGCCAAACGGGCGCGGCCCAAGAGGTCCCAGAGATGTTGGAGGTTCCTTCCGCGCCCTCGGCGCCGGCGCCGGAGCCCTCGGCGCCGGAGCCGGCGCCGGATCGAGGAGGCCGATGCTGCGAGGGCCGGGTTTGGGGTTTTGGGTCCGGCGGAAAGATAGATCCGAAAAGCTACCGTCACAGGGACTGAACGTCATCTGGCAAGAGTGCCGTCTGTTTTGGCTTGGTTCTTCCAGGTCTAAAGTGGTTGAGGTTCGCGCAGACTCGCGCACAGGCCAAGCCGTGAACACGCAGAGCACTGAGCGCAGCTTTGCGCCTCAGCGTGGATGCGGGTCTTGGGCCGCTAGCTGGGATTCTCGAGGCTTCCAGCGAAAATGCCGGTATATCGTGCCAAAATGGGATTGTTTGTTTGTTGAAGGTCCACTTTATGTTTTTACAAACAAACGCACCACTCAGAAGGGCTTGTACTGGTTTTACTCTTGATTTTTCTTCAAAGCAGCCGAAAAAGGGGCACCCTCAGAAGCCGCACGCACTCGTTTCATGCAGTCCCTGCTTGCACGACCCTTCTGAGGCGTACCGATTGGGCAGCTTTTTCATCTGAGCTTTGCCCGAATCGACTGTACATAGATCGGCTCAGGGCCAAACATATGGCTCGTGGCCGCGGCCCCCAAAAAGGAGCGTCTGGGATCCATTCAAAACCGCCCCATGCCAGGGATACCGAAGAACCACCTTGGGCTCGATGCGTTGCCTTGGAAGCCACGGGGCCGTGTCTTCGAACCTTTGAACCTAGGCAGCCAAGTCAAGCGACCTGAAATGCCTGCAGGGCGTTCTTTTGGGTTTGGTTATGCCACGTTTCATTTCCAGACACTCACCTGCTTGGCTTTCGGCCCTTTTGGCCGTTCAACCGGGAAGCCGCGAACGCTTTTGGGGCACCCGGGTCAAACGCATGATCTGCGAACGATGTGCCAGGCGTCGCACGCATATGCTCCACCGGAGACTGAGAGCCGAGAGCAAGGCCTCGCTTGCGAGCTTCAAGCTTCTTTTGGAGTTATTTTCCCTGAAACGCCACAATTCAATGGCCCCGCACAGCTAAACTCTGGGTGGTCCATTTCCTCAAGTCATTCCAGATGCCCAGGAGGAGGTTCCACCGTTTTTGGTCAACATTGCCCCCCAACCCGCTGGTGTACAATTATGATCACGTAATATAACCCCCCCCCCCCCCATTTTTTTTGGTGGGGTTGGTTGTGGCTTTGGGCTTCCGCCCTGCAAATTGAGATTCCAAACGGAGATTCCTCCAAGAACCCTGTGCTTTCCGGGTCTCAGTCCAAAGACGGAGGTGGCTTCCTTCGAGCCTCAAAAAGGGAACCTTCTTCTCTTCAACCATCGTTCTTTTCAATCTCCAGCCGGTTTCCCTGATTTTCCGGTCTGGAAAGCAGGATCCCTGTTTTCAGAATGGAAATGGAAGGTACCCTTAGAAAGAACCTTCAGAGATCACCGCGCCTGCGCGAGGCTCCGCTCCAGTCTTCGAAGCTGCACCTGCCCAAGGCCGGGGACGAGAGTGCGAGCTGAAGCCGTGCACATCCAGACACCAACCTCGGCTTTCCTGCGCCCGTTGAACGGCTTCGATCACGGTGGGGTTCCTAGCGGATTCCAAAAACTATGTATATAATACTGTATATATATATATGGTAACCCCCCCTTCATATATATATATATATGATTGTCCTTTGGGGCAGGCCATCGGAGACCGTTGTTCGGATAACCCAGGGTTTGGGTTCCCATGGATGGTGTCAGTTTTGTGTCCTGAAAAATATAAAATATGGCTTTTTAAGAGCTAGTGTCATGTACCCAAGTCTATGGATGTACTTTTGGCTCCAAACTGCAAGGCCCACACGGGTGGCTCGTTGGTGAGGAATCGGACACCACAAATGGGGTGGGTTTTCCTTTTGGTGTTTGTTTCCCTTCAAAACCAGCATCCAAAAGAAGACGAGCCACCCATCGTCTAAGCCGGTGTGCAGCCAGGTTCTCCGGTAGGACACAATCCTAGGGGTGCACGCAACGTTTGGCTCAAACGCAGCGGGTTCAACGTGCACGACGACTTCTCCCTGAGGCCGGTGGGCGGGCCGGACAGGATGCCATTCAATTTGCAAATCGTTTTTTGGAACTGCCAGCTTCTGGGAAGCAGATATAGGAAGTGCTTTGGGTTTTCTAGCATTTGAACATGTTTGTGTAAGTTGCATCTTTGCGTCTTTTCATCTTTGCAGCCTTGCAGCCTTGCAACCTTGCCCGAACTGCACATGTGACAAGGAAAGGATGGCGAGAAGAGGGCTGTCCAGCACGAATTTGCAGCTGCGAGCTTAGCATGTGGTTCGATGTTTGGCGATGCTCACTCGGCTGGAGCGGATTGCCGGCAGTTTGGCACATTCCATCATGTCTTCTGCGACTTTGTTTCTTTCTTTTTCATCATTGCTTGCCAGTGTGTTTGCATGTGCTCCTTGCAACCTCCTTGCGGGTCTGGAATGTCAACAGGGCTGCATATGCAGAGGTATACAAGTGGCCTTTGCAGGGGATCCAGTACCTATCAATGTTCAGGAGAAGGACAGGGCTGAGTCCAAGAGGATTTCCACCCCCAGCCTCTAAACAGCATCATGTAACATCTATAGGCACGCTGGTTGCCTGCCTTTTATGACAAGTGGGCCCCTTTGGCAGAATAACCATGTGGTATCTACCTAATTTGCCTTTTTCTCGGTGGATCAGGAAAGAAGCTCCTCGAGTCTTCGGTGCGCACATTGAAAACTCTGAGGCCGGTTTGGCAGATCTTGGTTCAGTTGCCAGACAAAGGGTATGTGTCAAAGCTGCGGGACCCAACCAATGTGGCTTACCTTTTGGTTTTCCTTGACACATCAACCTGAAATACCACCGCCAAACACACGCAAACACCAAATACCAGGCCCCCCTTGGATTTGAGCAATTCGATTTCAGTTGTTTGAGTGGTTTCTTTAATTATTTGTCCCTCCGAAAATGGATGTTTCTTTTGGATTCACCTGCTGCGTATGTTTCACGCGTTCCAATCTCCCTTCAAAATGGGCGTGGGTTTTTCGGAAAGGGACCCCCTTCTTGTTGGTGCTAAAGGAACAACAGGAAAGCGCCCCTCGCAAAAAGGCAAACCTAGATGACGAGGTCCACTCACTGCGCCCTCAGAACACAAACTTTTCAACCTGCCAGGAGCTCGTGAAGCGGCTGCCAGGAGCCTGAGCATTCGAGAGCTGAGCGTTCCTTGGGGTTCCGTTCAGAACCCCCCCCGGCCCCCGGCCCCGCCCCCCGGCCCCAAAGGAGCTGCGCCTTTTGGCGCATCTTTCTTTGTTGTTGTTGCCGACTCTCCTGCTGTTGGAGTCGGAGCTAGGGTTGTGTTTTGGAGCAAAACCCAAAGGGAGCCTTTGAGCCCACTGGCCGTCCGTGGCGATAGTTCGGCTCAGGCAGAAGCGGTGGAACGGTCACCATGTGATCGAGTCGCTGAAGTACAAGTTGCGGGACCGCTGACTTGGGCACGGCTATCCGGCGATACGGCAACCATTGGCCAGTCATTGGCGGGGCTCTTGCCATCTGATTCTGTTTGGTTTAACGGCCATCAAGGTTGTTAAGACAGGGCGGCAAGCTTGCAGAGACCTCTGCAGACCTGCCTGTTCTGTTTTTGGAGATAGTGCGGCACATCCAAATCTTTGCGATCGTGCTGGTAGAACCAAAGTCAGGTGAAAGCTTTGATGCTAGCTGACTAGTGCTTGCTCATGTCAATCTGCAGGAGTATGAAGCTCAATACGGGGTCTTCGATGAGAACAAGAATCGCCATGGAGAGACTTGGAAAGCACAGAGAGCGTCGCAGACTGACACCACGAGTTGGTGTCCAGAATCAGGGCAGGCCTGTTTTGTCCAGGAGACTCCATTTCTGAATCCTGGGTTCCCAACAAGCCACGGTCATGGCCTCGCATCGGCTGGGTCTTTTGGCCAGCCAACTGATCTTCTTGGATGCGCGAGACTTGATGAGGGAGGCCGGAGCGAATGTGAAATCATGGTGGTTGGATTCCTTCTGCACGTTTCAATACCGTCCCAGAAGAGGGCGGACACCCAAGGTTGAGCAGAACCCCTTGTTGAGGAGATGTGCCATTGAGGGAATTCCTCGTGGGTGCCCCTGCAGAACACCACACGAACATCCAACTTTGCAAAGTCTAGTTACATAGGAACCCATCGCCATATTTTTGGGTGCCGGCCCTTCTGGAAGCCTTTGGTTTCTGCCAGGAGCACCAAGCTGCAAGGGGTTGGTGGTGTTTTTTGGGGAACTCAAGGGATTTAGGTGTGTCACGGCTCCGCTGTGGTCCAATAAGGGAGAATGGACCAATGCGGTCTATCACGTTCTTTTCTGGGTACGGGTGGTGGTTTTGCTGGAAGTTTTTCGATGTCTGCGGCGGGGGGGAAGGAATTTCAGCAATTTCCTGTTCCATTTGCGGTTTTCCTTTGCATTTCTGGTGAAGGTACCCTCAAAACACGAGCCACCGGGCAGGGCCCTTGGCGGCAAGCCTCGTCTAAGGATACAGAGCTGGCCATCCTGCAGAAGGCGCCCGTGTTCGGTGAGCGGGGAAACCCCACAGAGAGAACCCACCAATTTGGGGCAGGTTCCACTACACTCGCGAGATTCTGAGAGCGCGAAAACTCGCGCTCGCGCAATCCCACACCCAGCTTTCGGCGCGGCTTCAGCTGCTTCGGCAGGTCGTGGAAGATGGCGAAGTGGCGGAGAGTATGCAGCCCTCAGAGCGCGCCACGCTCCACATCCTGCAGCCCGCCCGGCGGATTTCTGTTACTTATTCAGACCCTTTTACCGAGTTGGGGTTTCAAGCACCTCAGTTGTTTTTGTTTGGGGGGGTTCTGCAAAATGGGGCTTCTTTTGGATGGATGCAAATTACACGTGCCTTGGGTGCCACCTGAGACCTGTTTGTTGGAAGCCGTTTAGACCGTTTTGCCTCCTTGGGAGCCAAGCTTCCGGCTTGGAATCGGTGGAATGGTTCTTAATCCTGTTGCGCAATGTATTCCACTTGTCTCGCGGCAGTGCGCCCCATTTGCTGGCGCTTGACGGCCTTCTGGGATCTGACAGGAGTTTCTTGGAGCTCTGGGTTCGTAAAGGTGAAGGCTGTGGTGTCCCTTGAAGCCAGCCATGTGCTTCGGGTTTTGAGGATGTCTCTTTGAACCTGAAGGAAACACGAGTGCCAGGCACGGCTTGCGAGACTACATCGACTTTGCGCTGGATGAGGCTCACCCCTTGGGTGTCAACTGGATGCCGAACTCGGGGCAAATGGCCGTGGGTCAAAACCAATGGTACCATTTTGGGGTAGGTTCACCACCCATTTTAGTCTATTTAAGTGGATTGCAATGTTCACTGGGGGTACGATTTGGGTTTTGACCCATGGCCAAGTGGATGCCGAACTCGGGACAAATAGGGTTGTTTTTTGGTCTGGGTTGTTGGGCAGTGATGAGCACGCAGCCACCAGCCCGCAGCTTTTAGCCTTCAGCCTGACACCCCTCCGGGCTGACTCGAATTCCCGCCGGGTGCTCGGCGCTTCGTCAGATGCGACTCATGTCCAACTTCCCCTTCGGATCTTGCTGCAAAGCCAGCGGGCATTCTTGAGTTGCAAGTGCCAGGAGCCCTTCTGAAGGTGCTTGCACAAGGAAAATACCATGAGGTCCCCCAATGTCCCCCAGTTTTGGGAGACAACTACAGGAACTGAAGTGGATTGAGGACATCACCCATGAGGTCCACCAGTTTTCGAGACCAAGGAACTCAAGAAGCCGAGGCTTGCAGCGATCCGATGGCGCGGCTGCTTCTTTGCCTCGCCGTGACCCTCTCCCTGGGTGCGGCAGATTTTTCGGCGCTCGTCAAGGACGACGAGTGCCAGGCGTGGACGTGTGGCCCCATTTTTCCTTGAAGTGGGGGGTGTGCCCCCCCCCCCCCCCACATGGCTTCGGCTTTCCTTTCGGTTTCCATTTGCAAGCCGCACAAAAAGGGGGGAACCCTCTGGAAGTCCGCCCAACCCCCAACCTTTCTGGGCAATTGGCGAATGTCCGGAGAGTCAATGTCCATGAAACAAGTTTTTCGCTGGCACACAAGAACAGCCACCAGCACGCGCCTGTTTTCAACCAGTTGCCCAGGCCGGGAAGTCCAACCACCCCCCTGGCTTTTGGAGGGTTGGCCACTGTCCAGGAGAAGTCCCTGCAGGGAGATGGCTTTTCGACTTTTGGAGTTGGTACCCTTTGGGGGTGGATGTAAAGGCTTTGTTAGGAGCCTTGTGTTTTGGCGGTTCGTGGGTTACGTGGGTTTTGCAACAACCACTTGCTCTCTGGACCACCTAAGTGGCCTCAGCCTCGTTGGTTGGTTCGGGTCCTGTTTCGAGTGAAGCCTTTGGCAGCCCTGCAAGGATTTGTCCTTTGGGGGACCATGGGTTTTCAGAAGACCATGTTGAAAGCCAAGGCCGGCCATGTGGATTTCAAGCTGTTGGCTCTTGAAACCAAGAGACGTGTACGTTGAGAATCGGGATTTGGACTGCGTTCACTGACTCTGGGGCAGCGGGCGATCCGCGTTGCCGGTGGATCTGGCTGAGTCTGGAGGACGCAGCATGTTCCTCGGACTTCCTGCAGAAGATGGCAACAGCCATGGACTGAGATGGGGTCAGGAACACCTGGGTGTGGGTCAAAATTCAACCACCGGGCCGCAGATTTTAATCCTTGGTTCCATTTACCAGGGTTCTATGTTGGGTACCCATTTTTGACCCACAGCCATGTGGACGGCCATGTGGGGTCTTTTGGGTGCGATGCCCCGTTTTGGCAAAGTTACAAGGGGAACCAAAGGAACGCCCTTTTTTGAGACAGACCCCTGAGTCACAGTAGAAGGTTCGTAGGAGTCTCAGCCATGGTGTGGATATGTCCGCCGTTTGAGTATGACTCACCTGGTACGACCGCTTCGGGTTTGGATGGCCATCAACCTGGGGGGTTTGGACAACCAAGGTGCAGGTTAAGGGAACGACCAGGACTCCTGGAGTTTGGACTACGGCGCATGAACAGATGGAATCTGCCAAAAACGATTGAACAACGGCGCCCGTTTATATCTTGGCTCCCCTGTATCCCCCAGTCCCCTATTGAGCGCCCACAAAAAAGCACGAAGTTTTGGCCAGTGCAGCAGGTTTCTACCTAGCAGGGACAGTAAGGCCAATATCACCTTTATCATCATGTATTTATGGCTATTTGGTAACGGATGTTTGCACTTTAACTTTTTGCTGAAACAGCTAGGATTTTCCATACCAACACAAAGTGAGCAACTTTTTGCAGAGGGGTCAACAGCAACCAAGACGTTAGGACCAACCGTCAATGGGTGAAACGGGCGCACTGTCTCCCGGGAGTTCCGAATCCACATGTCGCTTAGGAAGAGAAATCGAGCCGATGCCTCAGTTCGGATGGTTTAGGCTCTGGTATGGTTGCCATACTTCTGGGTCCATCGAAGGTGTGACATTTTGAGGTTCTCAGGTTGCGTATTGGGCTGATGTCCTTTCAAACCGCTATTTAGAGGCTAATTTTTTCAGGATGTTCACTTCAATGAGCCCAAGGGCTCGTGGTGAGGTTGCGCGACTTGCCACCTGTCCTGCTTGACCATGCCCTTTGATCGTTCAGAGTGCACCAGGCTGGGCACCGGTTGATTCCTTGAACATTGAGTCGGGAACAAGGAGATCTTTGGGAACAAGCCTTGCTCTGTGGTTGATTTAATGACTTGCCATATGGAAGCAACCGGAATGGACATGACCCAAAGTTGCCTGGATTCGGCCACCTAAACCCCTGAATTCATTCTCTAACGAAAGAATCACGCGGAAGCCACTCGCGCCCGCCGAGTAATCAATACGGCCTCTACTGCGAAGACCCGAAGATTGCCAAAGCCTGCCCTCGGACCTGCGGATGTTGCACCTCCTGCTCCGCCGCCCGGCTGAACCGCTGCGGTGGCCGGCTTTACCATCCGCAACACCAGAAGAAAGTCAAGACATCCGTGAGAAAAAAAACAACCGTTTTGTGTTTCTTTGGTTGTATTCCAAAAACCAGGAGTTTCCCTAGACGAAGGGCTTTAATTTCTGGGCAAACCCGGGTTTTCGCTAAACGTGGAGCAACCGGCCAGAACTCGGCAAGCCTTCGTGTTTGGTCGCGAATCACATGGAGCTCCGTCGATCCAATCGGCTGCTTTACTTAGGGTTGGGGATGGATGGCCCCGAATTGCCACAAAGATTCCTCAGAAATCCATGCCCAAAGGAATTCTGATGGCTCAAAATATGAGCCCCTACTATGGAAGGACGAAATCCTGCACCCAATCGAGAAACCTGGAATGATGATTCCCCTGCAATTACCAACCAACAATGGTTGCCCATGTGGTGCGAACGGATTTCGTTCATCCACAGTGTGGTTTGCATTCGAACTCAACCAGCTTTTTGCCAACTGGGTTCCCCCTTGCCCTTGGCGTGTGCTCAGATCTGCAAAATCCCGCGCTCCTGCTACTGAGCGTGCGAATGCGGGATCGCCAGATAAAGCTCTGGCAAGTGGTAGCCGAGCCTGGTATCACATACCCTCCCGACTTCACCAACTTCAGGTCCCTTTCAGAGGAAGTTGAACTGCAGGTATCCCAGCCATGCAAGTGGAGAGGGTAGATGTGTACAACGAACTTGGGCTTACCAGTATCTGTAGACTCTGCGCGACTCATGCGGTGAATAGAACAATGATTTGCAAACCTTTCTTCTGGCCGCCGAATAGCACATGTAAGCGCCTCTGCGAGGAACGTCAGCTTTCCAAGTTGGGAAGAATCTGCTTTTTCGAATTCCGACCTAGTTGAACGAGCTCACCATGACCCACATATTTGGGGGTGTCTTTTTGAGGAATCCGACCCCCAAACATGGTCATGGTGGGTTTCTTCTGGTTTCCCATTAAACCACCAAACAAGGGGGTACCAACTCAAAACAGAACCATTTTGAACTCGGAGCCGTGCCACCGAATTCTGCAGTTGGGCCGACATGCACGGGTGGTGCACACCGTCACGGATGAAGAGGGCTTTGTCTGGAGCAGACAAGGCGCGGCGTGGTTGTCCTGTGGTTCCATCCAGACAAAGGTTCAAGGAACAAGGTGCCCTCAGAAAACACCCACACACACACAACACAGCACAACGCAACACAACACAACGCAACACAACACCATGCAACACAACTCAACACCACACAACACAACACCACACAACAAACGCAACACAACACCACACAACACCACGCAACACAACTCAATACCACACAACACAACACCACACAACAAACGCAACACAACACCACACAACACCACGCAAGACAACACACCACAACACCACGCAACACAACACAAGACGACACCACACAACACAACGCAACACATCACAGCACAACACCACACCACAGAGCACAACACCCCACAACACCACACCACACGACACAACACAACACAACACCACACAACACCACGCGACACAACACAACACAACACAACACCGCACAACACAACCCCACGCCATACAACGCCAAATAACACCACACCACACCACACCACGACACCACACAACGCCACGCCCACAGAACACAACACAACACCACACAACACAAACACAACACAGCGCAATCAGTGTGTATGCTCAATTGAGGGACATGTGCGATTCACTCGTTCTCCCCAGAGAGCGAGCCCATATTGTCCCATCTAGCGCAAAGCTTCAAGCATTGTGGAGCATGGCTCGCACGTCCAAATCATGCCAACCATGCACGGGGGTCCTTGGAGCTGGAAGACGATGGTTCGCTTGAGGGCGGGTTCCTTTGGAGCCATGTTTGGCGGATGATCAAAAACAGAATGATCCTTTTAAGCTATCACGGCACTTGAGGGTTTGGTAAACTCACGCAGCCTAGATTTGCAGCATCCTGTGGATTGGAAAGTCTGATTAGAGACCCTTGAACATTCTCTCGCTTCTCTCTTGACTGAAGTTTGCTTGCGTTTTGTCAGAAACCAAACAGGCAACTGACTTCTTTGGTGGCTTGCATTGGTGGTTTCGGGATTTGAACCCCTAGTTCTTGTGGGGAGTACATGGAAAACCCCCTCAATCACCAAACCACCAAACCACCAAACCACCGATCCAACCCCCCTTTTTTGGGGGGAAGCTGATATGAAGCCATGGTTTGGTGACGCCGGCCTCTTTTCCGCGAGCTTTCCCGCGCTTGTCGGGGCGCTGGGCTTGTTTGGTTCAGGGGACCCGTCCTACAACCCCGGGCTGAAGTGCTCCGTGGTGCGGCTCTCAGCCAAACATTGGGGGGCTTCCCAAAACCGACTGTCAGCAAACGGACTATGACTAGGAGCGGACTAGACAAGAAACAGACCATTTACCAACAAGACTTTTGGGGGTGTCAAAACTGACCAAAAAGGCAACAGTGCAAGTGTTGTTCTCATGAAAAAAACCACCATCTGAGACTGAAACCATGATGGCGAGGGTTTCCCCCACCCAGGAGAGCCGCACGTCGAATGAACAGCTTCCACTACCAAATCACTACCCCCCAAACCAGTACCCCAGGGGTTTACTGGATAATACAGCCACTTTAAAGGCGCGTACAGGGTATTTGTTTCTTTTTCCCCTGGGTCCCGGTAGCTTCGGTTTGCGGTAGTGGTTTGGCGCATCTGTGCAGGAGTCGGACTCGATCCATCGGCTTCGTCTCGTTTTAGCGAGGTGGAGAATGCCGTGGGCAGCGATATGGATAGGACATCGCCGCCAAAGCCATTCACAGGCACGCCGATGTCTGTGTGACCTGCAGACCAATTGAACATGGAAACCCAGATTCCATCATTTTGAGAGGACACTGTTCTTGAGGCTCAAGAACTGGCAAAGTCACCTGTTTCCCTTTCACATCTTGAAAACGGGCGGGGAATGTCCGAATGGCCTCTGTCTTTTGAGGGGTGGCCTTTTGGGGGTTTAATGGAACGCCGAGAAACCGATAGATTTCAGGGGATCCCCCCACCCCCCACCCACGAAGCGGTGAAGAGCCGCCCAGAACTCAGCTCCCGCCTCACGGAGTTCGGCGAGGCGCGGGGGCGTAGGACTTAGGGCTCCGGGTGGCGCATGTTGGCTTTCCTTTCAAAACTCTCTTTGGACCATCCGTTTTTTGGGCGGGTCCATGTTTGTTTTCTTCTCCTTTTTTTGGGTGGTCCATCGTTGTGTTCGAGCACCCTTGAATTTTGGGGGTGGCGTAAAACTCGCCGGGGCGAGTTCTATCGATGTCACGCTTCAGGGGGCTAAGCTGACGTCGATGGTCAGCTGGACTGAGAAAACTTTTCGGGCAGACCATTTGCGTAATGTTGACCCCGGATTAATAAACCCGTCCCACTATTAGGGTGGTGTTCCCTCCAAAAGTGATGAATCCCCACTAAAGGGGGACACCCCCCCATTAATCAACCAGGGGTTTATTAATCCGGGGTGAACATTAAGCAAAGAGTTCAGACCCAGTTCCCCGAGAACGGCTTTTTTTTTCTCCCATGCTAGAGCGGCTTTTGGGTGATGTCTGATGCCTAGTTGAAGAGATGTAAATGGCGGGAATGCGCCAGGCACAAAAGAAAACGGAAGGAGCAGCCCATCAATTCAACCATGATATGGGAGGAAACAGACGCCCGCTTTGGTACCAATAAGTTTTGGTGGGGTTGATACAAGGTCGTTTCTTCCTGCGCTTCTTTAGGAAAGGCACAAGGATTGTGCCCATTTGCAAGAACTCCAAATGCGTTTGACGGCCTTCCTAACCCCTGCAGTCCATTTTAGGCTTGATTGGTATCGCTATGGGTCTGTGTGAGAATTCCGAGACTCCCAAAGATATGTTTTCTTCTAAGGTCTCCCCAACCAAACTTCGAGCTGATCTTTTTCCATTTGGCCGTGGGTCAAAAATAGGAACCCAAAACGGAACTCTGGAAAATGGAAGCATGGACACAAACCTGCGGTCCTCTGGTGGTAAATTTTTTTGACCCGTACCCATTTTCATGGTTCGTCCAAGAACCTAAAATGCCACGAGCCACGCCCAACAGGGACCCAGGACTCGCCCCTTATGCCGCGCCCACGCCCACGCCCTCAGGGCGCCTGGTGGTTCACGGACCCCGCCCCGGGCGCAAGGCCCTTCTCGGCTGCGAGCTGAGAGCTTCGGCTGGCTGCCATAGTTGGCCACCGTCATGTCCTGTTGGGGGGACTTACTGCTCTTACCCTCCCTCCCCCCTTCTTCCTGTCCCTCACCCTCTCCTCCCAAAAATTGTACAACATGCACAGAAGTTTGGATAAGATCGACCTGTTTGGTTGTGTGGCTGTTTCGGCCTGCAGGTTTTGCCACCCAACTGCTGGCAGGATTAGGACTTCAGAGGTATGCTGCACACCCCGGATTTTCACAAAACTCGTCCCACGAAAGTGATCGGGTTTTCTCCGCGGTGACTGCCATGTCCGGACCGTTGTTGTGTTTGTTTCAAGGGGTTGCTCCGAAACTTGGAAGGTGCCCCTCCAGCTACCCTTGGAGACCTGTGGATTGGTGGCTTACCATGGCAACCACGTTTCTGACGTACCCTGCCTCGCTGAGCCAAACATCAACAGGTTCCCAACCAAAGGTCATGTTTGCCTGAGGCAGCAGACAAGAAGGAGCTTTTTGAGAAGGACGGCGTAGACGCCCATTCTTTGCCAAGTCCAGACTCGCTTGCTGCGCCGTGCAGGAGGCATTGATGGACACGGGGGCTGCCAAGCCAATGCGCGCTGACGTGAGTTGCCTTTGTCCCCCAAGCACCACCCCCCCCCTCCAAACACACCTCCAAATTTGTTGTGTTTTAGTCTTCGCAGAGAGGGTGTGTTTGGAGGGCGGGTGGGTGTTTAGGCAGTGTTTTGCAGGGAGGTTTGACCGTCCTTTTGGGCTGTACATCATCTTTCCGAAAAGCCGATGTTGAGCGAGTTGCTTGGACTTTTTCTGCCGGGTATGTCATGTCTGTCCGATTTGATGGCCTTTCTCTTGTGGTTTTAACAGGGAAAGCAACAGGAACACCATTAGGGTCCAAAATTTGCGGTGTCCCCTACACAAAGACACGAACATGTTGACGAACATGTCTCGCTCTTGGTTCAATCGCGGCTTTGGGAGGTTTTCCTCAACGGACACGTCGCCATTGGAGAGGCGGGCGGATTTCTTTTGGCTCGCATGTCCTTTGACATGTTTTTTTTTTTTTTTTTTTTTCTCGGCGAAGGTTTAGCCTGATTTGAGCCCGTAGCCCTGGGGGCTACGGGCTCGAAGAACGCCCATGGCCGAGAGATGCATGTGAGGAATGTGAGAAATTAGAACCAAATATCGCCATGTTTTTATGCAGTTTCTCTCGGCCAAGTAGTTGATGGAATGGCCTGCCAAGCAGCCTCTAGGGTTCCACGTTTAGCTTTAGCGTCGTCCGATCGGTCCTAGACCCAATCAGCGATCCGTTAGCCGCTCTTCGAGCTTTTTCGGGCTTATGGAGTTCGCGAATTCGCGCATTCGCGCGAGCCAAGCATGGCTCGCTTGCTTCACGCCGTAGGCGTGAGGAAGCTGAGTGGTTGCACTCCGCGACTTCCGAGGGAGAAAATGCGAATCCGACATGGCTTTCTTTGGCCCAAACGGCTTTGGGGTTTCCTCCCGAAGACGCCCCAAAGACCAGTGGGTTCCCCTGGGTGTTCAAAGATGTTGCGGTTTGTCTTGAGGTTACCCTTTTTGAGGTTGGTTTAAAGGGAAACCAAAGGGGAACCGCGGAATTTTTGGGGTTCTAAAAAATGACAAATCCATTTATGCTCAACGGTTTATGATTCTTTGCCACGCGCTCTAGTAAAAGGGAATGACATGGGATGACATGACGCACCCAATCATTAGGAAGCTGGCTTCCTCGCCATATTCTCATGTTCGCGTTTGAAAGGAGACCATCATTTCTCGTGTTGTCGAGACCAATTCTCCACTTCGACATACCTCCTGTCCAACTTGGAACCAAGGGTCCGCTTAGGAAAATGGTCTTGGATTCCTCAGTCAAGGTCCATGTGGACGGGAGGGTGATTTACATGACTGCCCCCCCCCTCCCCCCTTGCAAAACGTGGAGCGCCTCACCGGGTGCAGAAGAACTTGGAGCGACGGATCCGAAGCCTCAGGCGAGAAACCGGGCTTGAAAAGCCTCGCTCGCCAGAGGCTTACACGTTCGCCGAACATCATGGGGGCGACTCTTTTTTATGGGACCATTCCCTCGAAACCCTAAAACAATACACCAGCATAGACCCCAGATAGCACACCACGGCTACGAACCATGACGCAGCATTATCATGATGATGTAGCCAGCACCATGATGATACCACAGCCACTGAGCATGGTGCGCTACAAACGCGCATACAACGTCCTAATGAGTTCAGCAGCATAATGATGATGTTGAGAGCATCATGCTGATACAGTCCTGATGAGTTCGACAGCATCATGATGATGCGGACAGCATCATGGTGATGCAAACAGCATCATGCTGATGGTAAAGGCAGCATCATGATGATACCACAGCCACGAACCATCTTGCGACAGCATAATGAAATTCAGCATCAGCCTGATGTTGGCAGCATCACGGCGCCACTACACTCACAAACCATAAAGCAGCAACGCAGTGACCCCAGTTGCATCATGACGTGGTTGCGAACATCATGACGATACACCAGCCACAAACCGTTACGCGCGAACAGCATCCACCAGCACCCCAAACTGCGTGCCCCTCCACCAGCACCACCCCAAACTGCATGCCCCCTAGCACCCGGCCGTCAAGCTCGCAAAACAGCATCCACCAGCACCCCAAACCGCATGCCCCCTAGAACCGCTCGCAAAACAGCACCCACCAGCACCCCAAACCCAGCACCCGGCCGCCAAGCTCGCAAAACAGCACCCACCAGCACCCCAAACCGCATGCCCCCTAGAACCGGCTGTCAAGCTCGCAAAGCAGCATCCACCAGCACCCCAAACTGCATGCCCCTTAGCACCCGGCCGTCAAGCTCGCAAAGCAGCATCCACCAGCACCCCAAACCCAGCACCCGGCCGTCAAGCTCGCAAAACAGCATCCACCAGCACCCCAAACCGCATGCCCCCTAGAACCGGCTGTCAAGCTCGCAAAGCAGCATCCACCAGCACACCAAACTGCATGCCCCTTAGCACTCGGCCGTCAAGCTCGCAAAGCAGCATCCACCAGCACCCCAAACTGCATGCGCCCTAACACCCGGCCGTCAAGCTTGGAAAGCAGCATCCACCAGCACCCCAAACTGCATGCCCCCTAGCACCCGGCCCTCAATCTCGCAAATCACTTTCCACTCTTTATTAGAAGTTAGAACCCCTATAGCTTTCAGCTATCTGGGGAAAAACGGATTTTATGGGACCATTCCATCAACAAAAAAAGACAGGCCGCCCAGAACGGGCCGTTGCAACCTCCAGCTTCTGGGGAAACACGTCATGTGCACACGAGTTTGTCTGGAGCAAGGGCGATTTCCATGGGCCGTTTGGGTGGCAAACCACTGCGACGTCCCCATTCTGGTGGATGGCTTGAGGAAAATCCAAAGCCGACCAGGTTTCGGGGTCCCGGTTTTGCAGCCCCTTCCCCCTTGGCTCAAGCCCTCAACAATCATGCATATATGCAAGACAACACATAGAATCATTAGATTATATATATATATATACATATATATATATGTATTAATATATCGAAGTGTTTTGTTTGTTTGCAAAGAACAATGGAGATATGGACCGTCTTAACCCGACCCTTCTTTGGACCAAGCTCGCCCACGAGTTGAGTTGGCCGTCCATTTTCCGCTTCTTGAGGCTCGGAGGCCCGGTCCAAGCCTTCGCTGGGCCAGAAGATGAGAAGACAGGCGGGCAGATCGAGTCCCTGGGTCGAGTCCCTTGAATCACTGGATCTCCCCTTCAAAAGTCGGAATTTGCGGGTGGTTTCCATAAAAGTCGCCACTTTTGTGGAGATAATAAGAAAGCAATGGATGTCGGGATGGATTCTGAAAAGGATTCTGGAGATTCTGGAGATTCTGGAGATTCTGGAGAGGATTGCATTCTCACTCCGTTTGTATTGATTAAGGAGTGACTTTAGAGTTCGCTCATCCTTTTCACATCCCTTCTCTTTCCCTTTCATTTCCGTCTCCAGGTCCCGGAAAGGGACATGGAGGAAACCCTGTTGAAGGGGCCTTGAAGGCATAAGGTGTTGAATGCCTCTCTTCTTTTCAAGTAATTCGTGCTTGGTGGTCTGGATTGGTTGGGGATGTGAGCCCCTGGTTCTTGTAGAGACATGTGGAAAACAACGGCATCACACCATTGGTGACCTTTTGGAGAAATAGATGGCTGGCCCTTCAGTTGAAATAAGACAACGCCAAGCCAGTGGAACTGTCTATTTTCAACCAAACTAACCTAAAAAGGACACCTATGCTTGAAGGCCTCTCTTCTTTTGTTGGAAGCTGTGCCCCTCCCAGTGGTCTTCTCCTTGAGTTACCGCATGTTTGCTGGAATAAAAGGGTAAAACGGTCGGGGTCCCCGACTTTGAGGCACCTGCATGAGCATCTGCGACATGGGCTTGTGCATCTCTCAGCTTATTGCCTCTCGCCCCGTGCAAAGCGCCGATTCGCCCATGAGCAATGGCGGAAAAGAAGACCTTCCGAGAGTTCACTTCCGTGAGGGCCTTCTATGACATGAACAAGCATCCTCATGGCTATCGCTATGTTCGACTACTGCAGGCTCAGGAGAGCGAAGCACAGGCACACATGATCTTGTTTGCGAAAAGGTCATGATGTCTGTGGTCATTTTGGAAGATTCTCAAACTTGCTTTTTTGGCAGGGGGGATACCTTCCACGACAAGGTTTGATGTCGTGGTAGGAGCAAGTTCTGTTATGGTATGGAAAGCTGTTGTGAAGCATGGCAGGCGCGCCCCCTCGGACTCAAACTCTTTTTGAACCCTTCTCTTTTTTTCTGGTCTTTTGCAATTTTCCCGGTGAATTTTATGCGTCCGTCGGTTTTTGGGGGGGGAATCCCGAATTCGATTCGGGTTTTCACAGGAGGACAAGGCGGCAGGGGCATTGATCGGCTTGTCCACTGGTTGGGTCCCTGCCACGGTGGCCGAAGACTTCAGCGGCGATGGCGAGGTGGGACCCGACTCGACCAGTTCGAGACGCAGCTGTTGGCATTGACCTTGACTCAACTGGATGAATTACTGGATGATGTCTATGGCTAATCCGAATCTACTCAAACAAGCTCCTGATGAATTACTCACCATGTAGAAATTTAAAGCCCTAAATGAATGCCATTCCGTGGGGGACCCTCCAAAAACTCGAAAAGCCCAAAGGGGGGGGGATCCCAAAAGGAGATTGCGATCCTGAAATTGAAAAGCTGTTGGGGGGGGTTCTTCCTGTATTCTGCAGGGGGGTAACTCACCTTTTCGCGTTTAGGCCCTTGGGGTGTCCTTTGTTTTCCCACTCGACCAGCATTTAGTTTGTCTCAACGGGAAGTCTGGCCAAGTGGGACGGAAGAAATCTGGAGGAGCTTCTACAGCAGGCTAACCAGGATGCTTAATGGATTTTACTCTCTGCGAGGTTTGCACAAGCGGGATGAACACGAACACCAAGAGATTTGACGTTCTCAACGGATTTTATACCCCTTTGCCATGGGTGTATCTTTTTTTGAGGGGCCGGGTGCCAAAATGGCGCAACAGTTGTCCTTCTGGTTTCCCCTTACAACCAGCCCCTGAAAGGGGGGACCAAACTCAGCAAAAAGACGGGCCATCGGTTTGGTCTGACCGTCTGACCCCAATGAAAAGGGTAAAGCGGAGGTCGAAGAATTGCGGTTCACCTGTTCAAAGGATATGGGTCTGTTGAAAAAGGGGACCCCTCCGCCCCCCAAAAAGAAACACACCCAGAAAAACTATTGTTGTCCTTTGTTTCCGATGTATTCCAAGCCATCGCCTGAGTGTTTTCATGTTTCTGGTTTTCCTTGCAGTTGCTTCTTCTTGATGTATTTTGTGTCTTAAGGTTTTCGTCCTGGTCGGAATTCTTCTTCCACACGGCTGAGAGGATCAATCCGCGCCACATGCTGTTCGAAAACGAATTCCTCTGGGCTGCTTGAGTACGAGCCTCGAAATCACAGCCTTCGCTCTCCCCCAGACAACTCAGTGCAATACTGAATCTGGGCGATCTGATGAAGAAAATCTTCATCAACAGCGCAATCTTCCCTCAATCTGTCAACCTTTCCCTGCGCAGTATCAACAAGAGTCAACGCAAAAACACGGCACAAAGAAGAGAAAGAAAACACACAATCTGCGCAGGTTGTGAACTGTTGTTGGGAATCCTCACCTTTCAACGTTTGCGTTTGCAAACGGGCACCGGTTGGCAACTGTCCTTCGGCGAGCCTTGAAGCCAATGTCGGAAAGCGGTGCGAAAGGATGCGTATTGGCGTGGCAAAGGCGGCACAAAAAGGCCGCGTAATGATGCTGTGACACCTCGAAAAAGGGGCCTGTACAAGCCAACGCATCTGCGGAAGCCGCCAAATCGAGGGTGAGCAACGTGAAGGTGTTTCATCAGGGTGTTCGACAACACATGAAGCGCCAACCCGGACACACTCACACGCAACAAGAAGACAAACCTGAAGCAAACAGCTCGCAACATTCACGCGCCTTAGTTGTCGAGCACTCAAACCGGATAAGCTCCTAGGCATGTTGTACAGCCGTTGGCTAGAAGGGTCGTGTTCTGCCTTCGTCCGAGCATCAGCAAGAGCTGGAGCCCAGCTCTGAGAAGGGGGGAAAATGAGAGCAGCTAAAACTCGTCCAGATCGAATGTGTCCTACCCAAGTGTCAACAACTGCTGGGTTGAGCATGTCAACCTGAGTAGCGTCAGTGAGAATGTCAGCGTTGACAACAATAATGTGAAAAGGGCGAGATTCACAGAACCCTTCAGTCCAATGCCGAACATCGTTTTCCCTCCTATCCCCAGCAAAAAGAGAAAGAACACAAAAGAAAACCCCAAAGTAAGGAACAAAATCGGCAATGTCCTGAAGAGTGGCTCTGCCCCCAAATGTGACACTACGCCTGACATCTCTGACCCAGCTTGGCACAAGTGCGAGTGCTTTGCATCGCATGCCGCTTGTTGCTGGAGTGTCAAAGAGCCGCAGAAAGCTCTCATGCCATGCAAGGACTGTTTCATACGCTGAAATGTCACAGCGCTCGCGCTGCCACAAACTGCAGAAATCATCATAGCTTTGTTTCACTGCCTGTGTTACAGCTGCATGAGTACCAAGGACAAGAGCAATGTCGGGTGGTTCAAGCGAATCAAAGCAGATTTGTTCTGACCAGATGCGCATCTGACAGCGGGCACCCTCGTCGCACTCGATGGCAGCTTCAACCGGAGACTCCCAATCATGCCTGTCTTCACAAGTGACAGGGGGCAAAGCCGGGCCGGGCAAGCGTTGGCATGGAACTCTGTGATGCCCTTGCAAATGTGGCTCGACTGAAACACGTGTGACCTGACTGTCATCAAGTGGCTCTTCCCAGTACTGTAAACGCTGCAAGCATGTGTTTGGTGCGTATTGCAAGTGCTGTCGCAATCTGGCAGAAAATTCCTCATGCAAGCGTGACAAACTGTACCGTTGCCGGCATAGCGCCTGCAGATCGAGAAGGCGTTGTGCTTCTTGTACGCATGCACTGACAAAGCAGCAGCTGTGTTGAAACTCTGGTTGCAAAACTCGCATGTGTGCAGCCTTAGAATCTCGGGCGTTCTAACTGCGCTGTCGGGGCTCAGCACACCTCCAGCCTCAAAAAGGGATGTTTCGAAGCGTTTGCGCCACTCCTCGTAACTGTTCTGAATGGCGTTGCGCAGAATGTCAACACTGACTACTCGACTCAAGATTCCTTTCCATTTAGAATCTCCCCAACCAGCTATGGCAGCCCATGTTTGCATATCGATCCAAGGCGAGGGGTAACCTTGGAAAGAGTCTGGCAAGCATGCTTTCAACCAGGCAAGGTCGTGCTTGACCAATTCAAGCCAGGACTGTTTGAGGTGCTTGTCCTCGTCTATGACAAGTCGCTGCAACTGATTTGGCGCGTGCTGCAGGAATCTTCGCCAATATCGAAGTCTATTGACACGGATAATGATTTCAGCTGAAGGTTGCTCTAGCGTTCGGAGCACTTCAGCATCAGTAACGTGTCGCCCTTCGTTGCTATTGTTCCATGCTGCAGCAATTGTCCGGTATCCGCGCATGCAGACAGCTTGCAGCGAACGCAGCTGCTTGGCAGTGACACCAAGCCAGGTCTCACTTCCAAAGAAAAGCACGGAGAACACACATGACTTTAGTATGTTCAATCGCCCGTGCAGGCTGATATGGCGATTCACAAGCACTTTGCGGACATCCTTCAAGGCCTGAGAAGCTCTGCCAATCCTGTGTCGGACTTCAGCGCGAAAATGACCAGCAGCACAAGCGAAACCGCCAAGGTGTTTGTAGGCTGGGGTTATATTGATGTAGGCCGTCTCAGCCCGGCCACACTTGTGGCTCGCAAAAGCGAGCTGTCCGGCCTCATCAAAATGCAATCTGCGCCCAATTGCTGCTGACTGCGGCCCGTGCAGCTTTAGCAAAACTTCTGATTTGCCCTTCGAGAAGTTTAAAAGCAGTCCATGCTTCCTGCAGATCCTCTGGGTTGCCGAAACGCAAGCGCGAATGGCTTCGACCAACACCTCCGAAGTGTCTGCTTGCAAACACAGCGCGACATCGTCTGCCCACAGCGTTGGTGGCAAAGCCTCAGACTCAGCAGCATCATACTGGATCCGGGGCATCATCGGCTCAATCTCACTGTGGATTTCAGCGATGGCTCTGCTGATGATTGCTGCAAAATTCACATCAGCGCAAGGGTCGCCTGGTCGCGTCCCCTGCCGGCTCCAGACCTGGGTGTCAGAGCTTCCACTGCCTCTAACTGGCACAGAGAACCATGTGTCCTCGAGCGCTTCCTGTGCGCAAGCCCGCAGTGCGTCAGAAATCCCAAAAGCTTCTAGGGCCGACTGCTTGTCTGTGATTGCTAGCACGGTATCCTCCTCATAGCTGCCGTCTGCTTCTTGAATGTTACCATGCACCATGCTGCGAATCACAGCGTGGTACGCCCCAGCAATATCAATGAAAATGACAGCGAAAGGCTTCTTCATTGCGTCAGCACGCGCAATGGCAGTTCGTACAACGTGCGCAGCAAAAGAAACGAGTTCCTTGGTGCGCTCGCCCGCCAAAATGAAAGGGGCTCAACTGTGGCTCGATGTCTGCAAACAGTCTCTTCCTCAGCACTGCATGGAAAATTCTGGGGATCACGGCCGTGATGAGAATGCCCCTGTACTTCACAGGAACACAGAAGGCTTCGCCACCACCCTTGGGGATGGGAGCCATGATGCCCCCCTTGTGCGCATAGGCTTGCTGCTGCCACGCACAAAACCACAAGAACAATGGGTATAGCACTTCGGCAGTGACAGCTGGGTCCGCTCGAAGCAGTTCTGGAGGAATGGGGTCTCCAGCAAAAGCCTTTCCGGCCTTCACCGTTTGAATTGCAGCTGTGAGCTCCTCAACATGCGGCAAGTCCTCTCGCTGAATTGGGACATTTTGCAGGACTGCTGCAACTTCATGCCTCCTTCTTCTGCATCTCTCTTCTGCAGTTGCTCTTTCTTCAATAACGCCGTTCTCATTGTTGGCAAAATGTTGAGTCAGCCCATTGGCAACTTCTTGAAAGGGCAAGGCCTTGACACGGCACTTCTGCTTGTGTCGCGGGAGGCACCATTTAATTTTCCGCCACAGCTCTGCGTGATCATGGGCGGACTCAGCTCTTCCTGCCTCAGCTGCAAGCTTCTGCAGGTGCTCGGCTTCGTCGTTCTGCAACGCACACTGGAGATCGGAAGCAACATTGTTGAATTGTTTCCATGATGCGGCAACCGTAAAATCGCACAGCTTGATCCAGGCATGAAAAGGCACCTCAACACGATATTGCCCCCCTTTCTGCAGAACCTTCCAGGCTTTGAAGATTTCTCTCATCTCGCCCTTCTTCCGCACAAAGTTCGTGCTGCGCATGCTTCTGCGCAATTTCTTCTTTTCTTGTATGAGGTCTCATGCCCGAGCTGAAATCCAAGACTTTGCTGGCCATCTGGCAACAAGCGGAAACTCTTTGGCTGCTTTTTGGGCACACAAGGTTCCCAACGCTGAGGCGGCTGCATCAATCTCTGCATCCCACGCAAGGGCACTTTTGGTTGTGTGCCTCACCTCGCGCATTAGCTCCTTGCAGCGCTGCCTGCCTGCAGGGGTGTTCATAGTGCGCCGATCGCAACTTCCCTTTTTCGCAATCTCTTGGACGCTGAGCTGTTTCTGCACATCTGATAACATCACTTTGGCAAAAACTGGCCTGTGGTCAAGATGTTGCTTGAGTGTGTCAACATCGTGGGCAATGCCAGAAACGATGTCTGCCCGAAACCAGGACTTTGGCAGCGCGATGAAGTCCAGACGATGCCAGACGCCATTTTTGTGCCACGTACCTGTGTCATCCTCGGGATCATCCTGGAACTGCTCAAAAGTGGCAGGAAGAAAGCAACCGGTTCTTCTGAGGTACTTCTCAAGCTCAATGCCGTTTTCCGTGGGACAATCTGCCCGATAGCTTCCAATTTCTTCACCAGTTTCAGCCCCGACCTTGGCGTTTGCGTCAATCATGGTGACGATTGGCCATGAGGCATAGCTTTCAACGGCTTTGGCAAGACGTGCCCAAAATGTTGCTCGAACTTTCTCCTCTGCCCTGCTGTGGGGGCTGTGGGCAACAACGAAAATGCATTTCCAGTCATTGTCCTCATACTTGACAATGATGTGTCTGTGGCTGCAACTCAAAACCGTGCAGCTGCGGAGACTGCAGCGGCACGGTTGCTTGTTGGCAGCAGCGTAAGGCAAGGACTTGCTTAGCCAAAGCTCACAGCCGGCCATTCTCATCGGCTGCTGCTGCGAAGACATGGTACCTGCATGTGCTGCTTTCGCCGGTTGTCTTGCTTCTAGTCTCCTGAAGTCCGACGCACACGAATCCACCGGCATGAAATTGTTCCTCAATGGCTCTTCTTGTGGCTACCCTTCCCTTTCTCTGCCTACCTCCGTTGTCGCGCAGTGTCTGCGCATTGTAGGTGCCTATTTTGAGCTGCATCTCAAAAACCTTCTGCTGCTTCTGGCACCTGGCTGCATGTTGCATTTCAACCCCAACCTGGGCAAGTGGGGGCTGCTCTAGGCACATAGTATCATTCTGTATGGCTGGCGCATCAAAAGAAGTATGTGATGCAATTCTGGCTTCCTGCCAAAGCCACGGCAGGACGTGCTCAACTCGACCGCCAAAAGCTAAATCAAACTCGACCGCCCAAAAACGGTTAGTTTCCTAGAGAGTTTTCTTTCGGCTCAACAAGCAAAGGGTCAGGTTATGCTTTTCCAGGGAGCTTCCGGGGACGCTCCTCCGCAGGGTTGAGCCAATCCAATACATTACATGTTAATTTACACCACAACCATTGTAAAGATTTGTAAAGAGGTTGCTGTTTTAAGCAAGTTTTGCGTTTTGCATTTTGCCCGTGCCCAGGACTTGTGTTTCTTTGAACGCCAAGGCTTTGATCAGGTGTCATGTCAGGTGCTGGTCAAGATGCACGGGCACTTTGACGACGTCTTTGAGCCGAAGCCGGTGGAGGATTTCTCTTTGGGGGGGCCAAGGCAACTGGTCGTGTAAGCCAATGTGCATCGGCATTCCTGCGGCGAGCTCAAACTTTCCAATCTGGGCGGAGTGAGCTCACAATGATGTTCCTTGAACCTGGTGTTTGGAACTGTTGCGAAGCTTCCCTTGAAGGGAGTCGATGAGCCTGAGCCACAATCAAGGCCGGGGTAGATGCAGGTTAGCAAGGGATAGTCCCCAGCCATACATGGGTGCCTTCGCCGCCTGTTTAATTCTTTGCATGGTCCTGGGCAGGCCATTTTACCGATCGGTTTTGATTATGACATCCAGGGTCTGGTGTTGTTTCTCGCCATAAAACCTCCGAGGAGGGAGGAGGGAACCCAAATATGGCCTTCTTTGGGCTCCCTCGTGCCGTGAGGACATGCACTGGAGGGTCCACCCCGACTTGATCATTCCTCGGACTGCGAAGGCGGCATCCATCGAGCTCTCTCTGCTGGTGGTGCGCTGGAAGCAGTATTATCCAGGAACCAGGCATCGGTTTTATGCGTTTCATGAGGATGGGAGACATCTTTAAGACATATCGTTGGCTCGGTTTTGTTTAAACCGTGTGGTTGAAACATGTTTACACGGGTGGTTGGGCCAATCCTGGTCATGGTCGCATGTTTGAGCTGTAGCATCCTTCTTGGTGTTTGTTTTAGGGCAAGTGGTTTGCACCCTTTGCCCCGAGCCATTGTTGGAACACGTTCAGCCAGCACCTTTGGGATCCCGAATCCGAGTCCTCGACTGCTCGATTCCAGGGCATCACGGAGTCACAACGTGCTGAACGAGGATATGATCAAAGACGTACTGGAGGGTGCGGGCTCGCTGAAGGAGGCCCTTTTGGTTTGCACAGGAAAACAAAAGGGAAACCAACCATTTCAGAGGTCCCATTTTGGTTCCTGCCAAGAGCAAAATCAAAGGGGCCTGTGGTCTTTGGCGCCCTTTGAGCCAAAAAGGACTGGACGAGTTGGGTTTGCTGACCCACCCCCTCTCTTTTTGGGTTAACGACCATGTTGAAGGGCATGCAGGTAAATATACGTCCACTTTTTCTTGCTCAGAAGCGCGAGCGGATAGAGATCTCCTGGTTGGTGGACCACCCGAACCTGAGCGATTTTTGCTTTGGACGCCCATGCGTTCCGCCTTTTCGTGGGGTTCCAAAACCGAATCGTTTCGGTTCGGCGGGGGGGCGGGGGGGGGCGAGGCCCTGGGCAAAGGGCAGTACGAGATCTTCACCGTCTTCGCCTCGCGGGGCGAGGACCTGGACGCAGTGCCCTCCTTGGTCAAGAAGATGCGGGGCAAGAGGCGAGATCGATTCGCGGGGGTTCGGGGAATGAATACGCACCAAAGTCCGCGCAGCCGGTGCAAGGCTGTCAAGGGCATTTTTCCGTTCTATCTTCGAGTGTTTTAACAATTCAGTGAGTTTTGCCCAACCCACTTCTTCGAAAGGGTGTTTTAAGGTTGCTTGAGCCAATTTGCCCAACTGATGTTGTTTGAAAATGCGTTTGGCATGTTTGCAAGACACCACTTTTTTGCAGGGTACGGGGTCCACTTGGTGTCCCAAAGGCTTGGTTGCAAATTTGGTTTTACCAGCTTCATGACCTCCGATGAAAGGATCACCTAACTGATCAAGGGCTCAAAAACACGGTGTAGGGGGTCTTTCTTTCTTTGGGGGGGGACCCTCACAATGAGTGGGCTTGGCGTTTGGTTCCCCTTTAAAGCCATCAAAAATGGGGGAGCCTCAAAAACGACAAGCCACAGATGTTTGAGCAGGTGGCTCTTTGGCTTCAAAGGTTGCTTTGGGGTCCGCTTTGCACTCCGCTTCGAGGTGGGACAGGTTCCGGTTCCCCTCAAGGAGTTGCCATGAGTTAACAGCCTTGTCAAACAGATTGCAGTTTGAACCTGACAAGGGAAACCGCCGTGGAGTTAAGCTGAGAGAGTGTACATAGCCCCTTTGTTGACCCCTTGTTTGCCTTTGAACACAGCAATGTGTTCACGCCGTATTTTGGTGTGCGCCATGTTGAACGGGTCAGCGAACCGCTTCGAAGTGACTTCGTGGCAGGAAGGCTGCGATGTACTTCCTATGGCCATCCCAAAAGATGGAGAAGGATGCTTGGTCGCAGGTTTTACGGCTTGGCGAAGCGAACCCTTCCGCGTTTTGAGAGGAAGCTCCTCAGGGTGTTGGGTTGGCAAAACCTGTTCAACCATTTTTGGAAGATGATAATCTGAATCTTTCCCCCCCGAAGCTAGCAACGACAGTGACCTGGCTCATTTCACCTGGCAGCCAGGAAAGCCGCTGTTTGCCTCTTGAAAACGGCTGTTGCTCCCCTGGCCAAATGCAGCTGCTTGCTGCAGTTGACGGATTTTCCAAGAGTCTGTTGACTCAGATAAAGCAGCGGACAGACGTGGGGGGACGAGCTCGAAATTTCCCAACAAAGCTAAGGGGACAGAGTCCCAATGTGTCCATGTCCTTGAGGTAGCCAAAGGCATACTTTGATTCAGCTGCTTGCATGCTATGCAGGGCTCCTCAGCAGGTACATTTTGGCAGTTTCTACTTTTCTCAAATGGAGCCCCTGAGTTGTTGGTTCGTTGAGGCAAACAGCCTTCACTCGGTTTTTATGGCAAGGAAGAGCTGCGGAAAAAAAACACATGTTTGAACTCCCCTCAAAGGGCAAAGCAAAAGAGTTTGTTGAAGCAGTAGCTGCTGGAACATGTTCAAACCGGGATTTGGCAGCCAAACCACGTACCCTCCCTCCAAATTTTGTGTGGAAAACAACTTCAGATCGACCACTTCCCTGATTTGGAACCAAGCCTGGTGAGCCCTAGTGTCTACACATGGCCATTCGGCCAAACAACTTCACTTGGTTTATGTGTTAGATGAAACAGTGGGTTTAACCCCTAGTAAAGCAATGGCAGGGACCGAAATTGAATGATGAAGCTAGGCTAAGAATGGTGGTTGCATCCACCACCCCCAACAACCGCTTTTGCCTTTCCCGCGTCCAAACTTCCAAGTAGGCAACCCACAAGCAGTGGGGGTTACATTGACTCGCGTCTGGAGTTCCTGGACTTTCGTCACTTTGTGGGTTTGGTAAATCAAGTGAGTTGAGCCCATCGCTTTTCTTTTCTGGCCCGTCACTTTTTGGGAACCTTCTTAGTTCTTCGAAAGACATAATATATATATATATATATATATGTTCCCGTCGCCCGTCGTCCCCAGCCCCCCCCCCCCAATGGTATGGGTCCATCCAGGGGGCGGGACCCTGGCCCCCCCCCCCCCCACCCCCACAAGGGGGGAAGGGTTTGTGGGGCGGCTTGCTCCAGTGTGCGCGCGACGTTGCGGGCGCGTTTGCAGCGCTGTTCGTGTGTTGCGCTGCAATGCGATTTGCTCATTTTGCAGCACGCGACAAGTTGCAGCGCTGTCGCAATTGACAGTGCGCGATGCCACGACGCAGTTTGTGGTTTGCAGCGCCGCAACCAAGTGCTGACCAAGTGCGCTGCAACGCGCCAGTGGCAAACGCACTTTGCTTGCTACCTATTATAGACCCCAGCGGGCGGTGTGGGAACCATGGTCGCGGGGGGCTTTGCGGTCGTGCTACCATTCTCCCCAACCCCCATTCCCACAGGGGGGCGGGGGTGGGAACCATGGACCCCCCCCACCCATCCCACAGGGGGGCGGGGGGCTTGTAGGGTCACACTGTGCTACCTTCTTGACTGAGCATGACCATTGGGGGGGGGTTGGGGGGGGGCCAAGGAAGCCTGGAACATACATCTTGATGATGATGATGATGATGATGATTGATGATGATTGATGATGATTGATGATGATTGATGATGATGATGATGATGATGATGATGATGATGATGATGATGATGATGATGATGATGATGATGATGATGATGATGATTGGTGATGATTGATGATGATTGGTGATGATTGATGATGATGATGATGATGATGATGATGACGATGATGATGAGGATGACGAGGATGATGATGATGATGATGATGATGATGGTTGAGTCATAATAGAACAAGAACACATCTAGATGTGCGGCCCCGTCGGCGTGGTTTTCTCCAAGGAGGGCCGGGTGAAGGCCGCAGCCCTGGAGGGTCTGATGCAGCGCATGGAGGCGGATGGGGTGAAGACCTGCTGGCCGCACCCCTTGCCGCTCTACCAGGAGCCACTTGCCGGGGTTTCGCGGCTCGTCTTTTGCGCTGCCCCCAAAACAAGGGGAGGGGGTGGATTGTTTAAAAGGGGGATTCCGAAGATATATGTGGACACATACCCACAGGAGGGATTGTGGAAAGGGGAGGGGGCCTTAGACAGACTATTTTCCTCTTGGAGATGGGCTTTGTGCATGTTCGCTGGTGGTAGGGTAATCCAAGAAGGCCTTTGCGGGAATCCGCAAACACTTGGAGGGGTGGATTGTTTAAAGGGGGGACATACCCCTGCCTGGGCTATCCTGGGCTCCTTTTCCTCTAAGAGGACTGACAAAGGAGCCCTTTAATTTGATTTGATGCTAATCCCCATCCTTTTCCAGGTCATGTCAACTCCCTGTTTTTCAGGTTCTGTTGCCCCTCCCTTTTTTTTGGGTGAGGTTGCCCCGGTTCTTCAGGTTTCCAGGATGCAACGGGCGGGGCAACAAACAGGACATCGTCAGCAAGAGCTGGGCGGCACGCGAGTGCGCGGCCCCGGAGCTGCGGATCCCCAACACCACGGAGGTGCGGCTGAGCGACGGCTCCGCCGCCCAGGCGATCGAGGCGCTCGCGGGACGTCTCCCCCCCCGCAATGAGATCCGAGCATCGGAGATCAGGCTAGTAACCGGCAGAGGTAGCGGCAGCAGCAGCAGTAGCAATAGTAAGAGCAGTAATAGCACAAGCAATGGCAAAGTCATAGAAAAGGCGATACTAAACTAAGAACAAAGGCAACAGATACAGATCATTTACACTTCACGCGCGTTTTGTTCGTCCATTGGTTCTTTTTTTCGCCTAGCGACCCCCTTTACGGCCCTCCGTCAGGAGCTGCAGGCGCTGGCGCGGCGCCAGGGTAGGGAGCCCCGCTCCAAGGAGCGAATCTACGGGGCCCGGAAAAGAAAAAAAAAGGAAAACGACAACAAAAACAAAACAGGCCCCGTTGTTTGAAGTTGGCGCGACTCCCTGTTCTGGTGTTTTTTTTTGGAAACCAAGAAGGAAAACCGATGTGTTTTTTTTTTTTTGGCGGGGGGGGGGGGGTCCACTAAAAAGCGAGGCGACTTCACCCCATGATGTAGCAGGGTTCCCGAGCCATTTCCCTTTTTTGGTGATCGTTCCCCTGGAAACCAAGAGACAGTTGCAACCTTCAAAACAGAAGTGTATGGTAAGGCCTGCTAAAACAGAAAATAGCCATCTTAGCACAAGTGACTGAATGGGTGGCCGGGCACTGCTCTTATGTGTTAGAGGCTTCGGGGGTTTGCAAAGTATCCCAATTCACTGGGGATATATACCCCCTATTTGGCTCGCTCTCTCTCCTCACTCCCTGAGTTCATGGACTTCAGACTTTTCGGGAAGACCATGTCAATGGCAAACAAACAGTTTGGAGCCTTTTGTTTGGCGAACCCACGCAGGAAATGAATAAATACATTTGTAAACAACAGCTACATAAACGTATATATATATATATAATAAATAAATATGTATGTATATTGGCGGCCAATGAACGATAGTGGGCCGCTAGGGATACACCAAGAGCTGTACATGGGTGTGGCTACCCAGAGGCCTTGCAGGGAATTAAGGAATGACAATTTTATGAGCCATTCTTTGTTTGTTCTTGTAAGGCGGGGATGTATCGCTGGGGGACCCCACAAATGCCGATGCGAATGAGGACACCGAAAACAAATATCGGCTTTGAGTATTGGCTTTGGCGGTTTTGGTATGGGGACAAGCCCAAAGAATCCAAAGCCAAGCCAATGTGAGCCGGGTAGCTTGAAGGTTCCGATCACTTGCAAGGACCATCACGGAGTTGTTAGAACCCGGAATCGGGGACAGCCCCATTTGAGCATAGGTGGAAACCGCCGCCCCTAGGATATGTTCACATGGTTTGGGTAGACTCCCAAGTGAGGTGGGGGAGGAGAACCAACTTTCGGCCACAACTACTGGGGGACCAACCACGCGCGTCGTGGGGAATGGCGGCTTTGGTAGAACCAAGAGCCATGTGGCTTTTGGGTGGTTTCAAGAATGCACCTTTTGAATGCTTGGTTGCCAGTGTTTAAAAAGGGTTTCCTCGACGAGAATCACATTCGACATGTGTTCCATCACGTTTGGGCCATGTTTGAAGTATGTTTCCTTTGGGTAAAAGCGACGGTAAGGGGGAAGGGTAGGGACCCTTGATGAAGTGGCAAGGGCTCTTGTAAGCATCACGCCGATGAACCTGCTGGCCCACCTACTTGTAAAGCGACCTCCAGAGCTTGGTGGTGCCTTTGGTGTGTTTGGTGTGTGTGTGGGGGGGGGGTTGCCCGCTTTTGTGCTCACCGGGGCATCGCGCCTCGCGCCCTCAGGAGGAATATGCTGGGGTGGCGAAACTGGGATACGCGTGGATGGGGGAGAGCGTCATTCCCTTCGTGGGTGAGGTGCACCTCGGGGATGGGGGAGAGGGGCCTGTGGAGGAAGTGCCAGAGGCCTTGACTGGTGATGAGGATTGGTGGTTTCAGATTTGAACGCCTGGTTCCTGTGGAGGGGACACCCCTAACCACCAAACGACCAATTCGAGGAGAGCTGAGAAAATGGTCAGGGGCACCATGGACATGAGCAATGTTCAATCTCCACCGTCACAGGGGATGACCTGCGCACGCCGACCGTCATTGGCGGACATCTGTCCTTGGTCTGTTTTGGTTCCCTTTCCACCAAGCCTTCACCCTCCCTCCCACTGACATAGAAACTGACTGGGGGTGCTCAAGTCCCGCGTTCTTTGAAAGGGACCTTTTGTCAGAGTCCATGTTAGTGCCCAAACTTGACCGGTGGGGAGCACTGTGTATCCGGCGGTTTTACGTGATGGATGCCGAAAGGTTCAGCAACAACCAGCGACTGAATTGCGTTGCAGGGTCTGCGCAACGGAGCATTCCAGGCGAGCGAGTTGGTAGCTCCAAAAATCCAGGTTTCGTTGTGCCCTTGTTTGGGGGTGCGCGATCGGAGTTTGGTCTGTCACAGCTGTCGTGGTCTGAGAGAACACTTGAGGACCGTTGGACCGCGTGCGGCTCTCAAAATCCAACAACCCCTGCCCAGCCGGGCGGGGCAAAGGAACCAAGCAGCCAACCGCACAGCGTGCGATCTTTCGATCGCCAGTTCGAGCTCCCTGCTCGTCCTAGCATCCCAAGAGGCCAACTCCAAAACCTTGGTTCCAAGAACCTTCTTTTGAGTGGGCCTTTGGTTCAGACCCATTTTCGGGTTATGGGAGGCGGAGGGCCTGAGTTCCAGGAGAACTTGACGAGGGCCCTGAAGAAGCTTCTGGACGGAGCCGAGAAGGAGGCGAAGTGCCTGGTGCAGGCGCGTCCAACGGGTGGAGAAGCAGATGACGTGGGATCGCCTGTCATTGACGGTGTATTACATATGCACCCGGATTCACTCATGTTTTTGGTTGGTTGCGGGGCTCGACATTCTGAGAGGGGGCCCGTCTTTTCCAACCTTTTGGGTTAATTGTCTCAGTTTCCTGCTAAATGGATTTCTCAGCAGACTTGCTGTCCTGGTTGAAACACATGAGTGTCCACCCATTACTTGAACTTGCCAAGCTCAACTAAGAAACCCCCTTGCGCCCCTTCGGTCAGGGTTCCATTTGGGTTGAAGCTCTGGTACCCCTAGATCCCCCGAACCCCTTTTCGTATGGACCAAAAAACAGGTCTCTTTCGATTTCCCCAGAAGGTTCCCAGCGATTTCCGGGTCGAATCATTCTGCATGTGAGTGACGGCTTGCACTATTCGGAGTAAGCGTGTTTCTCAAAATTGGCACCCCACTACAGTGTTCGGTTTCCTATTTGTTCTTCCTTGAGGCAAGATTGTGCCCAGCGCACGAACTAATGGTCTAAACATTTGCGAAGGGGTAAAATTGCCCAACCTTCTCACCCTGTTTGGTCCATGAACGCAAGCATCCAAAGAGACCGACAGGAGCGCATTGAAAACGTGCGCTGCGAGATGCGGGCCTTCTGCTGCAGGGATTACGCGAACTCCGAGGAGCGCTATGCCATCAAGCTGCTGAACATTCAGATGAAGCCCCCCACCCACCAGGCAATTCGTGAGTGGTGCAGTTGGGAGAATGGGACTTGGAAAAGTCACGATAACAGGAAATTCCCCACAAAGAAAGTTCAGGGGGCTCGCTCATTTGGGAAGTAGCAGAAGCTTGGACCATCAGGCGAATGGTCCGAAAGCACCGAATGCAATGGTATGTCGAGCCCATACCATCCCCAAGTATGTTGCTGGTTTCTTCCTTGACCAATGAAAAACTGGTCTAATATGGCGATGCTGTTTCTTGTGGTTCGAACGCCTCCAAGGCTCAAAAGAGGCTGGGAAAGCAGGACGAGGTCCATTCACCTTTGTTGGTCTGGATGGCAGGGACTTGGCCGAGTGTATTGTTGAATGGATCGATGAATGGAGCAAATAGATCCGTTCCTGGATATGGTTATTCCTTTTTGGTGGCCGGCACACATGTACGATCTTGATATGAGAAATCATCCAAAGACCCCTTTGGGATCAATAGGGATGGCCATCCACCTGGAACTAAGGATCCTAGCAACCATATAGTGATTCCTGGTACGGGAACCATGACCATGGGCCAAATAATTTTGACTATAGCTAACGCGTTGGGGACTGTATATGTGATGCAAATTAGAGTGACACCTAGGTGGTTGGACTAGAAGTTAATCTGGGCGGGGGGGGATGGGAGAATTTGACAAGTGAATTTGTGTTTCAGCAACAAGCGCCTTAGCGACTGGTCATAGCACGGTCAAAAATGCTTGCTGATTGAACAAGTTGTTTTGCTTTGGGATTTGCTCCGACGAACCTCCCAGTTTAGGCGAAGCACGCAGGGCTACACTGAATCGTTCCAGCTTTCGACTGGCGTTTTGCTTGGCAGACCTGGGATCCTACTTTCCGCATGGCCGATCACAGAACCTGGACTGATGATGATCTCGCGCGGCAGTGTTTCGGTGGCGACAAGACCCTCAGCTCAATGTGCAAGTCTCTGTTTGCGTTGTCGGGCCCTTTTCGGATTTCGCGCCGCTTTGCCTGAATTGCTTTGGTGGGATCGCTTTGCGGAGTTGTTTCTAAGGGAAACTAAATAGAGAGCGTCCATTTTGCGGACACCCTCCCATCAATTTTGAGACAAGTCCACTCAGCTATGTGTCAAACTAGGGCGACCTCCCGCCAATGGCAGTTTTCCCCTTGGCTTCCCTTCAAAACAACCCCATAAAGGTGTTTGGGGGTACTCGCAAACATCGCATCCATGTTGGTGTGTGTGTGTTTTTCGTGTTCTTGTTTTTTTTTTGGGGGGGGGCGGGGACCATCTTTTGGTCGGTGTGCCAGGGAAACCAAACGGACACAAGACGTGTGCCATTTGGTTCCCGCGCATCTCCAGGAAGCTGGTGGCCAAGGCGAAGGCTGCGGTCCTGCAACTCACAGAGCGGTGGATGGATTGGTTCCGGCGCAATCACAGTCGCCTTGCGAAGTTGTTTTTCCTTTTTTTTTTCTTTTTTTTTTTTCTTTTTTTTTTTTTTTTTTTTTTTTTTTTTCGGCTTTTGGACCTTGTGGCATTTGTCCCATGGTGACAGCATGGGCTTCTTGTTGGTCATGTTGGCCGTTTTGTTTCTTCTTTTGTTCCTTCCCCTTTTTGTATTTATTTAGCGCAGGTACAATGTTACCAATCTGGACCCTTCAACTACCAAACAGACATGGCTCATCATTGTGGGGGCAATTTCCGGTTTTGGTCAAACTAGTTTGAGAATCCATCTTGTTATGTCGAGGTCCTTCCTCGTTGGTTCGCGTGAGGTGAGCCACACGTGATCCGGATGGACTTCATGGTGTCCGTCCCTTGCCAAGAGCAAAAGGGGATGGCTTCACAGGAAGCCAGGGGATGGATCTAATCTTTGCATTTCTCTTCATCATCTTGATTCTTCAGTATTCACTTCCTATGGAAATGGTCTCCTTTGAAAAGGTGTTATACTTTAGGGTAGACTAAATCTGCACCAGAATCTGAACATGGTTTAGTGTGTTCCCCAGAGTTGTGCCAAGGAAAGGACGCCAAAAGGGCATGGGTGATTAGTTTCTTATATTTCCTACATCTCCCTGTCAAACTCCCAAGCAGATGGGTAATACGTTCTGTTATTTTCCTTGGCCCTCCCCCCCCCAAACAACAAGCACATATCTCCCTAAGTAACTGGATGGGCTATTTGAGGCAAGTGGCTGCATTTCTCTAGACCCAAAAGAACTCCCAAGCGGATGTGTGATTGCAACCTAGCCCTCCCCCTCCCCACCCCACTTCGAGGCAATGCAGGGCATATGCATGTTCAAACATTTTCCTTCCACCTTCCCCCAAACCTCTCCTCCCAACCTCCCCCAAACCTCCTCCCAAACCTCTCCTCCCGGCCTTCCTCCCCAACCTCCCCCAGCCTGAAACCACCCCCCAACCCCCCAACGCCCCAAGCGTCTTGTCCGCTTAGGTCCCGGCTCCCGGCGATTTTGAGATCCACACCTGCGAGCTCACGGAGTGCGGCGGCTCCACCTGCGGCCTCCACGTGGCCCCCCGCACCAGCGCCACCCTCAACGCCTGCCTGGCCGACGGCGACTTCCCCGAAGCCTTCCCCAAGCCTTTGCCGCCCTTCCAGGACCGAACGCCCGGAAGCCCGTCTTCCATTTGCGACTATGGTTGCTTTCTCCCCTCCCCCCTGTTTTTGGAAGGGGAATCACTGGAAGTACGTTGTATCCGGGTTGTTTCCCCATTCTGAAATTATGTTAAAACCATCGTTCTTTTCAAAAACCGGCCATTTTCCCTGAATTGTTTGGAGGTTTTCAAGCCAGAAGGATTCCTGGAAAGAATGGGGAAGGTACCATTAGAATTGTGGGTTCACTGGAAATACGTTGTATTCCATGAGACTTAAGCAAACGGAGGGGTTGGTTCGAACAAGCTGACACCTAAGGTGGCTCGCCTTTTGTTGAGGCTCGGTAAGCACCTCTTTTTGTCGGGGCTTTTAACGGACCACCAAAGGAACGGCACCATGTCAGGGGTACCCCGAAGAAAAAGACATACCCAAGTCTCCAGTGGCTTTTTGTGTGATTTAGGACCACGAGCGAGCCAATTGAGGTTTGGTTTCTCGAACAACCAACAACAAATCAATTAGCTTTAGTTGGTGGTTCGCATGCCATGAAGCGGGTCAAGACGAGGTGTCCAGTGCTTGTGTTGGGATGTCACCTGCGTTTTAAAGATTGTTGCGAAGAGAAACAAAAGCACCCTTGCAGGAAAACCCTTCCAGGACCATCGAGCTTGGTACACACCCATCGATTCAAGAGTTGGCCGGTTTGGTAGGTTTGGTACTCGCGAATCCCCTGGAGAGAGAGAGAGAGAGAGAGAGAGAGAGACAAATTGAAAGTACAGTCAGGGGCAATCACTTTGGCACCACAACACGGATAGGTTTCCCATTGGCCGCGTTCGGAACTGTCTTAGTTTGGGATTTCCATTAGCATGGGCCTGCCTGGGAGCAAACAATGTAGTTACTAGTAGTGGCTCTTGGACGATTTGGTTGGTGGCTCCGCCCAGTTTCATTGGGCTAATCACTGTAAAAGTCTGAACAGTCAATGAGTTTCAGGTTTTGCTCACTTGGGAGCATTTTGGGAGGGGACATGGTGGCCATTCTGAACGGAACGCTGCGGCAGAAGCATATAAACGAGGGCTATCTCAACCATGCTCCTAATCTCCAATGTGAAGTTGTTGACAACCATTGAAACCCAATATGGGTTTGTCTCAAGATTGGAGGATCCTTGAAGTTGGTGGGTTTCGTTGTGTTTCGCTTTAGAACCACCCAACAAATGGCACCGCCAAACAAAGACACACCCATTTGCTTTTCTAATTTTGTAAATCTTCACTCTCCGGAAGCCGGACCCTACCCCCCTTTGTTGCCTTTCCGCAGTTTGCGACCTCTTAACAACCAACTCGTCTTTTGCGGTTCCAGTGATTTCAGAGGAGCGCCGCCCTTAAATTCCCAAAGGCCATAGCTGGTTCTACTGCTTGCTTCAATCGGGGTTATAGTTGTCTGTAAAATGCGTATATATATATATATATACACCAACCTCACCATGTTAGTACAGAACTTCAATAGATTTCGCCGCAGGAGGAGCGCAATGAGCGCGACCGGAAAACCGAGAAGCCCGCCACGGCCTCGACGCCGGCCGCCTCGGAGGGCTTGCTGTCGACGCGGCGAGTAGAGCTGGGGGTGGCCATCAGCGCGCTGCTGGTCTTGATGGGGCCGCGGCTCAAAGGCCCGCGTCATGGACTGGACCCCGATTGGGGGCTAACTATTGAGGGGAGGGTGTAACTCCCCAATCACACCCCTTTCCTTGCGGGTGTAATCATCACCTTTTTTTCGGAAAGGTTATAGCTCGGATTTAGTCTTCTCTCTGGCGGGTCGACGTTGGTCTTTTGTTTTTGGGGGTAATTACCCTTTTGGGATGTTATTGGGAACGAAACTAGTCAACGGCATGTTGGGTGGTTCCCTGTGATTTTTACCAGACTCAACCCCAATCATGTTTGCCCTTTTGGATTTTTCTCATGTTCCCGAACGCAACCAGCAAGCAAGGGAAACCACTACGTGTCACCCTTGAATGGTGGTTCCGTACTTCCCTCAAAAAGGGTGGTTTGGAGCCAAATCGGTGGTTTGGAGGTGATCCAGGGTGGGGAAACCCATTTGCCCTCACTAAATCTGAGTCCTCGTTTCCATTTCACAGAGTTCCATTTTAGGTATGTTGGACCACCCAAGCCAAATCTGAACCACGTGGCTATGGGTCAAAATCCCGTACCCCCAGTGAACATCCCCACTAAAATAGACTAAAATGGGTGGTGAATTCACCTACCAACCAAAATGGTACCAAACCGGTTTTGACTCAGCCACATTTTGGTGGAAGCTCCCCGCGTTCAGCGCTCTGAGAGGTCTGAGGGCCAGCCTCGCGCCGCTCCTGGCTTTGGGTCTGCTGGCGGCCTTCTCCGCGAGAGTCGCGGCGAGGTTTCGAAGCAACGCTTAGGGCGGCGCGAAAAAGGGGCGGCGGGCATCAGACGTGGGGTTCAGCCCTTCAAAAGTTGGCCCAATTTAGAAAGATGAAGCTCCTGCCAAAATAAGAAAGGACCCAACCAGGTCTATCACCTTGTTGCGAACCCCCTCCAGCTACCAAGCTCCATTTTTCACTTGCAGATCAATTGCGTTCCCAGAGGAGAGCCTAGAGGTGTGACTTTCCTCTTGCTTCGCTTTATGACGAGTCCCAGCTTCTCAAAGCAAATTAGCATCAATAAGAAAACACATGCAGCCGAGACACATTCCCATCGGAGGTGGTTCCTCTGCCTGGTTTCATATCATTGTCTGGTAGAACACAAAATGAACCTGCTCCAACATTTTGAGACACGTAACAGGACATATCCATGGTAGTGTCGTGCTTGCCAGGCACCGGCAAATCTCTCTGATATTGATGAGCGATGGGTTGTTCGGCCCTCAGCGCGTGTGAGAGAAAGTCTGCTGCGAGCAATGATTAAGTTAGGTTGTCCTCTGGTTGCGGCCCTTTTTTACTTTCAACGGGCATTCAAAGAGGGGTCCGTAATTTTGACAACCCATAAGTTGTATAGTAAAAAAACACTCAGAACACTCATTCTAAAAGAACTGAGAAGATGACGAGCTGAGGCAGAATCCAGTGTCCGATCAGTGGCATCGTCGGCGAAGCCAGGCGGGCCGGACGTGGACGCAGAGGAAGGTTACATCCGCCTGTATGGCGAACTCACCGAGTCGCGGGTAAAACAAGCGCATGATGCAGGGCTCCTTAAAAGATACATTTTGCTCATTTGAAACATGTTTTTTTCCACCAAAATAAGGGAAACCACCATTTAGAAGGCAATGTTCAGGTGTAGAATGTAAGGATCCCTGTGTTGTAGGTCCTGTGCCTCGGGATTTGCAGAAGGGAGCCGCTAGGACACCAAGGATTTGGACAGTGAAAGCAGGTTTGGCGCAGACAAATCCCTGAGGGCCGCATGTGGTGCACCCCGTTTCCTCGCACCCAATGCAACCTCCACATGCGGGATACAGCAGTAGAAAGTTGGCACATCCTTGATAAGAGGTAGGGAACAGTTCAGTACAACCCTCAAGATACACCATCGAGAGCTTTTTTGGCCTTTGCTGAGATGAAGGTTCTCTTTGGCAATACGACTTAGGGGGACCCCTATTGCCCTATGTTCAGAAACGCCACGGGCCGAAGGCATGTCATTTTGGGTATCAGCCGAACCTAGAGAAATAGATCCGCCAGGGCCCAAAAGGGCACAGGTGTTTCTTGAGGGTACCCTTTGTCAGCTTGGTTTAAGGGGACACCAACCTGCACACCAGAAATTCCCCTATGTTGGCACATGCCCGATCCCCAAAATTTCAGGGAAAACCAACATGCAAACCAGAAACTATCCTATGTTGACACGTACATGTCCGATCCCCAAACCTTGGATCAGGAGCAGGCTCCCAGGCGAGCAGCAGGCTGGGCCCTCAAGCAGATGGATGTGAGCCTGGGGATCTCTCTCAAAGAAAGCACACCGCGTCACACCGAAAACGTTTTGAGCTCCGGTTCGGACTTGAGTCACTTTTGAAGGGACTGTCACATTAGTGGCTGAGACAAGAAGTGAGGTTACTTTGGCCTATCCACTCAAGCGAGGCGAGTGAGGCACACCAGGAGCACCTTACATGAAGGGCTTCAAGCTTGGTCTGGGCTACTTGAAGTCAGGGCCTGGCACGGATCTGCCAGGTCCAACCGACCGCCCTCTGCGCCCAGCACCTCCAGGAAGCCTGAGCCTTTGTGATCCCGCTGTAAACTAGTACGGCTCAGATACCGGTCCAAAACCAGGCAACACCGTTTTTCCATTCGCAGTGAAAAGGACAATCTGTTCCAGCGGAGCGTTAAAGAATGCAAGTCGCATAGAAGCTGCAAATAACAACCCTAGATATGGGTATTTAAAGTTTCACTGCATATTTGAAACGTTTGCACATCAAAGTCTTGGCATATGTTTGAGAAGGGCCAAGAAAGGGTTTTGGCTGGATCCCTTAACGGAGTTGATGTTGATTCCAATGGACAGAACGGGCTTTTTTTGAACAAAATGGCACCCGATGGTCGAGTTCCATGATTTCTGGAAGTTAAGTATCCTTGCGGAATCCACTTGAAAGTGAAGAGAGAGTCAATGGGAATCCTTCTTACCGCAGGTCTTTCTCCCACTGGAACCGGACCGGAAAAATAAAGACAGCCGCGCCTAGTGCCTGAGGCCCAGCTCCCTGCAAATGCAGGAGGCGGCCGATGAGGCGCTCTCCAGAGCGCTGGCACAGGCCGGATGCGGCATGTTGCCACGGGCGGGTTCGCCATTCGGGGGAGGGGAAGTTTGGGTAGGTTCCGATTGTCTGAGTTTTGGCAATCAGTTTGGCGAAGGTATCAGTTTTGGTAGGTTCAGGTTGTTTTCGCAGATGATCGGGTTTGGATCCTATCGGTTGGTGGCATTGTAGACTTCTGGGTGCTCAAAATTCAGGACTCCAGGTGATTCCCTTTGGTTCCCTTTCACAACCGTAAAAGGGGCGGGGCCGGGTCTTGGATTGGCATTTGATGCTGCCTGGGCAATGCTTAAGGACGCGGAGACGTCCATGAAGGATTCTGTCATAGGGATCGAATTCTTATTTGAGCACCGCCAGAAACCCGTCCTATAGAATCCCCGCGAAAGCCAAAACGCAGGCCGCGAAAGCTTGCGAAAGCTTATCGCGAAGGTCCCGCCGCGAAAGACCCGCGAAAGCCTGCAGCTGTGTGAGTCCGCCGCGAAAGCGTCGCGAAAGCAATTCTAAAGACAACAAAGCCCGCGGGGGTCGCGAAAGCATCGCGAAAGGGTCCGCGAAAGCAAGTTCATAGGACGGCCTTTTTACTCAAGAGTATTTGGCTCGGCTCATTTGCGGTCGGCGAAGAACGTGTTTTTGGGGGGGTCTTTTTTCCGAGGGTCGCCGTTTTGGGTGGATTTAGACGGAAACCCAGGGGAAAGCGTCGCGCTTCCACGGGTCCTCCCGAAAACCATTTGCGCGGCTTCGGCCCCAAAGGCCAGCGCTGGACTGGGCTTGGACCTCACCAGCCTGGAGGCGTGGGGGTGACTCTGAGCATGCCACGAGGGCTGAACAAACATGGGGCCCGCCGTCCGTTTTTCGTGGAAGGAAAGAGAATCAAGCCATTCTTTCGGGTTTTCCCCTTTGAGACAAAGCCTTTTGAGTTTGGCATCCCCCCATCAACGTTGGCATGTCTACTGGGGAGCGCGCTTCGTGTTTTCACATGCGCTGCCCATGTTGATAGAAGCCTTGAAACCTTGAGGCACTTGGGAGGCTTCACTCTGGGCCTTTTTGAGGTTTCTCACAGGATAAATGTGCATCGTTTCTTTTGGCTTCCCTTCAAGAACCAGTAACAAATCAGCTTACTTTGTAGATTGGTGGCCTGGGGATTTGATTCGTGGTTGTTGCGGAAGGGAAATGGGAAGCTATCCCATCAATCATCCCATCAATCCACACGACCAACTAGAGGGAAGTGAATAAGAAGGGATCCGCCATTTTGAGGCACAAGCAAAACCTGGCAACTCTTAGGGCGCTGTGCCCACCACAAATAGGTGTTGCCGTAGTGGGTCTGGCGCATGGCGGCTCATTTGTCCTTTGGGTTCCTAAGCCAACCCAAAAGGGGTTCCCTCCAAGAAAGACGAGCCACCCGCACATACGCCCATTTTGAGAGAATCAATGTAGGTAGATGTATATCTGTATATGTATATATATATATAAGAACGCAAAAACTTATCAGACGTTTGACCCATTTTGAGGGTACCTGTTTTTTTGCCTACATGGATTCTCTGGGACCTGACGAGGCGCCATCCCACATGGAGCCAAGCACCCAGTCCCTCGGGAAGCTTCCGAGCGCGGTGACGGTGGCAGGCTCGAGCCGAGGGGTTGCTTCAGCTGACCATTGGTTTGGTACCTCCGAAGTGGGACACAAACGACCCAGCTGTTGTTGTTCCTCTTGTTTTTTTTCTTCTTTTTTTTTCTGATGTCCACCCAAGGGTCCCCTGATGTACAACGCATTCGAACGTGCGTTCTTGTTCATTGTTTGGCTTCCCCAGTGTGATTTCAAGGGCGCGGTCCAATTGCCGAAGCCTGTCCATGGCTTGAAATGCTGGATGTTGCTGTTGCAGTAGTTTATTCAGAATAGTATTTGTTTAAACAACAATGTTTGTCAGTATTATCATTCTGGCGTGTTGCAGCGCAGGTGTTGCTGATTTTGCACTTGGGATGGAAGCCCTAGCCACCACTCCCTTGTTCGAGGCGTCCAAAGTCGGAAGCCAGCTGGGCATGAGTTTTGATATGGGGCCCTTTGGTGGGAGGCTGTTCCCTTTCAAAGGTACCCTACCCACCAGCTGGAGAACCTGCCACATCGTTTGCCACATACCCACCAACTACCGGGCGTGTGGGTGGACTGTTTGGTATATGTTCATGTAGCAACCAGTTTGTTGTTCTGTTAGACTCCGTGACATCAGTTTTCCCTGGTTTCCAGGAGGATTTCCTTGGGACAGGATTCAACTTCCGCAGGCCACAGACCAAATCTGCAAACCTTTTTGAAGCTTCCTGGGTGACTCGCAGACCAACTCTGCCAGGTTTAGGTGAGTGATTCAACATTCTGCACCTTTTGCTTTCCAAACAGCAGTGAGTTTTAAGAGGCAATCGCCTCAAAAGTAGTCAGTTGGGACACGACCCCCCACTTATATGATGTCCCCTAAAGGGTCCCTAATTTTAACTCATGCCCATTCAGAGCACCGTGCCGGTTTCCGCGAAAACGTCGGGGCCTTGTCGAACCGACGCTGACAGGCGAGCCGGTCGCTTCCACCGGAGACATGATCTACCTGGGAGGGGGGTGCTGCTGACACGTGCCAGAAGCAGTTTCGGCAACGCCCCCATCCCCCGTCAGAGTGCAAAGGAGGGGTAGAGCCGTCGTTCTTCTCATCCCTTAACGTCGCAGAGACTCCACCACTTAGGTATCGCAGAAAGGGCCTGTTTGTTGAAAAGTCAAGCCGCGTTCATGGCGTGCTGTGTCAACAAGCTAAGTGTGGGGGTGCAAACACCCTCCCTGTGCAAGGGAATCAAGAATCAAAAGCCTAGAAGGTTTGTAGAGGCCTGTTCCAAGCGTTGCGGATCGAGAAGCCCTGTTGATTCTTTGCCACGTGTCCATTGTTGGACACACCTCAACATGTAACCCAAAAAGTGAGCCGAAGCAAGTTGTGTTTGGTGGCATGTGAATATCTCATTTGCCTTTTTTGGGGTGGGTGCTTTCAGCTTGTAAAGCAAAAACCAAGAGTCACACCGAAATCCATTTGGGCACCGAGTCGCCCTAAGTTCGCCCTCCTGGCCAGCCTCTACGCCTGCGCTGCACCCGAGAAGCCGAAGAAGAAGCAGTCCCGAAGCTCAGTGCCAAGTGTTCAGGGGAAGTTTTTGTTTCCTCTGGTTTCCTAAAGGGGCCCCCCCCCAAAAAAACAAGGAAGAAGAAGAAGAAGAACAAGACAGTTTCCTCTTAATTTGGTTGTTTCCTTTGGTCTCCTAAAACGGCTCCCCCCGAAAATGGATAGCTTCCCTTTTTCGCTTTAGCCACCAGCCGAAAAGGGTCCACCATTTTAGATACCCTGGGAAAGATGTTTTGTGGCAAACATGAGCGGCGCTTTAAAACCCGTGGCTTGGGTGCACAGTTCAATCCGTCGAAAGTGCATTGTGGAAGATCAAAGGGAATGCCCTTGACAGTATTTAGCGGTCCTACGGATGGGTACCCCAGGAATATTCGAACAACCTGGTTTTCCCTGGTAATTCCTAACTCCCTTTTGACTCCGATTGACAAGAACTCCAAAGACAGGTGAGTACGTGGAGTAGGCAAAGCGACTGGCAGGGCGTCCAGAAAGCCGCCGAGAAGGCTCGAGATGAGTCAAGGGATAGCCTCTCTTGGGAAGGGCGCTTGTGGTTGCCACTGATCAAAGGCCACCGATTGGCCACACATCCCCCTTCAGGTATCATTTCAAACAAGCCCCATATTTTTTTTTTCGGGGGGGGGCAAAAGTCCGCTGCGATGAGGGTGCCCTTTTCGGCGGTGGTTTGCAAGGGAAGCCAACTGGACGCCAACTTTCTTAGGCAAGGACACGTGCGCCTAGCGGCGAGGCCTGCCTCAGTGATGCGAAGCGCGTCTGCTCACATCGTGGGTCCTCAGACGGAGTCCAGCGAGCTCAGTCCGGCGCCCAGTGGATTCGGAGCAGGTGTTGAGGTTCGTCAAAATAAGAATCATTAAGAATCTGGACCCTCAAAGTGCTCTTATGGGTTGTTGCCCAACATGATGGGATGAATTCCCGACTACCCTGACACAAATTGGGTTCTTGCAACAAAATGACGGGGTGAATTCCCCCTTTTACTGGGTAGTTGGAGGGCCTGGTGCATGGAAACAAGACTAAAACCGTGGTCCCCTGGTGGTTTAAAAATTTGAACCCACACCCAGGTGAAAAACCAAAACTCCAGGAACTTGCCCTCATCCCGTCTTGCATCCCCAGAGCCTATGTCACTGAGGAGGTTTTATCCATGCAGGATCACGGTTTTGTGGGAATTGCTCAGCTCTGTGGTACCAACGGTTGAGCAGCTATTTTAATTTGTTGTTGCCCTTGACAAAACCCCTATCTTTTCACCGCAACTTCAAGCATTTTTCATGTACCCTGAAAGTTACCGCACCACAGCGCACTGTTTGGTCTGGCGATCGGGGGTGTGAATCGCCATGTCATTTCCCGAGGTTCGCCGCAATCACGAGCGCACAGCGAAGGGTGAGCCGCAGCATGTGACAATGCAACACATGAGCCACAATCAAGACCTGGGCAGATGATATGGTAGATGAAGGTTAGTAGGGGACAGCTTAACCAAAAATCGGTGCGGATATCCGCTCTTCATTTTTTGTGCGTGAGGTTTGGGTAGACCAGTTTTGTCCCAGGGCTTGATTGAGCTTTGCTGCCACTTGGCCCATGGAACCCACCAGAGAAATGGCTTGAAGAAAGTTGTCCAAGCCAGGAATCCCGCGGAACCCAGTCCACAAGCAGGTCCCTTGTGCAGGAAAACCAGCCAATCCAGAAAAAAACGGTCAGCTTCGTCAATAATTTCACGGTGCCAGGCAGATCGGCTTCGCGAACCTATACTCTGAGCACCGAGGACCGACTGCCGACTGCGTTTCAGGTTCTCGATTAAACCAACTCTGGGCCGACGGATGGCAATTTCAGTTTCTTGCACTTGTTTACTTGCATGATGGCAGAAGAAAGATGTCAATCCTACGTTTAGGCTTGAACAATGAGGTGAACGCTATGCTTGTATAGCTCCACTGTCTGTTAGAGGAAGTCACAGGATGGACAAGGTTCAAATGTCCACAGACGCAAAGCTGGCCCCAGCCTCTAAGCCACCCTTTGGGCCCAAAGCAAACAAGTGGATGCCGAGCTTTGGTGAGGACCCTCGCGGGCCGGCAGTGTTGTGGGCAGTTCCACCACTGCAGTGCGCTCCTCATGTCGCTGCTTGCGAAAGAGGGAAGCAAGCACCGGTTGGGGTGAGTGAAGGCTTTTCGGATTCTTTAGCACGGATTTTGGGGTGGACTCCTTTCAATGCTTTGTTCGTGATCAGATGATTACAGGCTGAGTGAAGGTTTGAATTGGGGGACAGGACCTTCATTTGCTCCGTACACTATAGCTTCCAGATGGAACCCCCCAAAGCCGTTATTTGGTTGGAATCTTCTCTTGGAGGACCCCTTGCTTGGTCTCCATGTTCATTTGCAGGATTCTATTGCGGAGGTCAAAACGCTCTTTCTCCAAAGCTGGGCTTAGGGTGGACACCTCATGAAGGGTTTTGTCTCAGGTGACTCGCTCTCACTCTTTTGCCAGCATTTTGTTGAGATCCCAAAGATCTACATGCGGCATGAGAAGCCTCAAAGCGAGAGCTAATTATGGGTCTAATCGCGATTTGTTGGAACACCCCTGTCAGACAGACCCGAAGAAAGACCCCTAACATTCATGTTTTGGAGGCAAACCACCAACATCATGTGCAAAAGACCCGCCAAATCCTTTGCCGCAACAACAACTTTGCCAGGTGCCGAAGGACGCCCCAAGTCCATTTGTGGAAAACACCCCTTGAACGTCAGCTCACCTCCAAGGGACCTTCCACTGCAGAAGTCGCCTCTCTCTCCGAGGTTGGCCCACCTCCAGGCCCGCGAGTTTGGCGGCCTTCAGGCGGGGAAGACCCGACGCCCGGGGCACTCCCGGTTTCTGGGCCTCCTTTCCTAGCGTGGGTGTGGCCTTTCTTAGAGGACCTTCCAAGAAAGGGGGGGGTTCCCTTTGGCGTCGCTTGATCACCACGAAACAGGTATCCTCATAAGGTGTGCGTTGTTTTTGTGTGTGTGGGAGTTTCCGGTTCTTTGGTGGACAAGCCTCCCTTTGGTTGGTCTTTTCAGGGACAAAAAAAGACACCGCAGCATAGGAGACGGACTGCAATTTTAAGAGACACCAGTATGGCACCCAAGCGGCCCTCACTTTCTGAGTTTCTGGACTTTCCGCTTTTGGACTCTGATTTCTGTATCTTGGCTTTGCTGTAGGTTGTAACCATTATAGCCCTGTACAAGGGGACGAATTTGAAATAATTTGAAGACCATGTTGACATTAAAGGAACTCCCGCCCCCCTCACTCCCCGAGTTGGACTTGAATCCCCAAAGGGGCAGACCATTGTGGCAAGCAAGAAGCGACTCTTTTGGGTCAATCCACTGTGATCCCTGGACATGACCCCATCGGTGTTGGTGGGGTTTCGGGTACCCTATCGGTTTCCGGTGGTGGTATTGTCTGTGATAGGAACGCCTTCAGCATTGTTGTTGCACAACTACCCCTCATGTCTTTCTGCTGATGACCAAAGGGTCCGCAATTAAAGAATCATTCGCGCGTGGTTCCTCAGGTTCCGCACCCCCCCCATTATGCATGTGGTTTCGATGCAGGGGTAAATGGGAAACCAGAACCCAAAACAACTTCTCGTTCTGCAGGCGTCTCCTTTTTTGTGGCGCCTCACAAAGAAGTTCCTTAGGAATCTGCGGGTCTATCTGCAACCAATGTACCACATCAATCGACGATGGCATTGGTGGTTTCCCTTGGCCTACCAGAATGGCAGCTGGGTATGAATTCTGATTCGGGACCCCTTGGACATCAAACTTCGGGGGCTGAAGTTTCAAAGGGTGCCCTTTTGGGTTGGATTTAGACCCGCAAGGAAAACCGCCCGGACCCGGAGCCGATTCCAAGGTTCCAGACGAGCCACCCTGGGCACCTGAATTGTGGTTTCCCTCGCTTCCATTTGCTTCTTAAGAATGTGATTTTTAGGTTGGCCCTGTTTGTTTTAGTTAAATTAGCAGGTAATGAAGGATTTAAAAGTTTGTCTACTTCATTCTTTATTCTCGACATAGACGCTCCACGAAACGGAAGAACAAGTGTCGTTGACGATGGTATATTTTGAGGTGTTTGAGGTGTAGCTATAACACTTTCTCCAGTTCCACCTGGTGCGCTTGGTATAGACTGCGCTACAGCGGTTGTTGGCGTAGTACTGCTTGAATTTGGCAAATCTACCGTTATCTTTTCTTTTTAAATAGGGAATCTATCACTATGTAGAAAAAAGAAGAAGAAAAACATCCAGGGGGCTCAAGCAACTGGAAGCTCAGGGTCTGTGAGGCGTCCAGAAGCTGCCAGCCGCCAAGCTGGAGCCGCCCGCCGGCTTCGGCGGCAAGGCCTCGCGCCTGTCCGCCGAGGCGCGCGGAAGCGAGGCGGCGCGCGGAAGGGGCGGAGTTTTGGAGGCTCCTTAAAAGATACCATGGCTGTGGGTGTCAAAACCGTTTTGGTACCGTTTTGGGGTAGGTGAATTCACCACCCATTTTAGAACCTATTTTAGTGGGGATTGGCATGTTCACTGGGGGTACGGGACTTTGACTCATGGCCACATGGATATGGGTCAAAATTAAACCACCAGGAATTGGACCGCAGGTTTTAGTCCATGTTTCGATTTTCCAGGGCAAGCCATTCTGGGTACCTATTTTGACCCACATCCAAACATGGCACTTTCCACCAAGATGAAGGGACACCACCATTTACAAGGCAATGTTCAGGTGTATAAAGATCCCTGTTCGAGCGAGCGCCTGGGAAGCCAAAAGGAACTGAACGGTGGGAGAAGGGACAGACGCCAGGAAGCCAAGAATCGGATACAGTTCAGAAAGGTGGTCCTCCTTGGTTTTCCTTTTTGGTATCCAACCCGGAGACTTCTTTGTTGGGTCCCTTTTTGGTACGCTTCTTGGTGTCATTTCGGGAAAATGAAGGCGTTTCACGGATCGATCCGTCGATCCGTCGCTTGCGCAGGATGCGGGCAAAATGCCTGGAGAGCATGCGGAGGAGCGCTGCGGGGGCCGGGGCGCACATGTGTCGAACACTTGGGGAGTGGAATTTGGAATAGGCGGTCAGTCGGATGTGCAGTCTACATTCCAAATTCAGGTGTGAATCCAACGCTTGTGTGTGTGTGTGTGTGGGTGTTTGTTTGTGTTTGTTTGTTTTGTTCTGGTTTGTCTTGTTAGTTCGTTTGGTTTTGTGTTGTTAGTGTATTGTGTGTTTGTGTGTTTGTTTGTTTGTTTGTTTGTTTTTTTGCTTGCTTGCTTGGTTTGGCTTGGCTTGGCTTGGCTTGGTTTGTTTTGTTTTGTTTTGTTTGTTTGTGTGTCCGTCCGTCCGTCCGTTTGTTCGTTCCTGTTTGGTTGTGTGTGCGTGCATGTATATCTGGAACAACCTCAGACAGGGGCCTCTCCCAGGTAACGGGACACATCCGATATTGGATTCATGGGACAACCTGGCGCATAGAGGCCTAACTGGCCTAACCATCAGAAGCCTGAACCCACACCCTAAACCAAGCCAACCCTAATCCACCCTGACCCTGAACCAACCCTGGACCAACCCTGACACCCTAAACCAGCCCTAAACCAATGGCCTCTCAGAGGGAGCTATGCCCATCCCGAGTTATACATTGGCGGGGATGTAAATTCCAGCCGTACTCTCTCCCGTTGAGGGGTCGGGTCCTTCTCTTGAGAACAGCCAAACCTGGTGTCTGAACTGATGAAGCTGCAGCAAGGTAAACAAGGGCGGTTTTGTCATGTCGCATGTTCTTAGAAAAATACCTTCAGGCAGACTGACTGAAACCCGAGGTTCTTTGTTTCGGGGAACTCGACCAACCCTGATTATTTTCTTCTGCTTCAGACCGCCTCGTTTTTGTCTTCAGGAGCGCGCGCACTGCCGGCGGTCCAGCGGCAAGGAGGGGGTGATGCTCTTCGGCTCCAACGGAGTGCTGGCGCACATGCGGGACCCGTCTTTGGAGCAGCACCAGGCGCGCGAGTTGGAGTCGAACGTAGTCTGGTGGGACCTGGTTACGTGGCATGGGATCCCTCAAGGTTCAGGAAACCCGAGAGAAAGATGGTTTGGATGGGCGGTTTGGAGGTTTTGGAGACTGAAACCAGAGTTTCCTGCGGGCAACTAGATCCGGGGATTAGTACCATGCCATTTAAAGCAAACTGCTTTTGGTTCCCCAAGGGCAACCAGTGGTTTGGATTGCTGGTTCTTGAGGGTAAACTGGGGTTACCTCACCCCCAAATGAGAAGCTGGGTGACTTCGGTTGGCTTTGCGCCTTCCATTTCACGATTTTCCACAGCCGATCGAAACCTGACCGGACTCGCGAGCGAGGCCGCGCCGCCGCCCTCTGGCCCACCCAAAGGCATCTCCAAACGCCTCGAGGAGCGCAAGGCCGTGTCTCGGCTCAGAAACCGAGGTGAGCTATGGCTTGGTCCCGTAGGTGTCCCTTTTTGGTTGTTTTGGCAAAATAATAGATGGCCCGACGAGTACTCAAAACGATATATATATATATACATATATATATATATATATGTATATATATATATATGTATGGATGGATATTTTGCCAACAGACTGGTTCCTTTACTTAGGTTTGCTGGTGGCCCTGGATCCCATTTTAAGAGTTTTGAGACTAATGGCCCACATCACTGGCACATGTAAAGTTCAGTCGAAACCACCAGCAGCCTATGGTCCATTTGAGAGGGACTCGTCAAATGCTTGCACAAAAAGAAGGGACTCGCGATTTTGGTTCAGCTTGTGGAACCCACTGGGGAGTCTCTTTTGGAGGAGAATTGTTGAAACCAGGGGCCCTCCAGTCGGGTTCCATGTCAGTGGATGGGAGGGTACAGCAGGTTTGGACATCACTTGTTTGTTTCCAGCCCAGCATGGGGTACGGGGCTGTACCAAAAGGAGTGCTTGCCCATGGTTGCGGCTTCAGTACAGGGTATGCCAAGCGGTCGATAGCACTGGCAAGCATGCACTTAGGGGACTCGCAAACTGTGCTTCGGTGGGCTACCACGGTCCGTCATCTTGGGATTGGGGCTGGGATCGGATCTCCGAGCTGAGGCGAAGCAAGCGCGGGTCGAGGAGGTTCTGGAGGCCGGACATCGCCTCTTTGGAGGGTTTCCCCGCTTGCAGTTTTGGGCTCTTTCCGGTTGCCTTGAAATCCAGCCCTCCAAGCGTGTGGTGGTTTCCCCTGCGTTTTTCGGTTCTTCCGTTTCCCTTCAAATCAAACCACAGAAGGGATGCGCCCAAGACTGAAATGAATGGTTTCCCTTAGTTTCCCTTCAACTCCACAAGATGCATCCGTCTCCGGCCGGCCGCAGTCGCAGACACATCCGCCATCTCCCGTCGGCCGAGCCCGTCGCCGTAGGAGCGCGCTTTGCGCCTGGCGACGGAAGCTGCAATAAGCATGCAGAAGCGCCAGAATCTGGTTTGGTGGCCTAGACTCCTGTCATGGGATGCTGGGATTCTTAGATAGTTTGCACTGCCGCAAAGCAGCTACCCCCACGGAAAGCAGAGTGGTTGTATATCCCTGGAGGTGGCTTGGGTTAGGTGGAAACCATCTTAGAGTCTTGAGTGGCAAGACCCTCAAGTCAACTTGCCAGCTTGATGTAGAAGGGGGGGGAGGGCGGACCCTCGCAAGCTGCTTATTCAGGACCCCTTGTATCGAACCACTCAGCACAAACATGTTGCTTGCGATTCCCCAACCCATAAGATGTCATCCCCTTTCCCGAGTGAGAATTCGCCATCCCCAAAAAATCCCCCCAAGTCTGCCGATTCCCATTGAAATACCGGCCTTGTTACCGGGCCCAATCATTTGGATGATGGATGGTGTCTTTCGTTAGCGCAACGGTTGCCTTAATGGTGGTTTTCCAAGACCCATTTTCCTGTACAAGACATTTCCTGCATGGTGGTTGCATCTGCACAATTTGAGCCCCATTGTTTTGATGGAGGCCAGTTGGAATTCCAGGGTACTCGTGTCATGTGCGGGTTCCGCCTGAGGCAGCCAGAGCCAAGCATGCCTCAGCGCCGGTGCGAGCCACAGCTTTGATGAGAAACCCTTGCATCTACCCCCAGGTATCCACTGCTACTGGGAAAAATCATGTTGACCCCGGCTTTAAAAAACACAACATGGTATGTAGCTTGGGAAGCCTAGTTTCTCCCTCCAACAAGGGGGCATTTGGAGTAAGGGGTAGCTTTCAGCCCTTGCGCTGGTTTCTGAAAAGGCTGGCCAGAGATGTGTGCCAGTTGTGTAACACCCCAAGGAACCTGCTGAGCGCGCCAATCAGCAAAACGGTTGCTTCAATAGTCGACTTTCTCCATTTCGCTGAGGACTTGTCTGTGGAGGCTGGGATCTCACGTCTCAGTGTGGCTTTTTGAGGGTAGAGGCTTTCCCCATATCTTGGAGCAACAAGGAGAGCAATGGTTTCCGTTTTGCTTCAAATGCAAAAAGCGTACGAAAGAGGGAGAGCCTTGGCAGGAGCTGGAAAAGCAGCGGCAGCGAGTGGCCTGCAAGATGGAGATCCTGGATTTCTTCCATGGGAGCTCTCGGCGAGTTGAGAAAACCGAACCCGTGGAATCAAAAGGTTCTGCCTGCGACTGCCAGGTACAGGAACGCGGTGCACAAATTCACCGAAGAGCAGCAGAAGGCGTGTCTCATACAACCTCCCCTAACCCCCCGCCCCCTCTCCCTGCTTCAGCAGAAGACCGTATGGGTGTTTCTCAAGCTGGTGGAAAAGCCAACCCTGGTTAGTATTCAAAGGACAATTCAAGGCTAAGGCATTGTTACGGTCTTGGAGGAAACCGGGAGCGGGGGTTGGATGGGTATGAAGCTGCGGAGACCTGAGAATCTGAGTGGCTGACTGCAAGTCAGGTGCTGCATGCAAATCTGCATGGCAGCGGTCTACACGAGGCGTCCCTGCTGAGAGTTCCATTCCTAGTTTCAGGTTCCCTTCCTATGGAAGACTGTCACCTGAAGTTGGGGGTTCCGTTTTTGGAGCAAATCGGCTAGACTGCAATTCAGGGGAGCCGATGTTGCCCCAAACCGCACTGCTTGGACGGTTGAGCAGCGCCCAGGGCACACCAATTCTCCATGGGCCGGGTTCGGTTCGGTTTCTACTTGGGTTCATGGATCAGGGACGCACACATATTCTTGGTACAACCAACAAGTGTCGGGCGCTGCTCAGAGTGCCGTTCTTCAAATGCATTCTCGGCTGGGCATCTTCGCTTCAGTGAACTGCATCGATGTGTAGCACTTCCTCACCAAATCGTTTTCAGAGACATGTAGCACCGTCTTCGGCCATTTGAAGCAGATCAATTGTCACACGGGAGAATTTGGTTTGGACCCTGCCGCCGTCGACAAATGACGGCAACTTGGAGCCACCAAAACGGTCCACATGTCGAAGCATTCGACCAGCGTTTGCCTTTCAAGCACCCATCCTTCCCATTGGCTTCCGCCCACTCGCGGTGACGTGCGCGTGCTCGAATCCGTTTCTGAACGACGCCATGGCGACTTCTGAGAAGTACGACCGGCAGCTGCGGCTTTGGGGCGGCCGCCGGCATGTGCTTGTCGGTTTTTCGGACCGGCCCAAAACGCCCGGGCTTCCCGTTTCTCAGCTTTTTCCTGTCCGACCTTTTCGCCTTTTGGTTTTAACATGTTAGGCCCACTTTTGGTAAAGGGTCCAAACGGTTATCCAATGATCTCTAGGTGGTTTTTCAACAAAAACAGAGGGAGGGCGAGTTCTGCTCGGAAAAAGATCAACCACAACCCGGGGGCTTACTGTGATTGTGGATTGTGATCTCCACGTCCATGTGTTGGCTCTGGGAATCCAGGCATTGCGTTTTCGGCATTTGAAAGGGAACCCAATTCGACACCAGAGAAGCGTTGACCATTTGGATGGGGTCCACTTGTTTTTTCATTGGCATCTGACAAAGTGGGATTCCCCCCCCAAGCAAACACGAGCACTGCTATGTGTGAACACACAGGTACCCTGAAATCCCGAAAGGGTCTCACCTTCGGTTTCTTTTTACAATCCTCAAGCACAGAAGGTACCTCTGACCATTGGCCATGTGGGTGTGCCTCTTTTCGACGGCACATGCTGTTTTGGGGTGGGGGTCAGGGAGAAAGCTCAAAGTTTGCCGGCGGCCAAACAACAACACGACCCATTTCCACAGAGAGGTTGTTGGAGCAATTGCTGGCCTCAAGATGTTCTTGCAAGGGGCACCAGCCCCGCACTTTAGAGAGCGGCTCATCATGGGGCCGACGTGTTTGAAACAAGTTGGTTCAGAGTGTTTGCATTTTGAATAGGACATGCTGCAAGTGCACGGTGTACGGGTGGCACGGGTCTGGCATTTCAGTGGTCCGAGTTTTATTCTCAGACACGGCCATTCATTCAATCAAGGCAATGTTTGCCTGTGCGGGGGTTAAATCGCTCAACCCGCGATTGTGGGGGGTCCAAGTTATATGTAGGTGTGTGTGTGTGTGTGTTTCCGAGTGTCCCCACCCCCAACGTTCCTTTCAAGGGAGATCAAAAGGAAACCGCCAGTATAACCGCACTTTGGGGTGTTCCCTTTACCCTTTTGAGCGCCCAAAACCACCATCGGCCATTTGAGTCGATTCTACTTGGTCTTGTGGTATAATGAGGCCTGAGCACTTTAACCATTTTGGAGCCAAAAGTCGGAGTGCGCCAATGAGCTCCCGCGCCCTTGGTTCCTTTTTCTCGGAGGCTGGTTTCCCTTCAAAGCCAGCTACCCTTTTTGCCAGAACTTCTACCTCCTGTGGGTTGCAAGTGCATATTTTTCCAAGTTTTGTTTGGAGGGGGTGTCAAAGGCAGACTACCCAAAACAAACTACCAAGTCCTTTTTTGCCACGCTTGTTTGGTTTCCGGCCTAGCCAGAAGCCAGGGTGCAACGAGCGAACCCGCCAGGCGGACATGGCCAGAAGGCTTTGATGGACGCCAAGGCGATCCATCCGTCGGCTTTGCGGCCAAAAGGGTGGCACAGCTCCGATTTTCTTTTTTTGGCGACGAAGGGTCGCCCTTCAGTTGGTTGACAACGGAAAATAAACCCGAAGAAGGCCACAGGGAAAACTATGGCCAGGAATTTTAATCGGGCACCTCACAAGTGATTGGTGGACATGAATCCCCACCTAAATGATGTCCACCAAAGGGCCCCTTATTGAAATTCATACCCATCCCCTGGGCATGGTTTGCCCTACGGAAGGGGTTTTGCCATGGGGGCTGTGTTTGGGGCTTTCATTTGAAGAACCCACATGCCGCGACAGATCCCGGTGGGTTTTTCAAGAGTCCTCCCTGCATAAGCCCTTTTGATGGTTTTTAGCAGCTTTTTTCCCTTGGTGCGTGATGTTCTACAGGAGACTGTAGGAAAACCCTATGCTTGTCTTTGCCTGCGAGCGACAGTTGTATTAGTGACTGACTTTGACCAGAACTCCTTTCAAGAAAGTTCGAAAATCCAGTCCCGAAGAAAAGTTTCTTCTCAACGGGGGCGGCCAGATTGGCAGCAAATAATTTGTGAAGGGTTCATTTATATCGTTATACATGTATATATTCGCATACATGGTAATCCTTTTTTCGGGAAGAGCGTCTCTCCCGAAAAACAATCAAAATGTCGGCGTTTGAGCCTTGCTGGAGCTTGGCCGTGCCAGTCTTTTTGGCCTCTGGCGAAGAACGCCAGGTTGGGACTTTATTAAACAAGGGGTGGGTTAAAACCCAACTCATGCAAGGGCAATTCGCCTGTTCCTGTCCCTACAGTGCCAATTGATTCTGCAGTCCCAACCCTTTTCGAGCCATTATGTATCAGCCCCAGAAGGGTAACATAAAAACAAAAAAACAATCAGAGGGACTCCCGTTTGTTTGAACGCAAGAATTGAAGTTCAAGGCTCAGGACTCGTCCCACCCAGAATTCCCACCCCGAACAAACTGTCTAGAATTGATAACGACCAATACAGCAGTAGTTGATGAACTTATTGGTGGCAGCTATCTTTAATTATTTGAGTACCCAACACTTTAGGTATAAAAACGGGCATCGAGAGATTCATATGGGTCTTTCATTTTTTGAGGGTACCCCCTTGTTTTGTTGGTCTTAAAGGGGGGCCAAAAGGAAAACCACCATCTTGGACGGGTCCGCATCCTAAAAAGATGCACCCATATGCAAAGGCCATCTTGGCCTCTTGATCGGACACGGACGGCAGGTTTGCATGCTGGGCTCTTCAGCCATCGCCACGGAGACACTCAAGAACCTAGTGCTCCCAGGCGCGAAATCGATCTCAGCCGAGCCCATATGGCTCGTCTTGTGTGTAGTTGGTACCTTGTTTTGGTGGTTTTCAAGGGACACCGAAAGGAAAACCATTAAGCGGGGTCCGAATCCTAAAAAGCGACGCCCATTTAGGGCGCTTTGATAGACCATCTTTCGGCAGGTGGCCCGAAAATGGTTTGGATTGGTAGGCATCGGAACCCCTGGTGTTTGAGGGTAAATGGGAAACTGCCTAACCTCACCTGGAATCCAAATCAAGCAATTCGAGAGAAGCTGGTTTCAAATTGGTTGAAAGGGAAACTAAAGGGAAACAACCCCATTTGGTGGGCCCCCTATTTTTACACGAACTGAATCCATGTGGGTCATTGTCAAAACTGGGGCTTGACCAGGGATGGCTTTCAAGGGCACTAAGCCCTATGCGTTTGGAGCGGTCCTCAGTTTTGGGTTCCTACTAGTCACGGGATACAAAATAGTCCTGTTCCCCGTTTGAGTTACTTCCCCTTTTGCGTGGTGCTGCTTTCAAGGCTTCTCAAAGCTTGGGTGATTTTGCTTTAGTCCGGGCTGTGGGTCAAACAAATGTACCAAAATGGCCAGATATATGAAACCAAAGACTACCTGCGTCACCCAGGTTTTTTTTTTGCCACCGGTGCCTTTCTCTGCGCTCTTCGGTGAGGCGTGGGCCACTTCACCGTGGTAGACGGTTCGATCGTGGAGCCAGCCGATCTGGGTCAGAACTTCTTTCTGGAGGCCCGGAAACGCACCACTTGCGCGCTCGCCCGGGCGCGTTTTCTGAGGGATGCCATGTCGTGTTGTGAGGTAGCCCGTTGGATTGGAACATGGCATCCCTCAAAAATGGACTTGGCATTTGTGAATGGTGGATTTGGATTTGAACCCCCCCCCCTGGTTTTTGGGACAGCTAACCAATCCAAGGAACCCTTGTGAGGGATGCTGACCAAAAGTGGAGAGAGACCCTTCCGCTGGATGGCAGGAAGCTGACCTCGGCAAGCTGCGGTCCGAGGCTCCGAAGCGTAGGGAAGGGCTTGATGTCTCGGGCCTTGGGCTGGGCGTGTCAGGCTAGTGGTGAGTGACCATGGGCAGCTAACCCACCAAAGCCAAGGTTGCATGTCCCTCTGCTGGATTCAACCTCCGTTAGAGTACTGGCCTTCGGACCCAATTCACAGTTTTTGATGAAGCTTAGGTAACCCGCAAATTGCAATGTTATGTTCAACCACCAACTATATACCATGAAGCTTAGGTAAAGAAAGGTGGTTGCATTTGGAATGTTAGTCCAACCATTTCTTTTTCATGGTGGTCAGGGAAGCCTCCTTTCGTGATCGATGTGAGGCGGTATGCCGATGGCTGCTGGAAATGAATCCAGATGTCCAAGGGACACACTTGGACCTGGATCCAGCCAAAGCGGTGGCGCAAGGCAAAGAGTTCTTCAGGCCGGATGGAAAGTGCGTAACCGACACCGACACATCCACCGAATGCCATCCTTTGAAAGAGCGCGCTGCTTTTGGTTCGACTTCCGTTTCACAAAAATCCACCCCCGCGAAAACCTGACACCTCAATTCCACCCCCCCCCCTCCCGAACACTTGACCCCCCCTCCATTTCCACGTGTGAGGCAGTTCACCATGGTCATAGCGTGCCAAATGATGGAGTGCTTGGCCATCCAGCTGGGCAAGGTCTGCGAGGAGTGAGTTGAGGGACCCAAGGCTCAGAGGATGCCGGTGGGGGCACGGACACCCTGCCCCTTTCGTGGCTTGGCTCGGTCGATTTGCGGGGACGGTCGCCGGAAAATCGTGTTTGTCTTCAGGGGCACCCGGAATGTTGGTGGTTTCCCTATCAAAAAAACGCCGCAGGGCCGGTACAAAAGGGGTACCCTTGGCGTTGCGAGATCCTGGCAAGGAGATTGGCATCCCACTAGTCCTGGCCACTTCGGTCGGCTTTGTAGGCGGCAGCCCGAGCGCTAGGTGTCCTTTGCGACGGGACGGGGGGGAGGTTGTGCCACTATGGGCATGTCTTTTGGGGGTGGTTTCAAGGGAAGCCAAAAGGACAACCATTTTTTGGGTACCCCTGATTTGACATACCCAAACAGGGGCACTCCAAAATCTGTGGTCTCCTTTGGGCTCCCCTTTGTTTAGCATGGTCCCTATGATGAGACATGCCCATGAGCGAGGCAAGCTCCGGATCTACGCGTCGGAGCACTGCGTCTGCGAGACCAAGCCCGACTCAGAGCACCTTCGCCCGAATTCTTGAATTCTTGCACGAGCGCGCGGCCTTCGAATGCGACGCGAGCTCCCCGTTTTTGTTGCCAGGTTCGGCGATCTGCGGCTCAACGATCCATTTCCAGAATTGAGGAGGCCATGTTTTGCTCGTGATGTCGGTGTGTCAAGTTCTGTTCGCCCGGCTCAAGCCCAGGTTTGCAGATTCCATCGACTTTGCGGCAGCCTTAGAATTAATTCATGCCGCCCGGAGTCCCGATTGCCTGGCGTGTGGCCAAGGCAACGCTCAATGACTCCGAACATGCACACGTGCCCATGCCTCTGAGTGCCGTGCTGATAAAAGTGCACTGGCAAGCTAAGAATACCAGGCCCTATGTGGTCATTTTGATCAGAGCCTTGGATACCTGGAGGACAGTTTACCGTTGAGGAACTCTTGATGGCTTTCCGGTGAAATGTGGCTTCCACCCGAAATGCCTATGGAAAGGGGGGGTGTATTTGTGCCAAGGCCGACTTCGACCCTGAACCCTCCAAACTCCAATGGGGCCTGCCAGGAGTCGCGGCGAAGCAAGGAAACTTCCCAAGACCTCCGCTGAGAAGGAAGGGCTCAGCACATGGATAGCTTGCGCCGGTTTTGGACCTGTTTGAATTAGTTTAAAAACCAGGAAACCGCCTGCCCTCAAAAGGGCGAGTGGTTCTCCAAGTCGTTCCCCGTAAAACTCCCTCAAGAAAGTTGGCGCAGGATGAGTTCAAAGCCATCGTGCGGCACTCGTGGTATGCCGGACGGTGCGCTGCACCAGCGTGCAGGATGTCATGCTTGGCTTGGCAGCGACTTTCCAATGAGGAACACCAACTCCAAAACGAGTTGGTGGACCCAAATCATGATTCTTTATAATCTGCACCACCAAATGTCATTCATGCCCACGTAGACACCCCCTTCCCGCTGTTTGTCGTGGTTGCTTTCTTTGCACCCTTGGCTTGTCTTGCATCCTTCGGGTTGGGGGGTGGGGGGCTCGTCTGGATCGAAGGTCTCGAAGATGCGGCGGAGCCCGCAAGAGGCCAACTTTGAAGAGGCACACGGATGTTTTACTCGGTTTTTCATCGGTCCCAACGGGTTCGAGTCAGAGGACTTGCACAGGACAGTCTCATGTGAGTGCCGTTTTTTCAGTGGGTACCCTATTGTTGGTGGTTTTAGGGAAAGCCAAAGGAGAGGCACATGTGTTTTTTTTCCTTTTGGGGAGGAAGGCCCCTGAAAATAAATATGTGTCTTTTGAATCCGGAAGGAACAAATCTGTGATCGAACCCAGACGGGTCAAGAAGTTGACGTGACTCGGCCCCCAGTGCATTCAAAGGGATCCTGAACACCTGAGATCGAAAGGGCCTCAGCGGAAGTCGGAAGGATCCCCTGACTACTTTTAGGTAACGCACCTGGGGAAGCAGCACCTTCCGCTGGGAAAGCTTTTGGCCGTGGGGTTCATAAGGAGGACAAGCCATAGACTCCACAGCCGTGGGGTACATATATGGACATATACAATCGGCCCTTGAAGCCCCATTTGCAGCTCCTGAACCTAGCAACCTATGCTCATGGCAGTGATGCCAGGGCTACTTCGGCGTGTCTTTTTGTTGAGGGTTTCAGGGAAGCACGCGGAAAACCTCCATTTTGAGGGTCTCTGAAACACAGACTCCCATTTACCTAAGGTTTCTCTGAAAGTTTTCTTGTTGGGTTGTCCACGATTGCCCGTAGAACAATAGTGACTCCATCCCTTTGTCCAACGGCTTTGCGATTCATTTCGTCCAGCCGATTTTTTTAAAGCCACTTTTCGGTTGTCCTTGCAATGGCTGTGCCACCTTGCAACTGTATAGAAACTGGCTTATGGCCATTTCGATTCATGCCCTTGTACTGAACTGTCCTTTTTGCCTTGGCCGGCGTTCAAAGTGGCCCTTGGAACGGAATTCTATTGCTACTCTTTGCAGTGGTGGGTTGGGATTGGCCAATCAATCCTCCATTTGGGGAGTAGCCCAGGGTGCTTTGGCTAGCTCATGGGGCTGTTGGGTCATCTAAGATGGTTCAATCCCCAAACCCAGCCCCCCGAAAACGAGCATGGGATTTGTCCTGCTTATGTAGCAGCTAAAGTGCTGGCTTGAACATCCTCCAAGTTTTAGGGAGACTGAACACCATTTCGGCTGCGAGTTTTTTCATGGGGCACCGAGCTTTATTGGGCAGCACCTCGCAAGCGGTCGGTGAGGGGGGCCAGGCGATGGCGAATGCGTACAAGGCGCCCAAGCGCACGTCGCGGGGGGTTAGGGGGGGTTCCCAACTCGTCTGGCTTTGGTGCAAGCCGATCCCACAAATTCATGGTGGAAGATACTGGGTTTCAGCCTTCGGTTCTGTGTGCTGTATATATATATATATATACACATATGGTCACCCAAATGGTAGTTCATGGGGGGGGGGCCTGAGCGTCATATATATATATAGACAAAAAACCAAGGGAATGTCTTTTTAAGCAATGAATGAATCCTATTGGCATCTTCGAAAGGAACCGTCCCGTTGCGCACCTTGAAAGTCCTTGACGTGATCTGCGACCAATTTCTGCCGAGGCCTGGATGCCCTACGTCATTCCTGACTCCGTTCAGGAGGTCGGAGCCGAGAATTTGGTTTCGCAAGACGTGCTAAGCGCGTCCCCGTGGCGACAAATTCGGACATGAAATCCATGTGCTTCAGGCATTCTACTACAGGACCTGTGGGTTCTTGCGGGTGTTGTGTAATTTAATGGGCGTGTTTGCGGCAACCCTTTTGGATTATCGTAAAGGGGACATAACAGGAATGGGCGTAACCTCTTCTGGGGAAGTCGATTTGGATCCAATGGGAACCCCTGGCACCCTTAGTCATTGCACGGTGGTTTCAGGGCATTTCTGAGCAATCAGGCTTTTTGTGGGCTCCCCCCTCGAAAAAAACATGGTTTCCTTGTGATTTCCTTTTTAACATCAACAAACAAGGGGGGCCCCAAAAACTACACCCAGGTGTGCCATTGTAAATACTTTTTTGCTTTGACAGGGAACGTCAAAGCTTGCAATAAAGTGGGAATTGGGCGGAGCCAGAGGTCCTGTCGCTGGTCTCGCATGCGGGCAAGAGCGACTTCTGGATCCTGGCGCGAGCGGCCGCAGCAGCAGCACTGGGGGTCCAGGAATTCCCAGGCTCCCACAAAAGGAAAAGGAAGATTGAAACAGCATTCTTGGCTGATTTGGAGGATCCCCTTGTAAATCAGGTGGTTTCTGGATGTACAATAATCGGGTTTGTGTGAGCCACTGGTACAACCCCTGCCTACATGGAAGTCCCAGAGGCACGGACTCGACTGTTACCTTCCATGTTTGTGAAGGTTCCCAGAGGAACATGGACCCCAAAAAGGGGGGTTCTCAAATGGGATGCAACTCTTTTTGGGATGCAACTCTTTTGGGAGTTGCATCGGTTAGGAACCAACAAGTCAAAGCAAGTGGGAACACGGTCGTCTTCCCAAAAGTAGCAGATTCAAGGTCCAAGGGCTAAAACAGCTTGTCCGGTTGTCCGGTTGTTCATCTTCCAGAAGTTCACGAAGGAACCCAAGGGCAATCAAGCGAAGCAAATGTCTCCACCAATGCAAATGTACGGCCTTGTCAATTGCAGGTTGGCTGACTTGCACCGGTTGTTTGGAAGGGGCAACCTCCCCTTTAGCCCGTTGCAGGGGTCATTGGTTTGACTTGGGGGTTATGAAACTTAGAAACTGGGGTTCCCCCTTTTGGGTGGGGTGGGGGTGGGGGTGACTTTGATGGAACGTGTTAGGCCAGTCGGTTGGGCCAGCACAAAAGCTCAGCGAGGTGTCCCAGTTTGTCCGCGACTGCGGCAAGCTGCCCCTGGCTGGCAGCTTGCCGGATATGACCGCCGCCAGCCCAGACGCGTGTGCGCGCGGGTCCCTCTCTCTCTGTGCGTGTGTGTGTGTGTGTGTGTGTGTGTGTGTGTGTGTGTGTGTGTGTGTGTGTGTGTGTGTGTGTGTGTGTGTGTGTGTGTGTGTGTGTGTGTGTGTGTGTGTGTGTGTGTGTGTGTGTGTGTGTGTGTGCGTGCGTGCGTGCGTGCGTGCGTGCGTGCGTGCGTGTGGGTGGGTGGGTGGGTGGGTGCGTGGGTGCGTGCGTGCGTGCGTGCGTGCGTGCGTGTGTGTGTGTGTGTGTCAACATGGGGAGACCCCGAAATGGGGGGCTTCTTTTTGGCTTCCCTCTAAACCAACCCAATAAGGAAAGACAGACCCACATGGCACATGGCACAGAAGTGCTTTTTGCGATTTGCTGTTGAGATTTGGGGGACAGGTGGTCCGTGTCCGTGTTTCTTATTGGATTGCGTTTCAATGTTGAACGTGGCTGGTTGACATGAATCCCCAAATGGTGTCAACAATCGGGTCCCAACTTCAAGCACAAATCCATGAAGTCCGTGTTTCCTAAGATTAAAGTGCTCCTCCTGGTGGTGAATGTCTTTCAGGTGGTTCCCTTTGCTTTTTCAACCCAGACGACTTCAGGACCCGGACCGCAAGTGGTTTTAAAATAAAGCCTCCAAGTGTGGTTGAGCAACATTTGTTTATGACAGGGACACCAAAAGGAGGTTGCTTCACACAGGTGGTTTAAACACGTTTAGAGGGGTTGAATCGCTCAAGCCTGAACCCCATTCCGAGTCCCCCCTGTGAGCGACTTCAGGCCAGCACCGATTGGTACATCAAGCTGCAGGACGAGTCACACCGAAACTCGGAGTCCATGTGAGCAGCGACAGCCGATTCCTGTTGCTCATTCTAGTAGGCGGTTTTTATATGTGAAAATCTGCCGTGCTGGCGGAACCACATAGGTTTAAGGCTCGGCTCAGTTGTTGAGCTGCAAGGTAAACGCAGATAGCTATTCAAGGTAGACTCACAACTAGAGGTTCCCCGATTTAAACCTCTAATTAGAAGTCTATCTTGAGGGGGAGTCAAAGAATAGAATCCTGCAACAACTGACCTTTTTGCGTCTTTGCGTTTTTCAGGGGAGACTCACAGGTTATCAAGGCCTTTTGCGTTTCACGGAAGAACGCCCACGAAAACTCCTTGCGCAAGCGCTGTGGAACTCTCTTTTGGGACAAGCTGTTGACCTATTCACCAAAAAACGCGGGTCTTTCAAGGGAAGCCTGCGGTCTAAAGATGCGGCACACGTGCTTGCCCTCGGAGCTCTTGATCAGAACCCCCATGAAGAGGGAATGCTTCCCAACCCAAGCCATTCAATCCGGCCGATTTCAAGTCTGCAGATGTTTCTGAGGAGTATCTTCCTGGCTGGGAACGGGCTGTTTCTGGGTCTCGGGCGATGATCTTGCGGCCGAAACGAGAAGCCAATGCCTTGCTCAAGCCGTTCCGGCTGGTACCTTCAGTCTCAAGACCTCGTAAACTGAGGGAACTTACGCCGGGAATGGTAGGATAGACTTGTAGGACTCACTTTTCCATGGGTAAATTATAGGACACAACCTACAAATAGATGATGCATGCCTTTGCCAACCAAAATACATTGGATACATTACATAAACTATGCATAGATCATGTAGTGAGCCCTTGTGGACGCGGAGAGGTAGGCTGTTGCCGGCCTAAGAGGGGCCTTTGCCGCCGTTTGAAGCGCTATGGACATCCCCCTGAGGCCGGGGGAATGGCTGATGGGATCACGTTCGGAAAGTGAACTCAACCGAGCCTTGAAATCCGAATCTTAGGCGCCGAGAAGCCAAGAAGTAAGTGGCTCGTCATTTTTTGGGACCCCCCAAAATGGCGCAACGGTTTTCCGTTCTGGTTTTCCTTTAAACCAATCCACAAGGGGTACCCCCAACAAAACCAAGATCCACCCAAGTCGGGTAAGGTGAATTGGTCGATTTGCTGCCTCCATGGCTCGCTCGCAGTGCACGTCGAAACAACCAGCCAGGAGCCCTCATGGCTGGTACCTTCACAGCGTCCTTTTAATGGGATCCAACCACCCTGGCTTTGCAACGAGAACGGTGGTCCCACCTTCTGGTGGCATAGGTGTTGTTAACTTCCGAGCATGCATTACTTCCAGATTTTGCCATGCCATAGTGCAGGGGCGATGTTTTCAGATCCTTTGCATCAGTCCATATGCTGGCGGGGGCTTCGACCGCTAAGCCTGGCTCAAAGTCCCTGGAGCCATGGACGCCCTACCCTCACACCCCTAGTTCCGTGGAGACGAGTTGATCGGCGGGAAGTCTGTGGTCAAGTGAGGGGTTCAGGGCATTGGAATTGAACTGAACCCCACAAACCGAGGCACTGAACTGAAACTGCATGTTTTGCTCAGGTCATCCAACAGCCCACCTGCCCCCCCCCAGTTCCAAAATAATACTTTTTGGAGGGTACCCCTTTTCTTGGGGTGGGAAGGGGAAGCCGGTTCCCCAAAAAAGGACAGCCATCGCAGGCCCTTGACGCGCGTCCCCAGCTTCGGCCAGTCTCTGGCACAGGCCTGGCATGAGCCCTAAGCAAGTTGTTGTCCCCGAATCGTGTCCGAAGTGGGGCGGATAGCGCATGGAGGTTGTAGTTTTTTTTGTGTGTGTGCATTGGTGAGTCAAAACCCTTGTGTATTGAGCCAAAAGAGGTGCGCCTCTCGCTCAATCCCCCTTTTTCGATAAGTATTGAAGGATTTTTTGCTTGTTGTTCAATACCTGTTCAGTACCCTTGAGCCTGTTTGTTCTTGAGATCGGTCTAGTCAAAGGAGCTTCTGAAGCCAGCCACACAGCCACTGCTGCTGAGAGCCTCCCACTCCCGAGCAGCCAAAAGGAATTTGTACCCCGGCGCCTGAGGGCGATGTGAGAACTTCCGTTCGGAGGCTGGAGAAACTGAGACAAACAAGTGAGCGATCCGCAATAGCTTAGCGTGCAGCCGGGCGGCAACGCTCCTCACCTGGGTGTTCGTTCTGTACCCGTTCCATTCGCGTTCCATACCCGTCTCAACGCCTCCCAAACACAATCGTGCGCACGCACTTCGTGTACTACGCTTGTACTACGAAGGTGCGATTTTCGAGCTCTGCTTGGTACAGAAAGGTTGCGAAATGTCGCAGGCATGTTGAAACATTGTAGAAATCGATAGCCTCGAGATCTCTACCAGGGCAAAGCTAGAGCTTCGTCAGTCCCTCATGCATTTTCTTTTGCAGCTGGCGAAGCTGCGGTTCAATCCCTATCGGAGCGGTCAATAGCGGGGTTCAGGCCCGCTAATACGTACACATGTAGCAACATATGTATATATATATATACATATACAAATAGGTGCGTCCTAGCATGTATGTAAATGTGTAGACTTGCCACAAGGGCACGATGTTGAAGAGCATAATGCCGTCCCGGGGGTGCGGTCGATAGCGGGGTTTAGGTCCGCTAATATGCACATATGTACATATATATATATACATATATGTAAATTTGTAGACTTGCCGCAAGGGCGCGATGTTGAAGTACTTGCGCGCTCAGCACGTCGAGCCCTTGAGTCGCCTTGCTGGCAGGTTGCAGGTTTTGGGCCAAACACCCAGGGTCATCGTGAAACTGGGCTTTCCGAGCATGTACTTGACACGGATAGATCGATAGATCTCCATTTGATTGGACTCTTGGCATGGCCACGGGCAAAGTGACATTAACATGCAAATATCTATATATGAAAGCAAATGACAAGATAGAATAACATACATATTTGATATTGATGTGTGTGCTCAGAAAAGCGTTGCTATATATATATATACGCATGCAACACATATTCACACGTACATGCTGCTACACAATGTAAACTTTAGAGCCTCCGGCTCAGTCCGCCGACATTGTCCTCTCCCTTTTCTCCTTCTTCCTCTCTTCCTTGTCCTTGTGTGTTCTGTCGTCCTCTCTCCCTCCCTCTGCTCCCATCCTCCCCATCCCCCCAAGCCTCTCTCTCCCCACTCTCCCTCTCTCGTATGTATGCATGTATGTATGTATGTATGTATGTATGTATGTATGTATGTATGTATGTATGTATGTATGTATGTATGTATGTAATGTATGTAATGTATGTATGTAGTATGTATGTATGTATGTATGTATGTATGTATGTATGTATGTATGTATGTATGTATGTAATGTATGTATGTATGTATGTATGTATGTATGTATGTATGTATGTATGTATGTATGTATGTATGTATGTATGTATGTATGTATGTATGTATGTATGTATGTATGTATGTATGTATGTATGTATGTATGTATGTATGTATGTAATGTATGTATGTATGTATGTATGTATGTATGTATGTATGTATGTATGTATGTATGTATGTAATGTATGTATGTAATGTATGTATGTATGTAAATGTAATGTAATGTAATGTAATGTAATGTAATGTAATGTAATGTAATGTAATGTAATGTAATGTAATGTAATGTATGTATGTATGTTATGTAATGTATGTATGTATGTATGTATGTATGTATGTATGTATGTATGTATGTATGTATGTATGTATGTATGTATGTATGTATGTATGTATGTAATGTATGTGTGTATATGTATGTATGTATGTATGTATGTATGTATGTATGTATGTATGTATGTATGTATGTATGTAATGTATGTATGTATGTATGTATGTATGTATGTATGTATGTATGTATGTATGTATGTATGTATGTATGTATGTATGTATGTATGTATGTATGTATGTATGTATGTATGTATGTATGTATGTAATGTAATGTATGTATGTATGTATGTATGTATGTATGTATGTATGTATGTATGTATGTATGTATGTATGTATGTATGTATGTATGTAATGTATGTATGTATGTATGTATGTATGTATGTATGTATGTATGTATGTATGTATGTATGTATGTATGTATGTATGTATGTATGTATGTATGTATGTATGTATGTATGTATGTATGTATGTATGTATGTATGTATGTATGTATGTATGTATGTATGTATGTATGTATGTATGTATGTATGTATGTATGTATGTATGTATGTATGTATGTATGTATGTATGTATGTATGTATGTATGTATGTATGTATGTATGTAATGTATGTATGTATGTATGTATGTATGTATGTATGTATGTATGTATGTATGTATGTAATGTATGTATGTATGTATGTATGTATGTATGTAATGTATGTCTGTATGTATGTATGTATGTATGTATGTATGTATGTATGTATGTATGTAATGTATGTATGTATGTATGTATGTATGTATGTATGTATGTATGTATGTATGTATGTATGTATGTATGTATGTATGTATGTATGTATGTAATGTATGTATGTATGTATGTATGTATGTATGTATGTATGTATGTATGTATGTATGTATGTATGTATGTATGTATGTATGTATGTATGTATGTAATGTAATGTAATGTAATGTAATGTAATGTAATGTAATGTAATGTGTATGTATGTATGTATGTATGTATGTATGTATGTATGTATGTATGTATGTATGTATGTATGTATGTATGTATGTATGTATGTATGTATGTCATGTATGTAATGTATGTATGTATGTATGTATGTATGTATGTATGTATGTATGTATGTATGTATGTATGTATGTATGAATATGCATGTATGTATGTATGTATGTATGTATGTATGTATGTATGTATGTATGTATGTATGTATGTATGTATGTATGTATGTATGTATGTATGTATGTATGTGTATGTATGTATGTATGTATGTATGTATGTATGTATGTATGTATGTATGTATGTATGTATGTATGTATGTATGTATGTATGTATGTATGTATGTATGTATATGTATGTATGTAATGTATGTATGTATGTATGTATGTATGTATGTATGTATGTATGTATGTATGTAATGTATGTATGTATGTATGTATGTATGTATGTATGTATGTATGTATGTATGTATGTATGTATGTATGTAATGTATGTATGTATGTAATGTATGTATGTATGTATGCATGCATGTAGGTATGTATGCATGTATGTCTGTATGCATGTATGTATGTATGTATGCATGTATGTATGTATGCATGTATGCATGTATGTGAGTATGTAAGTAAGTAAGTAAGTAGGTAAGTAAGTAACTAAGTAAGTAAGTAAGTAAGTAAGTAATGTAATGCATGTAATGTATGTACGTATGTATGTATGTGTGCATGCATGCATGCATACATGCATGCTTACATACATGTATGCATGTATGTATGTATGTAATGTATGTATGTATGTAATGTCATGTAATGTCATGTAATGTAATCTGCCTTGCACTTCCCCTTTGCTCCCCAGTATTTCCCGCAAAAAAACACGGTTTTTCCAGCGTTTTCGCAAAGAGGACGTCCAAAAACATTGAGTTTTTCCAGATTTTCGGCAAAAGGATGCAGGAAGCCCAAGCCAGCAAAAAAGCCGGCAGGGGGAATCGAGCCTGGGACCCCTGTTTTGCGACACCGGCTCCCCGAAGACTACGTTTAGTGGAACGTCATCAAATTGCCGCGCGGTACGTGGGGGACCCCCCCCCCCCCCAAAAAACCTACGTAATAGACGTCGGGCGGGGGGGGTTAGGGGGGGGGTTATCCTCTATCCTCTAGTAAGTATCCGACACGCCGAGCAATGTCGGCGGATATACAGAAACCTATACATATACATATTCATATACGTATGCATCTACATCTTCCCCTTTGCTTGAAGAAGCATACACATGCACACAGACAGACACAAAACACATATGATCCCCACACAGCCCCCCTGGGCTGGCGTTTGAACTTCGCATCCTGCAGGCTCCGCGCAGGGTTTGGCGCCGGCCGAGCCGCGTGATTCCGCTGGCGCCGGACGCCTCCTCCGCCTTTGGGCTGGAGCCGGAAACCTCGGTGCGTTGGTTGGGGCGGAGGGAATGCGTCCCCCAGCCAGGTTTCATGTGGACAGGGTAAGCAAAATCGACACTTCGTTGGGCTTGCTCCATGAAGCGACCTCAGGCAGCAGCTCTTCAATCTTGCGTCCCAAGCCAATGAGATGGTCACAACAGGCGCGGGGGGCAGTTCCTTTGAAGCTCTTCCTGCAGTACGTGTTCTGTTTGTCTGTTCTTTGTGCTGCTTTCATTTCTTTTTCTTTTATATATTTTTTCTGATATTGTTGGTGTTTTTCTCGTTCCGTCTTTTGTCTCTCGCTCTCACACTCTCTCTCTCTCTCTCTGCCACGCTCTCTCCCTCCATCGTCCCGTTTTCTCCATCTCTTTGCATGTGTGATCTGTTGCATGCTGTTGGCATGCCTGTGTGAGTTGTTTTACTGCAGATACACTCAGCTGCAGGCGTTTGCAGGCCTCTCACTTCTTGACTTGTGTCGCACTGTGGCTTGCCTTCCCTCTCGTTCAGGTCTCACCTCCAACACGAGCCTCCTCGCACCGCTGCTGTTTATTGGAGGCTGGCCAAATCAGAAGCCACCAATCCAAACCCACGAAGGGCAACCTGATTTCTGGACCCCCACATGGAGGTTTTCCTTTGAGCTTCCTTTGCAGACCAAAAAGACACCCCCCCATATTTGATCGTTAAAACCGTGTGGGTTCCAAAAGTAGAAGCGTGTCAGAAGAAAGGCTCCCCGCAGCTCTGTGCTTGCCACACCGAGGTGTGGCTTCTTCTCTGAACCCCTGCAACATGGCTTCTCTGCCGGCCGCCGTGACCTCCGTGACGGCGCTCTCCAGGCCCCGAAGGGTTTGATTCAAGGCCCCGGGTGAACGCCATGGGGTTGACGTACCCACCATGGATTTACGATTTTTAGTTTACTCAAGTTTACTCTCCCTCGGACTACCATGGAAGCTCCCAGAAGGCCACTGCACTGGAACCAAGACTTTTCAGGAGGTTCTGGAGCTTCCATGTTCGCCTGGGGTAAGCAAACCAGCTGCAAATCCTAGAAGACCTTTCAAACATACGGGGGGGGTTTAATTGCTTGAGTTGCGTCTAGATTGGGTGCCCCTTTGGGCCGTTGGTTTCGCCGGGCGGGTGGGAAGCCAAGGGAACCTCTCGGCGGTCGCTCGGTGCCAGGCGGAGCTCCCCCGCGTTTGCGGCGCTGTCATATGCTGCAGGCGCGCGTTGGACATGTGCGATTTGGGTGTGTTGATGTTCGAGGGCACCAAAAGGAAAAGGACACCAAAAGGGAAAAGGGAAGCCAACAGGAAAGCAAAAGGAAAGGGAAACCAGAAGGTTTTAAAGGGGCGACGCGACAATGGGTGGGGGGAAGGTCTGTGGGCTTCCCTTTGACACAGCTCTGGAAAAGGGTGGCACTCAGCAGGGCTTGAGATCTGGGGCCCCTCGAGGCAGCAACCTTGAGGATGTCGGATGCTGTTTCAATTCAATGTTGACCCCATATTAATCAAACCCAGTTTATTAGTAGGGACGTGTCCCTGGGTTTAGTGGGGAATCATCGCTCTTGGGAGAGGAACACCCCCCATTGATAAACTGGGGTTAATCAATATGGGGTCAGCATTACTAATGATAATGGTTTAAGCATCGAACAAGGTTTGACTCGACCAACCCTGAGAACTCCCCAAACGACAAGGCCATACTTGGGTGTTTCTCAGCATGGGTTAATTTTAAGAGGAAACCAACGCGAACACAACGATTTCGGGTGTCTCCTACAAGACACGAAGCACCCATATCATGACTTGTACTCTCTTTTGTTGCAAAGCAAAACCAAAGAGAAGCCCACCAATTGCCAGGGTCCTTTTTTTGTCAGACACGCGAAACGGCGGATTTCTGTGGTCGCTAGGCTCCGCCACTGTACTGATGGCGCTGGGTATGGCCGTGTCAGTGGCTGGGGAGCGGCTACCGTTGGGGGAAGGCGCGTTGGTCGGTTGGCCAAGCTAAACCGGGGACTACCCCTCCCCTGCAAAATCGTGACAGAAAGAAACCAAACCCAAAAAACTGAAAAAATATGATACCGAGTTGAGAGGAATGTTGTTCTTCCGGACCCTTCAAACTACTTGGATTCCACGTCAATTTGCAGGGGAGGCAATTACTCCACTTCTGTTCAAGGTCCTTTTCAAGCGCTGTTCGTTGGCTCATGTCTCCATGAGCATGTTGGAGCCATAAGAGGCCCTTGTCACAAGGAGTATGAATTGTGTTGTCTCAAAATACGAGAACCCTGAAAACTGGCCTTTGGTTTCGCGGTTTCCAAAACTGACCCACAAGGGACCGACCCGTACCCGCCACGGGTTTCCGGCAGGCCTCCTACCTTGGGTCTTCCCCACGGTGGCGGTGCTGATGGGGCTCAGTGGCTTGTCATGACCACAGCCATAGGTTAGTGACCTGGTTAAGCCGTTTTTGGTTTGTGCCACAGATAGGGCAACCCTGCGGGTTTGGGGCAATTGCGAAGTTCCTGTGGCATTTCCTTGTAAATGAAGCTCCGCTGCGCCAGCAAGAAACAAGTTGGTCAGGGAATGAGGCAAAAAGTCACCCCGAGCTGAGCCATTCATCGCTTCCTAGGGGATCATTCAAACATATTCGAACCAATCCCAAAGTTTCCTGGGGATCGATTCCCCAAACCCCCCGGAAATCGAAGCACGATCCAAGATTCGAAGCCGCAGGCCTGCTGGAGGTGGTGCCTTTGCGCCTCTCCGGGATTCCAGGCCCGCAAAGCAAAAGCTTTCCGGGGCGGGCAGTTTCCTTGAGAAACTTGTTGGCTTATCAGTGCCACCAGTTCCTCTTTTAAAGGAGTGGTTCGGAGCAGGGGAGGGGTTTCGAAAGGATTGGGTTGCTGGACATTGACGGAAAAGGTTGGTCGGTCTTTCTCCTTTCGCTCGATCGCCAGGGCTGGGCAAGGCCATCGAGGCCCCGCGGGAGTTGCAGGGATTCCTCCTGGGCGCTGCAAGTGCTGCAGGCGCGAGGGCTCGCTCCGGTGCCTTTTTTGTGGCACCTGGCGAGCCGGGAAGTCTCAAAGGCGTTTTTGGTTTGAGGGGGGCTTCTATATTTCTTGCTTGCCCTTCAGAACAAGGGTGCCTTCAATGACACCCTAGGTTTCAGTGCAAAGGTCCGAATGCAAACAATATATATATATATGTTGGGACCGATACTCGCCGCACTCCGCTTTTGGGCGCGTCTCAAAATCGGGAGCCCCCTTTTGAATGGTGTTCGAAATTCAAAGAGACTCAGCCATTTCAGCAAACGGGCCAGTTCAACACTTGGGGAATGAAAGGGCAGGGGACAATCCCAAGATATCCAAAGCATAAATGCGCCAAGGTTAGAGATCAAGTGCCTTTTCTTCGCCATAAGTTTTGGTTCGATCCTCTCACCAAGTCGGCTTCTAGGATACTCCCACACTGGTCGCGACATATTGAGGCTCTTCGCCCTGTGCGACGCCAGCCGGGTGTCCTAAGTTGGCAGATTTGGACTTGGCACCGAAACTTTGGAGCGTGGTGGTTGCAGAATGGCTCTGACATGGCAAAAGAATCCCGATTGAACTGAGAACATGTTGGATGGGCCTCCCACTCTGGCATCGAAGAAAGCGGGCCATTTTCCGCAGACCTTCGGTTTGATAGACCTTTCAAGCTTTCCCGAACGTTTCCCACTAACTGGCCAAGATCCACCATTTTGTTCGAAGGCATTTGCACAGGAGAATGCTTGGGAGGTTCTTGGCCGCTTAGAATTTCTCCTGTGAACCATGCGCAAATGAGTCGAACAGCACGAGCCATGGATGCTCCCGCTTTGTTCTCACCCATGACCAGGATTGCGGAAATGAGATGACTTCTCCCACTTTTGTGATGCCAGACAACCTGGCCTTTCAATGGGGGAAGGCGTCTTGGGGAAGATTGGTATCACAGAAGTGGGAAATTCCCACACCACTGCCCAAGCAATGGATGTTTCAAAAGGGGGTCCTGGTTTAGGGGACGCTTCCCCTCAAATACCACCCAGAAGGGGGTCGAACGTTTGGAGAAACACCCGTTTGATGACTTAAGAAACCCCACATTTTGAGAAGTTTGTTCTGAAACCGGCACGCCATGGCACGCCTTTGAGGTGTTGGTCACCATCACTTCCTACATTGCTTCGCACTCCGCCTCTTGGGCAAGATGGGGAGGGGGAAACGCGACATGTGCCCATACCAACATTCGTGGACTTTGTTTCAAAGATCTGGGTTTACAATAGTGGTCTTTTTCTTTGTGGTTTGGTAACTTTCTTTTTTTACCGAGAACGGGCCCTTTTTCAATTTGCTTGCGAAACGGGGATCCATTTTTCATTTTTCGACTAGACGTACGACTTCAAGGGGGTGCCCTAGAGATTGGGATCCAAGCCTTCGAGTCGTATTTTGGGGAAGCGGACTTGGCGCTCGTTGGGGGGGGGATGGCGGGTCCGAGAGATGTTCCAGGTGAGCGTGACGAGCTCTGCGCTGCTCCTGTTCGCCTACTCCATGGGCTGCCTGGTTACGCGATTCCAGCGATTCGGGGCAAAACAGGGAAAACCCATGACGCGGATCCTCTACTTGGGACTCCAACTCTTGTTTCAGATTCCGGGAGTGCAATCCCCTTGCCAGAAAAAGACCCAATCAATAATTACCAGATTTCGACATGGCACAAACTCTCGGCGCCCGCAAAATGATGGATTTCATTTTGGTCTCCCTACAATCGGCCACCCCGTGCAAGTCTGCAAGGAAAATAGGCCCAGGTGGTATCCCCGACAGTCCCCACAGCTGAATCAGCCGGGGAACAGGAAAACCGAAGCCGTTTCTGGGGGGTCCGAAGCCCGAAAAAGTCACATCCTGGCAGGTTACAGCACTCCGCTGGCTTTGGTCAGCATGACCACCGGCCTGCTGCCCATGTTCCAGGAGACGGTCCCGAGTATTTGGGCGTGTCTCTTTCAAGATTTGGACTCCAAGATTCGCTTCGGTGTTTGTTTTGGTTTTCCTTTGAGCACCACCAAAAAAAGGGGTACCCTTGAAAAAGAAGACACGCCCGTTCTGAGCCTGCAGCTAAACATATAAAGGGTTTTCAAAGGGGAAAAAGCCGGCGGCCCGGTCCTGTTGAACGGTTTTTGTGCGCAAGTTCGAGTTTTTGATATTGTTGCTCATTTGACCCTTTCTGGGTGCGTCTTTTTGTGGAGTTGGCACCACGGCAACATTTGCTTCAGCAACCCTTTGCTGGGGCACCAAATGGATGATGTGAAGCCAGGCCTTTAAGCATGTTTCAGCATGGGGTTGGCCCAATGGGTTGTGTTAGAACATGTTTATGCTTGAGAGCAACTACTCCTTTTTGGGTTGGTTTACAGTGCCCCACCAAAAGGAAGCCAGCCATTTTGTTGGAAGGGGCTGCCATTTTCAGATAGCTTCGGGGCAAGACAACAAGGAATTCACTTTGTCTGTTGAAATCTCTCCAGGAGGGAGGCCAATGGGGGAAGCAAGTCAGCGGTGCCGCAATACTCCTCGTGCGCCGCTCAGAGGGTCGAATCAACCGACAGACTGAGCCACATGGAAGCTCCCAGGCGAATGGATACCTAATGGGCAGCCCCAACATGGCAAGCGCCAACTTTGTTTTATTTGGCCCCAACAAATACCCGGGCCCACTCCAAAAACAATTTTGAGAAGCCCCAGCGCCACTTTACTGAGCTCATGGTTGCATGTGGGGGTGTCTCAAAATACGGATTCAGGGACTCTTCTGGCTGGCTGAAAGGGAATCCAAAAGAAAGACCAAGCATTTTTATGGCTCCCTATATGGGTTGGTCTTGAGGGACCCCTCCCCAGGGTGGTTTCATTTTGGTTTCCCTTTTGGACCACAAAACAGGCCCCCTCCAGCAAGGCCACCCCATGAGAACCCCCTGGCTCGAGCTTTGGGATTCGAAGGTTGGCGCTTGGCAGCTGCTGACCGCGGTGCACGACACCTTGGGCCTGGAAGCAGAAGCGGCCGTGTACGTGGCCTGACTCGCTGACTCAGATGGACACCCCGCCAAAGGAAAAAACACCCGGAGCGTCCTGTTCCTCGGTTTTACGCGGGGGCCAAGTGGGGGCGCCAATCCACAGGTGGGACGTTGCTTCGCACAAATTGCGCGAGGTGCTCCTTGCGGCGGCGGCCTTGGCTTGGAAGCCGGCGGCTTCGCGGGCGCCGCGGGCGGCCTCGTTGGCGCCCCGGGTGATGGCGCTGGGCCAGGCGGCCAAACGGGGGGCCACAGCTTTGGCCCTTTTTTTTTGGGGGGGGGTTTTCGCGGGGTTTTGGGGCCGCCTTTGGGCCGAAGGTTTGGTGGGGGCAGGGGGTTTTTTGCGGGATTCTCAGCGACTGGCTGGAAGAATCTTTGCTTTGCGGTTGCTGTGGTCACGCGATAGGCCGGAGTCATCCGTACACACGAGGTGCTGGACTTGATACCTTGTTGGGTTTGGACAATTGGGTCAATCTACTCAGGAGGTGAGGTTCCATCTTTTTTAGTTGGGGGGTTGCGGGGTAGGGGGTGGGTGGGCTTGATACCTTGTTGGGGTAGCAAGACCCCACCCTGGCTGTCTTGATTTGAATCCATGAGCCGCTGGGCAGACCTTGTAGCCAAGCAGGAACCCTGGGGCCGCGGGCTGTACTTCGGGGTCAATTTGCTGGAGAGGGGCGGTGGGCGGTTTTCAAAGTACCATTTCTGGCCCTTCGGTATTATAGTATTTCTCTCCGTATCCCTTCTTACCTCGCATGCCAATTCAGTTTCCCAACCTTCTTCCCCTTGCAGTTTCTTGCATCACCTTTTGTCATTCAAAAGTGAGTTGCCTGTTGGCGTTCCCGTTTTGGGGTGATGATTAAAGGGGACCTTTTTTGGAGTTTTATAGCCTGGCAGCTTTTCTACATGGAGGCTTGCCCTGGCTGCTTCTTTGGCCTTTGGCTTGGGTTTTGCGGCTGGGTGCGCCCGAAACTTGCCTGGAATTTGCCAAGCCAACCCCAAGCCATCCCTGCATCCACTATAAACCGGGCCCATCCTAAACCGCTTTTGGCCCTAATCCCACCCGCCAATACTTCACTCACCCTGGGCCGCTTAGACAGCTTTCGCAGGCTGTCTATGAGTATCAGCCGCTGCCAGCTGGCGAGGCGGCATGATCCGGAGTGGCCACGCGAGAGTGCGCGTCAATAGGGAGCCCATGTGAATTTGGCAGAGTCATGGGGCGGCCTGTTTTCGGTAATTATCACACGGCGACTTCCACAACCGTGTTCTTGTGTTACACCCTGGGATTGCGTGGATTTCGTGGAAGATTCCTGCGCCTGGTGTGTCATTCCATGAAATCCTCAGTAATTATCGCCGTTTTTGGGTCGAAATCGCCCGTGGAAGCTGGGCAGGCACAGGCGGAAGCGCCATCAAGCCCGGGTGAGCCAGATGGGTCAGCGGCCTAACGTCCGGATGCGCGTAGCAGATGAGCAGCAAGGTGACGGCAACTCCCCAAAACGTCAGCCCGGATCCCAGCTAGAAAGGTTTTGGCACTCCCTTGGTTTTTGGACAACTAAAGTTTCTTCCTCATTTACTTCCATTTGCTTAAGAATAGGTTTTCTTTTTCCCCGTTGGTTTTAAAGGGAGTCCATCACTACTGATTTTCTTTCAGGGTTTAACCCTCATATTGGCAGGTGTTGTTCATTAGGAGGATGTCATGGAGACCTGCCACCAAGGGTCACTTTGCTCCGCATTCTTGGGTGGATATTCAAATAGTCGACCCGACTTGAAGAGGAGGCTCGATTGAGACAAGTCCCTGGCGTAAGATTGAATCCGCCGCTGGTGACTCAGGCGGCGTCTTGCGGTCACGTCCCTGCTGGGTGCGGCAGCTGTGGCGGGGCTGTCGCAATTCCCCGGTGCCTCGGCCAGGTGAGCAGCGCCCAACACCTATTTTTCTTGGCTGTGCAAGCGAGGGTGGGTTGGTTCTTGTTACCTCTTGGCCCATCAACGTGAACACTATTTGACCATCTGAGTTTCCCGTAGCGCGGACCTGACGCCAACATTTTCACTTCGCAGCCCTATGGGTTCTTCCAAGTGAACCATTCTGGGGGTGTTCAATTTGGCCAGTTGCCATTTTTGGTCTCCCAGCTACTGGCCAAAACCAAGAGCTTGGCCTAATCTTCATGCGTCACCCCCCCGATTTCCGTTTTTTGGATTTCGTACCCGTTTCTTGTTGGCAAAAAGACACCCACCATTGCTTTCAAGATGCGCCCGTTTCAACTCGGCTTTTGTGACTTTAATGGACCCAATGGTTGCACTGAGGGCCGAAGGCCAGAACCCGACGCCTGTACAGTGGGGTCCCTTCATTTTGAGACGGTAAATTTCAGGGCTGAGCAACTGACAAGCTTCCTGACTGCTTGGTAGTCTATTAATTGTTTGAGGAGGACAGGGGGTCCCGCTAAAATTCCGACAAAGCCCAGGGGATGGGGCCCCGCCATGTTTCTTGGCAAGCCCGCAACTCTGTTTGGGGTCCGGCGTGCGTGCATGGTTGCGGAAATTTGGGGTATAGGACCCCCTTCCGTGTGAATCCCACTTCGGCATCACAGACGGGGGGGGTCCGACAACCATGCTGGAACGTGCAAGGAGAGACTGAAGACGCCGCCACGATGATTGTAGAGGCCGCGGCAGAGTCCAGGCCACTGCAAGTGGCACTGCAGTCTGGTAAGCAGCAGCCTGAGATACCTGGGGTTTGTCGCTTTCGTGTCTCTGTTGGAGCCCTGGCCCCAACTGCCAGGAAGAGTCATCAGGAATTGATTTATGGATGTGGGTCAAAACTAAACTTCCGCGGTTCACCGCGGATAACCGCGGGTTCTAGTCCTTGGATCCATTTACCAGGACAAACATACCCAGCTTTGGACCCACACAAAGCCGCCATTGTTTACCCAAGGTGTTTCATCTTGGGGTTGAACCTTAGGGTCCCCTTTTGGTTTAGGACGCCAACTTGGGGAACCCCTGTGGGTTACCTCTGAAGCTTTCCATCCGTTTTGCCAAGCATTCTGAGGCCCGTCCTGGTGGACTTCTCCGCGACCTGGTGTGTGGACTGCCTTCAGTCTGCGGGAATCCTTCGAGCGCCCTGGCCACTCAAGCTCTCAAGTTGCATGGCGGGTACATGTGCGAACAGCAGATATCTGAGGTTTGGTCACACAACTCTGGCAGTCTATGGTACAATTGGGAGGGACATGGGGGGGACGAGCTCTAAATTTGCCGCAAAAGGGGAGACATGTGCCACCCAGTTGTGCCATGTGCGTTTCGCCGGGGCTCAAACACTGTCCCGGGTTAATTCTGGATGCTGCGTGATAAGCTCTCCCAAAACGGAAAGAGACGCGACATGGCTGTGGGTCAAAAACAGGTACCCCAAATGGAACCCTAGTAAGTGGAAACTTGAACCTGCGGTCCCCTGGTGGTTTCATTTTGACCCATACCCACATGGCGCGGAACTCAGTCCAAGCCTTGCCAAAGGACCTGAAGCGGGAGCTACTGAGATGCAATTGGCGTGCTATCTCGGATTGCAGCAAGCACGGGGATTTGGGTGTGTCACCCCCTAGGACAACCCAACAGGTGGGCTGCTTTAGGTGGGCCCCTGTTGGACAACCCAAAAAAAGCAATGCAACAAAAGACGCACACCAAATTTGTCTCGGGTTCTCCAATGAGTCTCGTCCAAGGTTCGGGGGCCGAGTGGAGTTTGTCACCCTGGATGTGTCCAATTGGCGAGCCAACACCGGAGACGACGACTTGGATTGGCGCCTCACGCGGCAAGACTTCAGCCCGTTGCATGTTGCCCATTAGATCATTGGAGTTATGACCCAAAGGTAACACGGTCAACTCCCAACTTTGGGAGACTTACCCTCCCCACTAACATGGCACCTGGGTCACAGGGTCCATTGAAGAGGAAAATGATCTTCCAGGCACCCTCCCACAGGCTCTATGTTAGTGGAAGGGAGGGTAAGTGGGTTACGGTAAGTGGGTTACCCAGGCCAACTTACCGGGCTCCAATTCCGCAGCGACCCCTTGACCCGACAGCGAGTGCAGGTGGACCCGCGAGTTTCGAGTGGACGGGATTCCGCACATCGCCTTTGTGCTGCCAGACAGGCGGATCGGATCGGATGCGAATGGGTTGGAAACAGGGCCACAGCGCCACGTGGGAAAGGGGTTGCTGTTTATCCAAGGGGAACCAACGATTTGTCGAGACAGGTCCGTGTGTCGTGTTTGGGCAATGGGGTCTTAGGCTCCCAGTTCCTGTGGCCGGGGACATCGCGTGAAAAGTCATGGGAATCAGCCAAAGCACTTTGGGTTTGACTACAAATCAGGAAGCCACCCAAAATGGGCTGGTTTCCCTTGACACTCACTTGCGCAAAGCAGACCATTTTAAGCTACCACAAGACGAACCTTTTTCTCCAGGTCCTTTGCACAAGTGGGAAGAACGCATCAAGCCTCAAACAACGACATATGTGCAACCCCATTTGCTCGGGGTTGGTCATTCATGGACGTCTTAGATGACCAGTTTTGACCCTGGCACGTCCAGGCGGGTCATCACGGCGCTGATTGGCGACCTCCCGGATTCTGTCCTCAGGGCCAATGTGGAGGCGTCCAAGCGAATGGCTTCCGTCAAAATGGCGACAGGGATCAAACAATTTTTGACGGACTTTGGGGGTTAAAGTCAGAACATGGGGTTGTTTCATGTTGTTTCTCTTTAACCTAGCATTTAGCGCATTTAGGGGGTGACTTGGATGTCAATACGAGTCCGGCGGTTTAGGCACCTGTCTATTGCAGTCCTTTGCTTGGATGCTGGGCAGGAGAGAGTTGAACTTCTTAACTTGTGGCTGCGTCTCAAAAGGGCAAGGTGTGTTCCCGAAAACCCTCAAATGGCTAACCGAAACAAGAGTTGTGCTTATAGGCCCCACTTCTCAAATCTGGCAACCGATGGTTGACCTGGGTTGGGGTTCGGGATGGACCGCGAAAATCTCGGCGGAATCAAACAAGCCTCAGCCCTGCTGGCAGTGAGATGCTATCCTGCAATTCTTGTTGTGGGGTTCAGTTGGAAACTGGGCGGGAAACCGACATTGCCAAGAGGGGCCAATACAACATCAATGGGTCGCTCAAACCGGGCTTCCACTTTTCGGATAATTCATGGAAACCCAGAAGGGTCTCTAATTTCCGGAAGCACCGAGGAGACATGTAACTGAGAGGCCGAATCATTGCAAGCATGAATCGCTTTTGACCATAGCGACCTAATTTGGTTTTGATTTACTCACTGCCCCCTTTTGATTATTTAGACCCTACTGCATTATGGCACTGTAGTCTGTGCAGAATCTTCTTGACTCAAGCCTGATAGGTCCTGGTTTTGATTGGGGGGGATTATCCCCCTTTTGTTGGGGCTTCATCTCTGCTGATAAAAGAGGACGTGGGTATCAATCCGTGGTCAAATCTATACATGTCAGTAGTAGCGAACCACCTCCAAAGTGGTTGGCCATAAATCCCCGAATTTGGATCACGGATTTCGAGGTGTGACTTAGCGCCAGGCCTTGTCGGAGCTCGGAGCTTCCAGCGCGTTGCCTGCGTTGCCCGAACCTCAGGGGCTGAAGTCAGAGCCAAGGCGAGCCCCTCGTTTCATATCTGGGCGCTGGTGTTTTGGAGGGCAACCGTTGAAGAGAAAGTAAGACGAATCCCACCTTAGGCCCTCTCCCCCCCCCCCGGCTTTTCTGACACTCATATTCCGATTCACAGCCAACTCGCAAGGGGATCAACTGCAGAGAAAAAAGCGAACGTGACACTGGGACCAAGAACCATCTTTCCATGGCTCTTGTGGCTCTGAACCCATGAATTGGGCTTGGCTAACAGGTCAGATTGTTAAAACTCTTCTAACTTAGCTCCCTCTAGTGTACCATCCCCGCGATGCCATGGAAGCTGACCGGGTCTGGTTTGGACCATTTCCTCTAAAATTGAGCCTTGGCGAGTTCCATGCGGGGTACACCCTGGCGGGGTACACCCTTTGGTAGCATTCTCACGTCTCATTTCCTGGGTTCTTGGACTCTTGCAACTTTGTGGGAGACACTTTTAGTGGGAAATAACAAGTTTGGATTTTTTGTCCCATGCACTCAGGGCCCCATTTTTTTTTGGGGGGGGGGTCAGGTCAACTGCACTCAGGTGAGGTCGTTGGCCAGTCCGCCTGTCACATGGTTTTGCTTAGACCCCTGACAACTTTGACCCTCTTTGGATGGTCTGCTAAGGGCCCGTCGACCCTGTTCAGACCAGATTTGGTGAAGGGGTGTGTTGTTTTTGAGGGTTAGACTTTTTCTTGGTGTTTGAGGGAAACGAAAGGAACCACCACCCGGTCGGGGATCCCCCTAAAAAAAGCACCCACCCATATCATTGCTGGAGCTCAAGGCCCTTTGTGATGTTTGACGCCTTCGACGAGGGCCGGCGCCGTGTGCAGTTGAGAGCCTAGCCGGGCGCAGACGCCAAAAGCGGCGGACTCAAAAGGCGGCTTCGATTTTGAGGGAAGGCTGTGCTTTGAACCCTTTGCTTCTGACTAACAATGGTAGGGAACTCTTGGTTGTTGGTTTGGATTGGTGGATGTGGATTGGTTGTTCTGGAGGGTAAATGGGAAACACCCCCACACCACACCTCAAAACCCCGGGCTCCAAACCACCCTGTTTGGGGGAAGCTGACAATAAGCTCTTGAAAGTGGTTGCATTTGGAGTTGGACTTCTCTCTCTCTCTCTCTTTGTGCCTCTTTATGGTTGGGCAAGATTCAGAGGCTAAACAATGCGGTGACTTGGGATCACATGGAACCCCCAAACCCGAGGAGATTCCGCAAACGGATGCGTTTCGTTTTGTTGATTTTTGTTGTTGATTCCTTCTGTGAATTCGGGCAGTAAGGGAGCCCCTCAAATGGATGGTTTCCCTTCGGTTCCTTTTGCCAAAGGTCCCTCAGCTGGGATCTGGCAGGACCACCAGACTTGTTGCTTTTCCAGCCATGCGTCAGGTAGCCCGGAAGCTGCTTTCAGGTCCAAACACCAAACCACCAGCTAGGGCCCGGTGAATCTGCGAATCCTTCGATTTGGTCAGCTCCCGCGAAAGCCCCGAGTGCTGTCCATTGGGCGCGCTGGTTTCGCTCGAGGAGATCTACTCCAGCCGAGCGGATGGCGACCATGCAGCGATCACTGCCCATGCAAACCTGCCATGCTTGGTCTCAGGCCGAAGGGCTCAGTTACACAAATGGCCACCTATGTGATGTGCCGAGCAGCTCAAAAGTGGCTGGTGGACCTTTGAGTCTCCACCGAAATTCGATGTCCACCATTTGTCCCCCAAAAACATGTGGGTGCAGTATGTATTGCAATGAAGGAACCATAGACAGTCCTGGTTGTGAGCTCAAGAATTGCGTTCATTCTGTTTTCAGCATCCGATCACTTGTTTTTGGCGGGCGACTTTGCTTCAAACAGAAGCCTCCGGAAACCACCCCGGCGATTTGTTTTTTCCCTCTGATTCAACCGATTCCCATCTTAAATTGGCAACCACATTGTGGACCCATGTTGAGAGGGAAGGGTAAACCATGGCTATGTCAACCCAGCCGTTCTTTTGAATAAAGCCCCCGTTTGCACCCCCCGCATCCGCATGTGTGTCGGACGAGCCGTGTGCGCGCGGCGTTCCGCGAGAGCCCGCGGCTCTCGACTTGCAAGGTGGCCACAATCCAAAAAGAGCTCGGCGTGGAAGGGCTCGAACCCAAGCTGGGTCCAGGGCAACATGTGGCGGGCGCGTCTGATTTCTTTTTGGATTCGACCCCTCCCCCCCAAAAAAAAAGAAAAACATGCGCAAACGGCTTTCCCCTTTGGTTGCCCTTTACAGCCACAAAAAGGGGGCACCCTCAATAAAAAGGCAAGCCGGCAATGTTCAGCTCTCAACCAAATTGTTTGGGGTTCATGTTAACAGAGGGCCCTCGGTTTCCTTTTTTTTGCGATTTCAGCGGAATCCGCCAGTAAGCTGCAAGTTTTGAAAGGTAAATCTAGTGACCCCTGTTACACTATATACCATTTGGGTGCGGCCTTTTTTAAGATTGGACCCTCCAAAATGGATATCGGGTTTCCTGTTGGTGTTCCTTTAAAACCAACAAACAAAGGTAGCCTCAAGAAAAGCCTTGCCAATCAGATTCAGAGGGCAATGAAGGGTTCATTCTGACGGGTTGTATTCTGAGGGCTTCTCAGAATTACTTTTGGGGGTGGGAACCCGTTTTAAACCAGCACTTAGAGGGCGATTGCGAGGATGTCTTACTAAAGCGGACCCATCTATGTCCCCCTGCGGATTTCAAGGATTGGAACAAGTCAATCAAGATAGCCCGCCTATAAGGTACCTCACTGGTCCCCGTGCCACTGCATGACCAAATGATCGGCATTGGTAGGCCTCTTTGCTTTCAGAGAATGAAAGGTCAACCATCCATTTCCAGGCTGCTTTTTGCTGAGAACGCATGGGCTTGGGTTAGGGTGAAGGCAGGAGAAATAAATAAAAGCAACACTCCAAGAAGCTTCTTCGCGTCAGGTCCGTGTCCTCGGAATTCGTGAAGCGCTTCTGCCAGAACGCGCTCTACTGTGAGGTGCATTGTGATCTCACCAGATGAAAATTCAGAACCGCCTTCCTAGAGCGCTGTGGAACCCCTCGAGGTGCCCCTCCGAACATCAGGGGGCTCAAAGGAAGGATGGAGTCCTAGTCCTGAAGGGCGAAATGGGTATATCGAGGAGAATTGGCGGCCCGTCAGGGTACGACTGGAACCCTTGACGATAGGTTCTCTCAACGGGACGAAAGGGGGCGGGGAAAGACCCTGCCCCTACCCCTCATCAGACCGCTTAGAGAACCCGGAACAAGGTTGCAAGAGCCTTTCCTGGGTGGTGGGGGCCGTTGTTTGTTCCTCTGAAGACTCTCAGAAAAAGCAGGGGGCCAGAAAAACGCTACAGCACATGCCAATCACAAAAAGGAACATGTTCAACAAGCAATCGAGGCAACAACTGCAACTAACACCCATGGCCCTTACTCAAGGTCTCAACATGTCCAGTCTATCTCCCCTTTGGGAGGGACAGCGCGGAACTCACTATTTTTTTTCCACAAAACAAGCCGGGGACGAGCCGTGTTTTCCACGTTCTCGGGGAAGCTTCGCATGCTTTTCACCAATGGCAGGTGTTCCGCTTCCGATCTCTGGAGGAGGAGTGCCGCCGGAACCTCAGGTGCTTCCACAAGCCGGCCCAACCAGGTTCCACACAATGGGCCAACTTGTGAGCAACTCATTCAAAACCCTCCAACTCAAACTCTCAAAAAGAAAAGGAAACCAGCTGGAATCCAACCAATCCAAAATCCAACCAGCTGAGAATCCATCCCATTCAAAACATGCGTCTCAACTATGTAGAGAACATGAACATCCATCCCATTCCAATATTGGTGTTTCCACTAGCTCCTTCTGAGAACCTGACCTAGGGCCGGAGGAAGGCGGCCTCGACCTGGAGAGTGAGCTCCAGGACGAGGACTCGCTGGCGGCATGGCGCCCTGCCACGCGTCGGACACATCGGACGCATCGGACGCATCGGACGGCTCGATGCTGGATGCTCCAAACACGGGGAAAAACCACAAGAGAGAGCCAGTAGCATGAACGATAACAAGAAAAGAACAAAGGAAAGCAGAACAAACAACAAAAAAACAACTAAGCAGGCGAAACCAAAGAAAGAGCAAGACACGGCAAGAAGCCAAGAAGCACAGCAAGAAGCAGGCCTGCGCTCGCCAGGTACGTCACTCTCCGCGCTGCGGACAAGTTTCGTGAGGAGGGGACTCTGATGGCAAATTGTGGCCCTGAAGTGGACGGAGGGGAGGATGGTTCCTCCGCCCTCTCGCCTGAGCCACCCTTTTCCATGCAAGATGGCGCTGGGGTTAAACCGTTTCCCAGAAACTCCTAAGTAGACAAATGTGGTTACGTGAGCCCTACCATTGCTTTCATGGCGTTGGAACCCCAACCTGGGTTTGACCTGGGAGGGTGCCATTTGCCAATGAAATTGGAGCTTCTTCGCTCACCTCCTGATTGAAATTACCCGCTTTTCCGCTTGGCGAAAGCACAGCACAGCTTGTTGCAGGGGGTGAGCGGGATGAATCCAGCCATTAGTCACACCTCCCCGCGCAACACGATTCAGAGATATTTCTCCTTCAACACAAGTCCCAAAGCCTTGGAACATGGGTGATTTCTGAACAGACAACAAAATTGCTTGGCGAACGACAAGGAACCAACGCTTAGAATTTCAGTGTGTTCAGGTCCAACCCCTATTTTAAGAACCCAGGGAAGCACGAAAAGGGAAGAAGCATCAACCCTCACCATGGGAACCCGCAATGTTGTTTGGACAGGTTCTTCAATTGGAAACCCCGCATCGTTTTACGGGGCTCTTCAGCAAGGGAGCACTTTCCCATGTGAGCCATCAACACGCAGAGGAAGTAATGCTGGAATGTCCCAGCAATAAAAGTTGGCGCGGAGATCCGGCCTTCGAATTCTTTGCATTGGTTTGGCAGAACCTTTCATTGCTAGACTTAGCTCACCTTTTTAACAGTTCGCCCTTTTGGTGTTCCATTATTTCCCTTTCAATCACCAAAACGAACACTTGTTGCAGGCTCGGATCCGTCTGGTCAAGCAACATTTGGGCTCTCAACTTCGGGCAATGCAAAACGCATTGGCAACAATCCCCTCGATGGGAAGTGAGTCATTGCTGGGCTGGGAGTTCCTCCGCTTTCAGGAGAATGGCCACTGGCCGGGTGCTTTGTGTGCCAGCCTCAACTGGGACTCACGGTCAGCTAGTAGGGGATTGTCAACTCTGGGGGGGGGGGGGGGGGCAATTTCAACCAACTTGTGAAAGGGTCGTTTTGCTAGGTTGGGTTTCCATGCCCAAGGGAAGATGAGGTATGCCGGAAATGTGGGGGCTGGACTACAAACTCGGCGTTGTCGTCCTTTTTGTTGTGCATGGTCTGCTTCTGGTAGATGATTTTTAGCCTTATGTTAGGACCAGGCTGCCGCGATTTGTGGATGGTGGGACGCTGCGAGCGAATCTCCGCAGAGTTCATCTCAAACACTCTGGCTACTTTCTCGTGAACGATCAGCCGCTGAGCAGCACTAGGGCCTCGCTTGGCGATTTTGCCACAAATGTCGACCCCGGGTTACTAAACCCTGGTTGATCAATGGGGGGGGGCCTTTCAGTCAAATTCCTTTGCTGTTGTGGTTGGCACCTATTGATAGGACGGGTTTATTTTTCCGGGGTTCCGATTACCTAAGAAGCAACTTCTCTTCTAAGAAGGCACCCTAATTGCGGACGACACCTTGCACGAAATCGTTGGTTTTACCCTTGAACTTGTTGAGGAAGTTGCTTTTGGGGGAAGAGACCCCTTTTTTGCTGGGAATTGGGAAGTTACAACTTTGCATATGGAATACTCCAGGCTTCCCCAAGTGTTTTGCGGGGTAGTGAACACCCTCTTTGAATCTTATGTTTACCAGGCATCCCTTACCCTTTCGGTGATGTGAAACATCACCTTGTAGTCCGATTTAGAGTGAGGTTCCTGTTGGCGTGTGTTGTTTGCAGGGGACATATGCGGAGCCCTAACACACCGAACTGGAATGCTAAGGTTCCAACATGTTCTAACTGTCGATCAAAACACCAAAATGGTTGGGTCAATACAACCGTGCTTTATCTGGGTTTGTCTCAAAATGCCAACAAGTCGTTGTTTCCCTTTGGTTTCCCTTTATGTCACAAGAGAAACGATACCCTCAAAGACACAACCACCTGAGTTTCATCTCAAGGTCTCCGGAGGCCTTCTTCTTTAATCGGTTGACCCGGTGACATCGATCAATGCCAGCCAGGATGGCTCTGATGGACGCCGAGTCGGTCCAGATGCCGTGGAAAGTGCAGGAGAGGAGTCGGGTCCTTGCGGTGGCGTTTCGGCTCCAACCGAAAGTTCTGGTTTCTTCACAAGGTCACAAAGGCTTCAAGGGCTGAGGGAACAAGTTGGAAGGACGAATAACCGCACCGTCCAACTTGTTGTTTCCTTTCACTTCCAAAAGCCCGAAATGGATTTCCCTGACCAGCAAGTTGTCTTGCACCCGTTGACCTGTCTCGCGGGTTGGTTAGTGACTTTGTCCTGAATTGGACAACTTTGTTACTTGACTCACCCCGAAACACTCCCCAACAAATCAAGCGTGGAGTTCAAGAATAGGCCACCTTTGGCGGTACAAACATTGATGGTCTTATTGACCAAACAGTATGGCAGACCCTCTGCCTTAAAAGCACACTACAAAGTGTTTACGTTTGACTTTGGGCAACTCTTTGGACCAGTTCACCAACCATTTAACGCAATTTGCCCAACGCCCAAAGGTACAAGGACTTGGTGAGATGGTGCAAAGGGAAATCCTCTGGGTACCTACAAAGGGGAGGATCGCCGCCAGGTTTCGACCGGCTCCACCATCTCGGACTTGGGCTCTGAGCCTGTCCAGGCGCGAGTCTTTGGATGAGGTGCTTGTATCTTTTTTTCTGGCCGAAGTGCGAGTTTTTTCAGGCCGCGAAGCAGGTGGGTGGCTGCGTAAATGGACCTAAAACATGGTTGTTTCCTGTTGGCTTCCTTTGAAGCCAACCCCCAAAAGGGTACCAACTCGAACAAGACACAGCAAAGTGGATAGTAGCCACGGGCACATCCCCCCTCGGCTGCAAGTCAACTTTCCGTGGCTCATATTCGCACGGTTCGTCTATCGACCTGGACATGGTCTGCCCCTTTCAGGCGTCCGAGGTGGTTTCTGTGAGACATATTGACAAAGTAGACGCAGGGATGGGAATCCCGCTTCGCAGAAGCCCTACTTTAACTTACTTTGCCAACTAATGGGTTTTCCATTGGACCAGTACAAGTTACAAAGACTTTTAGGGGAGCAGAAAGCGACTGAGTATCAACGCAAGGGTCTTCCAGTAGCCGCTTGGAAAGGCTGACTTATCCCAATCTCTCGCAGGACTTCAGCCGTGAGGGCAGCTCAGCAAGTCGCTTGGACTACACCTGGGAGCTCGTTTCCGTTTGGGGGAGGGTTCTCAGAATGGAGCTCGGAGCCCCTTTTGGTTGGGATGTAAAGGGAAACCAAAAGCACATCAACCACCTGGAAGCCCCCAATCTTGAGAAACTCTCATGTTTCAACATGCAGATTTGGCCCCCGAAAATGCCTTCCCCATGAATTCCCCAACCTGTTCCCTGAAAACACAAGGTGAGCAGGGCACCCTCAACAAGACACATATAGATGGTTTTGTCTTGGCATCGATCATCTTCAAAAAACCATTTGAAGGCGATTCTTCTCCCGAGAGACTGCCTTTTGAAGTGGTTTTAAGGTATATTAAAAGGAACCAGAGCAGATGCACACCCCTTTGTTGTATTATGGAGTTTTTAAACAACAACAGAAACGCAAAAAACAATTTGCTTTGATGGGTAGCATTTCCTGCTGGTCTCTGTGAAGGTGATTATTCCATGGCTCACCATGATTCCTGGGGTTCGCTGGGTCTTAAAGCAGAGTTTGCGTTGATAGAACCACCATTGTTTGGGTATCCCTTGATTGGTGGTCTGGATTGGTGGTCTGGATATGGATTCGCCTTGAGTACCCCTCCTTAACCACCCCTCAACCACCAAACCCGGCTCCAAACCACCATTTGTAGTTCCAAGTTGGGTCTTGCAGAATGGGAATCCGTTGAACCCTGCATGGTTACTCACAGCCTCTACAAATGATTCAAAATCAAAACCCGGGAAATTGGCGGGTGGAAAGGGACAATCCCAGCCATAAACGGGTGCGGCCGCCTTTTCAACTCTTTGCATGGCTCTGGGTAGACCATGTTACTAGGGTTGGATGGTAACTCAAACACGGGTTATCGCGGGTTTGTGAGATGTTCAGAAAGGGTCCAGGTTACATCCGACATCCGGATCGACTCTGATCGATTGCTCAGGTTTCGAGTCCGAGAAATGGTGGCCCATGGGTATCAAGTCGGACTCGAGCGCCAGAGACTCAGGGGCCTTTCAATCCCCGAAGCGCGGAGTCGGTGCCGTCATTGGTCTGCTTGGGGGTCCCCGTCTTCAAGGACCACTTGGGATTTGGGTATGCTTTGTGTTTCTTTTTAAGGGAAGCCCCTCCTTGGTTGATGTTAAGAAAACCGATGCCTGTTTGGGGGTCCCCATATGATGACTTTTGACACTGTACTTGTTTGGGTTCTCAATATTGTGGACGCCACAAAATGGTTGGGTTTCATTTTGGCCTCGTGTCACCAGCTGAAAGGGGATTCCCCCAAATGCAGTCTCGGCCATTTTTTGAGGCTCAAAATTACAAGAGTCCATGGTCCATTTGGCAGAGTCCAACAACCGCCGCCAAAGTCACCACCACAGAACCTTATGTATATAAACAGTACCCTGACCAGCACCCAAAAGAGCACTCGACCAGCACCCTGACTGCAGCGCCAAACAAGCACCCTGACCAGCTCCTGCATCCCCGTCCTGGCCCTATGTCGCAAAACAAACCCCACCTCTTTGGAAGGCACAGCCTATAGCTAAAGCTAGCTGGGCCAAAAAACCAACATGAAAAATGATGCTGCGCAACAGAGTCCATTTGAGCAGCGCTCGCACCCCCTGTTATAGACAATGTTCCAGGTGATTCTACCTGGCTTCACAAGGATGATGGTAGGGGGAACCATCTTAGTAGAATCACGCCAAGTCAATGGGTTGTGGTTGCTCATCGCCTTGGCAGTCACAAGGAAACCCCCTTCTTTTGGCTTGTTTTACGGGGAAGCTGAGGGAATTTCGATCCTTCTGGGGAAGTCAGATTTGCACCTGGAACCTAAACACCTACCAAGTTTAGCAAACCCAAAAAAGGCAACAGCCCCGAAGCTGCCAGCTGGCTGTTGAACATCAATCCCTAATCCTCAAATCCCTTGTGGTGTGCCCACTCTTTATTGAGGATTGAAGATCGCCCTCTCATTTGAACAAGCCAGTTTCTTGATCTTGGTGTGTTTTTTTGAGAGATCCCCAAATTTGTGGTTTGCTTTTGATTTTTTGTTGAAACCACAAACAAGAGATACCGTGCAAAAAGACACCCCCATATTTCGTGGACACGCTCGGGAGGAGAGGTCTGGATATTTGCGCCCCACCATCACGCCCATCACGGCGCCGCCAGGCCGATCCTCCAATCGGCTTGTTTTTTTTGCCAGACTGAATGTCCCATGAAAGCTTTTGGCCCCCACAAGTTTCATGATCTCAGGAAAACAATCGGTGTTTGTGTTAACCCCAACCATTGTCTTGGTGGGATTGTGATACCGAAGTGGGATGCTTATTCATCCCTTGTGATACCGAAATGGTGGCTTCTGCTAAACAGTTGAACGGACCATGCGTTCTAATGGTGGGCACGGCCCGGGATGTTCACAGGTTTGTTTGTTTTTTGGTCTATCATGGCAAGCAAATGGCCAGAGCCCAAAGTTTCCCGTGTCTTGGGGAAACAGGCCATTTTCAACCCTGGGAGTTTTGGAGGATCCCGCATCTCCGGCGGCTTTTTTTTTGCTGTGTTTGGAGAACCTCACTTTTCCGGAATGTACCGTTTCCGAAAGAACATTTCAGTCCTTCTGGAAATGTGTGGCATGCCTCTAAGAGGCAACCTATATTTGTTGGAGGCAAGGAAAGAAGTGCTTTTTTGATTTCGTGGGCGTAATGACAGGTCCTGTGTCCTCTGAGTTACTTTCCTCAACATACCTGATTTGTGCCCTCTGGAT